CAACAAAGTATTATTGAGAAATGTAACAATATAAGATCATGATACTAGATACAACACTGTTGATCTAACTAGAATAACTGAAAAATCAATGAAGGATAGGTTTCTAGTCCAAAAAAACTTACGTCTAAAGGTAATCTTACGTTAAAGGTTACATTAATCAGCTTAACTGTACTGAAAGAAATATAAACACAGTAGAACTAATGTTTGCTCCATCGCTTGGGGACGAGGTTTTCCGAAAAGCTATAGCTAGCCATGGCCATGGGTAAAATGTGGGGGCGTTTAAGGGCGCGGCAGGCTGTCGCAAAGGTACATTAGTTCCGGCTGCTACAGCTCCGATTGCTTTTCATGTAAATACACATAGAACTTTATACTTCGGACACCGTGTGGGCTGTATACGCCTACACAATGGACTTCGATAAAGGGCATCATTTGTGTCATAGTTTTTAAGGGTTAATATTGAACTGATCACAATTAAAAACCCATCCAAACTATAGCATCACATGAATATATACAGTCCCAATTTTAAAAAGGACAAACAACACGATTGAAGCTGAATGATACGTCCAATTTCTTCCGACTCCAGAATGGATATTTAATAAATGGATTAATAATACAGAGCCGTCAACCAACAGCCACTTGAAGAATACAATAATAATAGTATGATAAATTCTTTGTCCTATTTAGTCAATTAATGGGTTACCAGCATACGGGCGTAGCAGAGATATTTTTTAAATTTAACCCACACGAATTTATTAAGACCATCTGTCATACATGTTCCGCTCAACTGGTTGCCTGAAGTATTAATATAATTATTACATCATAATTCGTATAATAAATGCAAAATACATTAAAATGTATGTTTTACATGAATATTAAAGTACTAAGACATGTTGTAACACCAATAATTCTGGAAGCTTGTAAAAAATGTTAACAAGAATATTATGTAGATTTCACAGGGTCGCATACGACAAATCGAACATAATAAACATAAAAGATTTTGTATTTTCATGTAAAATTATCCCTTATGGAAAGAGCTTAGCCAAAGAGTAATTTTGAATATGCTAATCTCAGATTCGGTGTGAAAAATCTTTTGAAATTGATTCTTGATAAAGATTACATAATTCTTTGAACGCGCATGTACGAAAAAGAAACTAAGCGAATTCAGGGCAATACCCACACCCACACGTCACCCAAAAATTCTAAATAAGGTGATTCAATTTCTTCCTCGATTCCCTATACAACAATAATTACTGACAAAAACATAAAAAAAATTACACACACCACCATAAGGAAGCACAGATAATATAAAAAATACGCGGGGATTTTTATATTTTTGTTTATGGGTGTGTCATGTCAATTCTTTTTTATTACTGTCAACACCTTTGTGTAAGTATCGTTAATCAGGCTTTACTTGGGGCTTACAAGTTTTCATTTATCTTTTTAACGTTTAGATTTAAATAAACAACCTGTTCCGGCATTAGGGTGTGAAAAATATTAGAGGCTCATACTGTCTCCTATTTCGTGTGTAGCTGTGAAGACAGTGTACAATATTATTTCTCTTAAAGTAAACGACTTTAATTATGATGCTCTTCGTGGATAAATTCCTAATCCCACGTTTCCAAATGAAGCATACCAAATAGATTAGATTAGATAATACATTTTTCAGTTTAGTAATGACTTTTAGTCGCCTTTAAATAATTATGACTGCATTTTCCTTACATTTAGTGTCACGCGACTCATTACCTGTTTTTATCACGATTTCCGTTACTTTTTATGATTCATTATAAATAAGTCTGCTAAATTAATTACAGATTTAATTTTTGACCCTGTTTTTTCTTTCTAATCTTTCCAATGTCGCATTTAAGTAGATAATAAATTTTGTAATCAAGATATACGTTGAGTGGTCTTCAAGAAAGGCTAAGTCACTATTTGCTTGGATAAAGTGTCTACACAAAAACGGTAATAACTGTCATGCGTTTTAGAAAATTGTTGAGGGTCGTTTTTCTAGCGAAACGTAACGTGTTTTTCAATTCCATACGTCATTTGTGTGCAATTCTCGTTATTTTACGAAGCTATTATTAGAAATATTAAATTTAACTCGAATCGAATGGTTAAGAATTTACAGAACTTTTCCTCATCGCTTCCGTAAATGTTAGTTAAATATAAAATTAGAATGTAAACTTTAATTATTATAATTATATTATATATTTTTTCCTATACAAATATTAAATATTAGTCCTATAAAAACCGATTTCCAGTTTTTAGTCAACATCAGCTTTAATACTTCACGTAGGCACTCAAAAAACGTATTTTGTTTATTTGACGTAGTATTTGTAACTTCACAACCACGAAATACGTTCAAAACGTTGAATACATTAGTAGAATGCAATATTGCATTCATTTTCCATAAGTTTTTCTAATTACCTTTTTATTAGGCAAAATTCCACACGAAACAAAGCATTCCATCATCACCATCTTAGTTGAAAATTAGTTCTATGACTTACGAGCAGTTAAATACCCTTGTTAAATACTTATAATTCTCTTTAGTGCATTTCCAAAATGTTTAAAACTTCATTCGTCCATCAGTTGTGTTGAATTCCGTCTAGTTTTGGACTGAACCTCTCAGACTGAGCTAAAATAGAACTTTGATTGACAGTAACATGTCTAGCTGTCTAGTCCAGGCTTCTCAACAAACTTACAGTTCACCCTGCAATTGATATACTTCAATACCAGAGGCCCAATTTAAGATCTTAGTCCAGTTCAAAAGAGACGGTTATTTCTATGAGAAAATTGGTCATCGTTGGACATAAAGAAAATGAAATCCTATTGTCCAAGGTTTTTCAACTAAGTACAACAGATCAGCGGCTTCAGTAGACATTCACTGGTAAAGACGTGCTGTGAATAATTCCACAATTATCGAAGGTTGCAGTGTTCAAATGAAACGTCGCTCGATGGCCACTAAATCTGATGCGACTATTCAGCCATTGTGTTGAACTGTTAACGCAAAAATTAGACACAAGGTTGTCGGTTTTGGAGAATGAAAAAACGAGACGGCTTAGATTCTTGTAACATTTTCTATGTTTTTGCTGACTTACAGTTGAACTTTACCCACTAACGTTTAGTCAGTCAGATTTATGACGCCCTTCTCAAGGTTTTTCCAGCAAACCTGAACATTACTTACTCATAAAAATAAAATATAATTTTCGACCCAATATTTACACATCAACTCTAAAATTCGAGGCCACGCATCAGAGTATGGTATAAAACCAGTGGTTACATCAACCAATAACAAAATAATATTGACAAAGAGGTCGTTTCAATAATGATTTATTGGTTACACAATGCCGCAGTCGCTTTGTTTGTTGAAAAAAAGCATGCGCTATCTATAACTATTATCTATGGGTGAATATATACAGATAATAATAATATGTAAATCGTGCACTATGACAACGAAGGTGGGTCTAAGTGTACGCGACATTCGAAAAGGTATATATTCGTTAAAAACTGCATTTTTAATCCACATTTGACGTCCCTTTTTTTTTTTTTTTTTTAAGGGGGGATAATCATCGAATGACTGCTCCCGCCTGGGTGAGGCGGAAGGGAGTGTCAGACTCTTACTGACTAAAAACCACCCCGTTCCTTCTCCTGCACGTCGAGCCGGAGCCCCGGTTACCCGTTAGATTCTCCGCGACTCCGAATCGGCATCGGCCCTATTGGGCCCCATCTGTGGTGGTCTGATGGCTCTTTGAGGCGCGCGCGGAACGCGACGCGCCGTACGCTCGGGTCTGTTTCTGGTCGGACGGGGAGCCACCCACGCTCGCCGTCCGCAGGCCCGCGCTTACGGTGGCCGGAGATCGTCCCGCGATCCCCGACGCCCGGTGTGTCCTTCGCGATGGCTGGGTTGCGAGGAGGCAGCGCTTCGCTGCCTCACGCGTCCCGCCTCCTCCTTAGCTAGCATGACTGCTTCGCAAAAGGAGGAGACGGCATCCCAGTCCCCCTCGCTCCGCATCATGGCCTGCACTAGGCCCGGACGCGAGAGGTCGCCATCGCCGATCACTTCCCTGAGGGCACGGCGGTGCTCAGCCCACGCAGGGCATTCCGCTACGGTGTGTTCCACCGTGTCCTCAAGGCGGTCCTCGCAGTGATGACACCCGGGCGTTTCCTCCCGCCCCATCAGACACAGGTACCTCCCGAAACTTCCATGTCCGGTGAGGACCTGCGTCAGGCGGTAGGTGAGGACGCCGTAGCGTCTCTCAAGCCACTCCTCAAAGAGGGGACTTACCGCTGCAATGGCAGCGAGCCCAACATTTGACGTCCCTTAGGAACACGGAAAGCTTGGAAAGGTATCCATTAATTAATCAGACAGCAATCTAAAGTTTGTAGATATCATACCTGCGAAAACTTTACTTAAGTAATTAAATAGTGATGTTGGCGTGCAAAATTAAGACACAGTAACTAGGTCAACAGGTTCACTAGGAACACAATTGCTATTGTCATATCTCTTGCATGTGACTTGAATTAATTTGCATTTATACATGAAAATAAGCTCAATTACAAATTACTTTACAGAAAGGAAACTGATTAACTCGCATGTGGCAGATATTTGTAAAAACGTAACGGACAGAGTGGGTTCGCCGTCTCTTCAAAGAGGTTTTATCACCTCTTTTAAGGAATTTTAGCGCTAGATAGGAACAAACATGGGTACCTACTGACTGTTTACTTCATGTAAATTCAACAGCATAGTTTCCATGTGTATGTAGAAGAGTATCTTTCTACGACTTAAACCTTATCGAATGTCGCTCTATAAGACATTTTGTCTAATAAATGCTTTTTCTTTCTTTCTTTTATTTACATAAAAATACGTTCTCTCTATGTTCCTATCGCTTACACTTAGACCACACCCGTAACACTGCATGCGACCCCTACACAGTAAAAACTAGCTATACACATGTTAATAACACGTGCAAACGTGCGGAGGTATTATATTGTGCAACATTTACCTCATCCTTGTTCAAAAAGAACTGAAAAAAAAGGAAGCACGGTTAAGGTTTAAAAAGCTTCACTTAGCATTATTACTTAAATAATATAATATTAGGTAAGGATTCCAAGTAATATTTACGTACGTGTGAGGCTAATAAGGAGATAAAGTTGATTTGGCCATAAATCATTAATTGTTGGGGGCTGGGGCTCTATGGAAATTCTAGGAAGAAGCAGCGACGGTCGTAAACAATTCTTTTCAATTTTCGCGCGAAACGGAACAGCTGTCTTTGTAATGGTTGATGGGGGGAAAATCGATAGCGTGTCCATCTTTGTTTTTTAGTGTTCCGTAGTCTAACGTAGAGACTATTTAGCTCTATTCATTTTGTGGAATAGCGCATTCTGTTAATTACGTATTGTTCTCACCACCTTCTCTGCTTTACGTTTTAGTTAGTTATGACATTTCAGACAAAATATGTATTTACTTATTTTACAAGTTTACCTATTTTGAAGAATTGAACGATGCGTCATGTCATTTTTATTACTTTTGAAACCAGTTCTATATCTTTTTTAAATCTTGTGCGATTTAATTTAATTACATTCGCATTATGATATTTAGAAGTTGATTAGACTGAAAACTGTCAAAAATGTCATAAACCGTTAGCCTTGGGAAACGCTCGATACTACCGTGTTCTCTATTTTTATGACGTCCTAATGCCGTTGGTTTTCCACCCACTTAATGCAGCGCACTAATTCTAATTTTATATCAGCTAAAAGAATTTTATTAAATTACCACTACCGTTTGCAGACCCAGACGTCAGTAGACGCGATTAGAATACGCGTAATATATTTTATTCAAATCGAACATTCCTCTATGCATTACATATTTTTATAAATGTTGAAGTTCAAATATAGAACCAATAAATTTTGAGCGCGAAACTGAAATTTACTTTTGGTTCGGCTGCCGATGATAACGCCCGTGTATCGGACGACTAGACAGAAATACCAAAGTTTACTTATCATATTATGCATTACAAATCGATTGTCGATTTTGATTAAATGGTTTTAATTTGAATGTGTTAAGCGTAAATACCATACATTACAACAACAGAGGTTGGTATCAAATCAATGAATAATTATGTTTTTAAGCTGCAAGAGGTATACATAACTTAATAATAAACACATTAGCTTATATTTTAGTGCCTAAATTTTTGGAACCCCAATAAAGATTTTTGTGAACACAAACTAACAATAAGACCTTTATTTCAAGCACACCACACAAACCTGCACAAACATGCAATTATTACACACCAAGTACCATTAATAATAATTATAATGCATTGTTTATTAGCTATAACATATAAAAAATATAAATAATATGTCCTGTGTTATGACTGGCACATAAAAACCAAATTTTATGACAAATGTAATTATAGTTTTATGAATTCATAGATCTTTAAATATTATAACCAAGCATATCTGCCTATCAGATAACCATTCATGAAGTGTTATGAAATTCCGAAAAAAGTGTAAAGGATAGATAAGAAAGTGTAACTGTGTATGTGTGTACCATAGTACACACATACACAGTTACTATTTAGCTGGTAACACAGATTATAAAGGTAATAAGAATTTTTTAATCTTTTTTTATATTTTTCTGCAGATTAAATTTTGAAAATAATTACCTGTTTTATCTGTTACTTGTTAAAATCTACTTATTGTCATTGATTGTTATTTTAGGAATTTTATCTTTAAAATATTGATTGTGAACACAATAATGTTGCTAATTGGTATTACATTAAAATATTTTATTTTTAAAATAAAATAATGTCATATTAATAGCCTGTGGCTTACCACAAAAGCACTTTTGTTGTTAAATAGTACTTAAGACTCTTTTTTTAATTAAAACCCTAATAGTCTTGTTTGTTATTAAAAATCACATCAAATTATTTTTATGATTTTAACTACATAAATAAATTATTTAATACATTTTGTACTGATAAAATATTAATCTGTCTGACAAGTCTCTCATTCTCTCATTCAATCAATTTATTATCAAATAAAGTACTTTATCAGTTAAAGAATAAAGTTCAATATTTAACATACCTGTTTATGCTTTATTTTTGGTGATAATTGATATGCATTCTCCAATTTTGGATTACTTGGGGCTTTCTTTGGTCTAGTGTTCTTAATGCCTAAAGATTTCCCAAATGGGGCAAACCAATACCTGTAATAAAAGAAGTTCATATTTAGAAATATAATTTTTGTCTGTGCAAAGTGTAGTTTTTTTATAAATAGTTAATAGGAGTTCACATAGAAATTTATTTTTTATCTGTGCCATCTATATTTTTTACAGCAATAAAATAATTGGAAATGGTAATTATCTTGGTAAATTTGAACTTTTTCTGTTTGATTAGGTTCTTTAAAGTATTAGAGTATAGTATTAAAATTATTTTATTATGATGAGCAACATTATAATATTTTATACACTACAGTCATAAATAACATGCTACTCTACTGCTGTTTTTAATTTATATTCAGTAATTTATTACACTATATATCCTGCATTTTTATTTCTTCTTAAATACAAATACTACTTTTCCAGACAGAATAATTATTCAACATTTGTTTACATTGAATGTTTATGAAAAAATAAAATAAATCACTTTAATTTAAATGGAAAATCATTACTAAAATTGCTACAATTTTATTGTTTACATTCTTGACCTAAAGAAGAAACATAGACCATGAGTTTATTTTTTCTAAATCTGCTGTAAGTGCTACACTTTCGCGAATACGAAATCTTATGAGTCACTGAGTGCATCATTAGACTTTATTCATCCGTGAGAATCACTGACACACATACTGCAGCCTAGCGACAGAAAGTAGGTTAACTCACTCCTCTAGAGTACGCCGCAGGACTATCAGCACCAGTGCCAAAGGCAGGGGATACAGGAGGTGCCTATAGTCATTGTATACCACTGCCTTGTCTGGACCCGGTGCAATATCTTCCCAAGTTGTATTCGGCGGTAACCACACATCTTCATCCCAAAATTTATCCAGTATAGCCCGTAACATTATCACCACTATTCGTTAAATATTCAAAACTACTATCAATCTCACTACAACGGCTCTAAATAATAATTTATCACGCCATAAACACACCCATAAATATTTAGCGACACGACCGTCCGACAGTCGACATGACACAAGTTTGATTTTTGCGGCACAGATTACAACGAAAATAAATTAACATTAATGCACCATCTATATATGGCAACTTTGTATTTAAATATTACTTGAAAAATAAAAAACTGCAGAAATTTGCAAATTAAATATATGTAGTTTTCATTTTGTTTATTTTAATAAAAAATGAGATCATAATATAAGTTGCACGAAAAAAGTTAGTTTCTACCGATTTTTCTCAGATTTTACTACCATTCGTTCTTTAGTTCATTCTATTGAGAATACATTCGGGAGAGTGAAAGAGTTGGAAGATTTTTATACAATGTTTTATGACAGAGATAGATAATAACCTTTTTCATTGTAGAATAAACACACGATACAACATGCATGCTTATAAACATCTGTCTGTCATCTGCTTGTTGAGTTGTGACTTGCTTGAGAGTGGTTGAGGTGATATTTTTCAAAACAACTTAATTTAATTTGTAAATTGTTGATCCTGCACGTCTTTCACAGAGTCTTAGTGTAAAAGCATACACTCGTAAAATCATAGTGTACTTAGTGTAGTAATAATGTTATTCTGCCCGACGTGTGCTAATGTTCTGATGGTGGAAGAAGGTCCTGAATCTGGACTGAGGTACGCCTGTAATTCTTGTCCTTACGTGTACAACATCAGAAAGAAAGTATCCTCGCGAACTTTCCCTAAATTGAAGGTAACCCATTTTAATCACACATTTTATAGTCCGAATGAATTATTGCATCATCTCTTCGAAAACCAAAACAAATCAAGTTTAGGGCTTAACAAAATGCACTTACTTTGTCATTTTAATGCATGATTATTTATTTAGTTCCTTCAACTGTTCTAATTTAAAATACAAAACCATTATAGAAGAAATAGGTAGTATTTCTTCTCGAACTCTAATTAAACATATTGCATCATTTTTTCAGGAACTCGACTATATCATGGGTGGAGCTGCTGCCTGGGAGAATGTAGACTCAACAGATGCTGTGTGTCCTAAATGTGGACATGGTAAAGCATTCTTCATGCAACTCCAGACTCGTTCCGCTGATGAACCTATGACCACTTTCTACCGTTGCTGTAATCACAAGTGCGCTCATAACTGGAGGGATTAGTCAAGCCAAGTGATAAACTTATTTGCAGTGTTGGACAATTACTTGCCAATATAGTGCTTAATTCCAGAATTTTTTTCTTGAGAATATGATTTGTGTCCAAAAACTTAATTTTCTTCGTAGTTTAGCTAGAACTAAAAGTGCATCACCTAAAATGAAGATAGACAAGATGGCGCCAGTAATACAGAGCTCTGAAGAATTTGCTTCAGTCAAAGCGGCAGAATTCTTAGGCAAAGGCCATGTTATCGCAGTGCCAACTGACACAATATATGGATTGGCATGTAGTGCCAACTGTCCCGAAGCTATAAAAAAGTTGTATGCAATCAAAGGCAGAGATTCAGCCAAGCCTGTGGCTATTTGTGTGACACATGTAAATGATGTAAGAAAATGGGGTGAATCGGATCACTTACCTGATGATCTACTACACAGCTTGCTTCCAGGACCAGTGACAGTGGTTTTAGAAAAGACAAAATATCTTGACAATCCTTTTTTAAACCCTAATACAACTAAAATAGGTATCAGAATACCAAATCACAATTTTATGAACAGAGTTACAAAGAGTTTTGATAAGCCTGTTGCATTGACAAGTGCAAACTTCAGCAATGAGCAATCTACTTTGTCTATCAGAGAATTTGAACACCTATTTGGTCATTTGGGAGCTGTCTTTGATGGAGGTGTGTTAAGTCAAGGGCTGGAGCAGAATAGGACTGGGTCCACTGTGATAGACTTGTCCCAAAATGGTGTCTACAATGTGGTTAGAAGAGGTATTTCCTATGATCGAGTAGTCAAGATTGTAGAATGTTTTGGTTTAAAATGTATGTCATAAGCTATTTATGGATCCTGTGATAATGTAATAGATAAAATAAATGCAATGTTTTGCCATATTCTTGTGTTCTCAAATTCATCACCATGGAAAAACTAAATGTCAATAAATAAAACATGCGGGTAGTTAAACAAAATTTTATTTTTAGAACTGTAACAAGCATTTCATTCTTATAAAATAAAATTTGGCTAGTGGTCATCCAACTCATAGTTATATTTTTTACATTCACTTAATTCCATGATGAAATGTACATTACATAAGAAGTAAGATTGGTAGTAAGTACAGTATTATAAATAGGAGATAGTGAGAGATAGAGATAGAGAAGGATAGTCTAATTATTGAGATACATTATTGAGTACATGAACAACAATCTATGATTGCATTCTTATTTAATATTTACAGGCTCATAGCAATAAATAAGGAACTAAATGATGACTATTATCATAAAGGTATTGTTGAGATGCCATCAAAATTAATCATTCAACTGTTTTTACCATTTTTTTCGCTAAAAGAACATGTTTACTATTTTTCTAAATAAGGTTTTCTGTTGTCTGGCACCTTTGCTTCTAGTTTTTGCCATCTGCTAGGTGGCCACACGATGTATGCTGCCCTGGCGTTGACTAGGCCCAATGAGACAGGCCCAAAGGTGTTGCTGTCGAGTGTGTGACCAGTGTGATCACCTTCAACCCAACAGTGCCCCTCGGGAACTCTGACGTACTGGGTCTTGTAGCCTAATGTATTCACAACATCACCTTGCAGTCCCACGATGCGTTTTATTATCTTCTGGTTTGGATCTTTCGGCGACACTAACGATATCACGTCACCTCTCCGCAAGTTATAGTCTCTGACCGCCCACCTTGATAGAAATACATAGTCAGTGTTTTTAGAGTCCGGGTTAAGCACCGGCTGCATGGATATGCCTTCAACTCTGGCCACATAGCCGACTGTGTCAAGAAAGGTTATACCGATCGGTACACCTAGGAGGACGGACTTGCATATACTTTTTAACCACATGAATACAACGGTATGTGATTTTGTGACAGAGATGTGTCCGGCATAGTCGTTCCGAAAGTAGATTTCTTTATATATAACTTATAACCATTTTTAAATAATTATTTATTTCTCTTTCTCTGAGGTAGTTAAAAAATATAAATTTTGTGACATTTCAAACAATGACAGTCTTGACTTGACAGAACGAAGATAAACGTCGAACCATTGTAGATAAACAATATTATTCATGTAGGTGAGAATTTTAGTATTCCAGTTTTAGTCTATGATAATAATGTTATGGCCACACCATCGGCAGAGATTTTTTTGATTCAGTCAAAGTGACGAGAATATCTGTCCTGTCACGTCACGCTCATTCACTTGTGAATGACCATAGAGTGACTTTCGGTCTTTACAAATACTCAAAAAAGTGTTGATGCTTTCTATAGTAAATTACAACCAACCAAACAGAAATTTTGGACATTTTATTTGTGTGTAGCACATATAATATCAATTGAATTAAGTTGTATAAACACATGTTTTTAACAATCGGGACCCAAGGAGTGATTTCAAAATAATACTTGATAGATGGAAGTGTTCCGTGGTCGAGAAAAACTTACAATCTGCATAATCAGCTGTCAGTGAGATAGATCATCTGTCCCTGTAAATATAAAAGCTAAGACAATCACAACACGTTTTAGTTTGATATGTGTGTATAATGAAGTAAACAATCGAGCTACGATGTGACCCTGAATGCACTCGCTACAGACAGCGATCTCGAAGCAGATATGGGGTAATAACCTATCAGCGGAGTGAGGCTGGCTACGGTATGGCTGGACTCCCGTAAGGTGAACGCACGAGTTTCACGATTGGGTCATTGGTTTAATGCTGAAACATGTCCGGCGATTACCCGTTCGCAGCGAAAATTGTGAGCCCGGTTAAGTGCAATGAAAAGCCCTGGGATCTGTGGGTCAGTGAAATAGGGCACCTGTCGCCGCGGCAGGATGACGATGCGACGTTCACGACGCCGGCGGCTGTGGACAAGGGTGGCGCGTCCGTGCGGCGAGTGCACGACGGCCACCCGTACAAGCAGGCGGACAGGCAGGCGCGCTACCGCCGCGCCGGCCTCAACCGCCTCAAGTATGAGAGCATGAGCCTCCACGGACTATTCCCTCAGATGGACAACTTGAATGCTGCAGTGTGTCATATGTGTGGAGTGATAGTGAAATGTAGTGCAGCGTACAGACACTTGCTAGAGTCTCACACAGGGGCCGAGCCCCTTCCCCCGCCGCCCCCACCTGTCTCTACACACAAAAGCCGCAGTCGACATAAAAAGGAGCCCCCGCCACCACCCATCCCTGTAGATATACTCCCCGTAAAAATGGATTCATCCCCAGCCCACACCGCTACACCTCCACTGTCGAGGCTAATGCTACCTCCACAGCCTGACCTACAGTACCTGGATGAAGCCAGCACATCCTCCGCTGTGCCGGGGGAGGTGAAGGTGAGCATGGAGTGTGGAGAGTTACCAGTGGTCAGTATACAGGACACAGAGGATCTACCCCTTGGTGAAAATTTAACTGATGATATTTTTGCAATAATGAATTCTGAAGGTATTCAGAGTGCAGATGACATCACAAATGCAGCAGACTGGAAAAATATTATTAGAGATATAGGAAATATGGGTGAAATAAATTTTCCCCAAGCTACGGACACTGTTCCAGCACAAGACTTGTATCCACCTATACACTCATCATCACTAGCATATGCAATATCAGATTCAGATCTCTCCAACATTCAATTTGCGGCCAACACATCCCCCATGTTGCCTACGGTGATGGACGCGAATGCGCTGAACCCACCGCCACCAAAGCCAGTGGCTACGCCGACCACACCGTCGACAAAATCATCTTCTAGGTCAAAAACTAGTAAAACGAAGTTTAATTTACGAGAATACGATCCGAATAAGCATTGCGGTGTAGTGACTGCAGAGAACCCCAAGCCTTGCACGAGGTCACTGACGTGCAAGGCACACGCACTGTCATTACGGAGGACGGTCGAGGGGCGCTCCAAACCCTTCGACACGTTGCTGGCGGAGCATCGAGCGTCGCGGGACGCGGGCGCGGCCGCGGCGGCGGCGACTGCGGTCGCGCCCGCTCCCGCAGCGCCCGTGCAGCTCGCGCCAGCGCCCGCGCCGCCGCCCGCCGCGCCTCTCAACCTCCCACCGCTCCTAGTCAATACCTCGATAGACCTGAGCACGTTCAACGGTCTCACCGCCGAGCAACAGGTCAACGACATCTATGCGAGCCTCCTCAACGTGGAGGATCCTAACTCGGTGCTTCCCGATACATCGAGCATCACGTCTCTTTTGAGCCAACCGTTAGCTCCTGAGGCGTTTCTCATGCCAGACGATGCGGAAATACCTCCAGAAGTCCCAATCTTGAGCATAGCGTCCCCGTTGCCGACGCCGACGGCCCGGCTGGACGACAAGCCAGACGAGGCGCCTCCGCCGCTGGTGCCTGCAGACGTGTGTTGGTACTCGTCGTGCCCGCGCCCTCTGGCGCTCTGCACCTTCAACGCGTCGCATGCTGGTGGTGCAATCACTTTAGGTAAAAAATTCGCGACTGTTCGAAGTAATATAAAGTCTTCGCTGTCACGATCGCAGTGCAAGTCGTCGGGTAACGTGAACAATTACTATTATAATCCGAACGCCCTGTCGTTATCGAAAACAGTGCATATGAACGCTAGTAAAACGAATAAGCCTGAAGTGCGTAAACTGATAGTGACGTGTAGTAGTGGCATGGGGTCGGCAGGAGTAGGTGCGGGCGGCAAGGAGGTGCAACAGACGCTGAACGAGCTGTTCGGCGGCGAGGTCCGGCACGCGCTCAATGGGCACGCGGCGCACGTGGCGGGGCTGGCGGCGGTGGCGCGCCGGCCGCCGCTGAAGCACGCGGCGGGCAAGCGGCCGCCCGCGCCAGTGTTGGACCTCGGGTTCTCGCTTGACCCGCTGCTGGCCGACGAGAAGTGCTGAGCACCAATAAGCAATCACCGGTTGTGTAGTCACATAATAATAATTGTATATTTATTTTTCTGTAAAGAATCGAATCGGATTCACGTATGTAAAATGTAAAATAATCACGAATTTTCCCGCAAGGAATTTAATGTTACGATAATGTTAAATCTCATTTTTTTTCGTCGACAAGCGAACTAATGTTTGTATTATTTTGTATATTATTTTATAAGATTTTTTTTAAATCCTTCTCCGATACGAGAGTCGGGTATGTGTCAATGAAGAATTAAAAATAGATTATTACAGAATGGTTGTATTTTTTCGAAATGACATATTACTCATTGTTGATACTGAATTGAATACTGATAAATGGCCTAGGATTAATAATGGTTTAATAATGTGATGAAAATTTCCATGTAAAAATATAAATACTATTAAAGTAAGTATATCCATAATAGTAAATCGCCTCCTTTGAAAAATAAAGGCAAATACCTCAATAACTAAAATAACTTGTTTTAATTGACCAGTTTGCACCTAAAAATGTATTTAATATGAATAAATCGAGCGCTGGAACAGGTTTCCCATTAGTTCCTATGAGTGCTACTAGTGGAATTACCTGCGCCGGCGTTGTTATGCTTGTGTGAAGATTGTTAATAGCCCCGTGTGAGTTTACATTTGTAGATAAATAGAATAGATATGAGTACTGATTCATTGCTTTATTCAAATCCCACGAAATTGGCGAGGACATGCGAAGGTCTTCGTACAAGCATACAATAAGTACCTACCTACTTGTTTGTGTAAAACTTATGTTTACCAGAGCACGCAAGCGTGAGTATGAGGGGCGTGCGTCTCCTTGACGGCACTGGCGATGCATCTGTTATTATAATGGACATGAGCGATGCCGGCGCAATAATCAAATCAAACTCAGTACTTACGTTGCATCCGTTTGTTACGTTATTTTTACACACAATAGGCTTGCCGGTTACATGTGGTATCCGGTGGAGCTGACGTCTCGTTTAGATCTTGATTTTCTGCTAATCCAACAACGAGCGTTTAGATTGGATGAGTGCAAGACATTATAGATTATATACCTATAATCGTGTACCCACGATGAGTTTAATATGTAAAGATTGCCCTGCAAAAGGTCTTTTAAAACGTTTTTGATTGATATTGCAACAAATCATCATAAGAATCGTGGTCACCACAAGCGACATACTGACATAAATTGTCCAACAACGGTACCAAAGGAAAGCTTGTGACCTACACTGCCAAGAAAAAACTCGACAGAATAAAACCGGATAATAAATTAAACCAATTTTAATACCATCGCTTGTACCATTTTTATGTTGTTAAAGACGATTGCCATTTGGGACCTTTTATTCCGCTCTGCTCATGTCAGGTATACGAGTACCAAGTTATTCAGAAGTTTGTTAGGATATGAGACTATGAGATACTTTTTCAGGCAAAAGTTTACTTGCAGAATAATTCATGATCAAAGCTGGAAACAAGGATCACAGGATTACTTAAGTACTTAACGTATTAAAATCAAGTGTTTTATGTATCACGCACACACCTATATACCTTTATGCCTTTCTACCTGTTGTTATCCATTACCCTTCACGATGTCATATAATTTCACAGCGTAGCAGAAAAATATAGCAACAGGACGCGTAACGCTTACCACTCTGTTCCTCCTAGTCGTAGTAATCCACAGGTGTCTGCTCACCACCTGTGGACCTGAACGAATGATGATCAACGAGGCCACTCCTCACATGCTACAGGTAGATAAACAGACACAGGTGGTGCCCATACATATGCTTCATTCAGTAAATGACGACTAACATCCACATACATACATAGTCAATTATCGTCGCGCCAATGGGAGACATCATTGGGGTAAGCAGAGACACTAGGACGCCAAAAAATGACACGATTCTGGCATACCTTTTGCTTTTTTATCTGCATTCATCAATCTCTTCATGCATGCTCGTCAATTGAATTGAAGTTGAAGTATCCAGAAGTCCATGTCCATTGACCCTTTTTTTTGTATGACACATCTACTGATCGACATAACACCATACCTTTCGTAATCGCCAACAGGGGTAGGTAAAGACAACTCGTGTGCATCATATTCATAATTCTTAAGAGCCGACTACTTAAGCCATATATTTTGATAGTGACCCGGCAGCACTAAAGTGCAGCCTGCAGCAGCGCTCTCTGATAGACTTGAACCTTTTAAATGTTGATTTTTAAACACCCTGACAATCGAGGAGATTAGGTATAGCGTTTGCTATCTTTTCTTATGGAGTGGAGACGCACCAGTGGACAGACAGTCACATACGGGCACGGCAGTTGATGATATTTTTTTTTATTGATGGTGGCAAGCCATGCTGTGGTCTACGTTGGAGTACGTCGTCCCATAAGCAACCTATTCACACAGGCCACGAAGACACCCAGGTTATACCCTTCAGGAAATACAGACTCTGGTAAAGAATTCTAGTTCTTAGCAGTACGCACAAGGGGTCTTGATGCGAAGCGCTTCGTGCGTATGGGTGGGATATCTATCGGTGACGCTTCGCCGATTGTGTTGTGGTACGATGATGGAAAGGACTAGGGGGAATCCAGCTGTCCAATTCCCCCGCACACTCACTGAAATGTATCCGGTAGAAAACCGAAATGCTTGCAACCCTACGCCTGTGTTCGAGGCTTTGAAGCCGGGCCTCCACAAGCGCATCATCGTTGATGAGCCTCGTGACACGCCTCTCAAAGTGCTCTAATGTGTCTAGCTGCTATTTAGCCGAACCGTACCAAAGATACAGGACCGAATACTCCATATAGGACCGAACCTGTGGCTGGTACAGGATCAGCAATTGTTTCGGCGTGAAGTAACGTCTCACCCTCCATAAGATACCCAACTTCCTACCAGCTAGTTGCGCTTTCGACTCTCTATAGGAGTTAAAGTTGATGATGTTTATTACTTTTTTAGTCTTACTTAGTCATTGCTTGTTTAGACATTTGCGTAAGTAGATTTGATTGACGTCAAAATTCCAGTCGGCTGTTATCCTGTACTGTCTTATCTATTGATATTGCCTAATAACCAATGTGCGCACTCCAAAATACACCTATTTATATTACACATTACGCCTAGATCTACAACAACAAAATTTTGTGCAACAATCGAATCCGCTATACATCGCGCAGCAACCGGTCGTTCAACTGCACTCACTGTGTACCTAGTGTAAAATTCTAAATATTTTTCGATTGTTTCTAGTAAGTATATAGGCGTCGCGGAGAACCTAACGGGTAACCGGGGCTCCGGCTCGACGTGCAGGAGAAGGAACGGGGTGGTTTTTAGTCAGTAAGAGTCTGACACTCCATTCCGCCTCACCCAGGCGGGAGCAGCCATTCGATGATTTTCCCCCCTTAAAAAAAAAGTAAGTATATAGTCATATAGGTACCTACTGCTTGAATCTGATTCTCAGAATGGATAATATGCCAAAATTCAATCCATGACCTTTGCTTAGCAGTCGTACTTGCCTCTTGCCACGACCCTTGCTACAACACGTGGCAGTTCAGTCAGGGAATCAAAGAGCATAATAATTATAGGGGAAGGTATTCAAATGAAAAATATTGAAATATCTATGTTCCCTAACCTAAGTAGGTACCTATATCTACAAGCCTACAATGTATGACAATCTCGCAATGATTGAATGCTGAGCGCATCAAACGGCTCGTTATTTGCGCAAATTACGCGACGACTCGATCTAATTGGTTGTTAGTGTGACTACAGCGATGTGCTGATGCCCTGCCATTATTAGATATTTCATAATGATGAATACTACTTAATACATAATGGTACTTTAAGTAGCATGCGGTTTTAGGAAACTATAAAAGAAATTCGTGGCCAGATCAAAACTTGACATCTTTACAATACCAACTAGGTAGTTATACCTAATTACCTAATGGGCTATCTCGTTGGTTGAGTAGTCGCCAAGCAATGCGACTGCCAAGCAAGAGGTCTTAGGTTCATAACAATAGGGAACGAATATGACATCCATAGATTCAGAGGACTCCTTCCTCTATTGTATTTATGTTGTCCTTTTTACCTTCTACGGCATCCTCTTTCACTGGGCAAATGAGGTATTTCTATGCTATTTAAAACTGGAAACCAGTGTTGGGTACTTACTGTACCCAGCTTAAACTGAGTTGGCGAGCCCTTTCGTCGTGGGCATGCTGCCACCCTGTTCCTTTTTTATAATGTTTTTTTGCTTTTATTGTCTTTTTACTGCTGTTTTTTTAAATGTCATTTTATGTTTTTATTATTTTTGTTTTTCAATGTTATTTTATGTGTGTATATTTGATGGCCTGGTGGCGAATAAATTATTTTTCTATCTCCTTTCTTTCTTTTCTTCTATTTATAACTGAAACAGACAAATGACATAGGTAGGTACGTGTGTACTTAATGGTTACTTAGGTACTGTGAATCTATAATTGCCGCGGCGCTTTGGCTGCTCATAGTTCAAAGATATATATGTAGATACAGCCGTCCAAACCAATGTCATATCAATTGCTATTGAGAATATATAACACCTATGTAGTCTAGAATGCAGTATACCTGCATGCCCCTCAGCTCTCAGCAGTACCTAGGTCCGTAATAAGAAAATTGCAGCTCTTGACATTCTCACTCAATAGCACCACTCAAAGTGCCGCGCCACATTGGCAATCACTGCAATGATGCCGGTATATTATTGCATCTTCGTTTGTTAACATTATGCATTCACTTGCTGCTTACCTACAGACAGTGAATTTGATTCTAACTGTAAAAAATATTTTATTTTCAACTGAATACGACACTGATATTATAAACTAGCTGCTGCCAGCGGTTTCGTCCGCATTCCCGGGGGTAAAAAGTATCTAGCCTATGTATTAGGGGGCGTCAATAAATTATGTGAGGTGTTTAAGGGGGGGAGGGGGTAGACTCAAATCTCATCTAATGTTAGTTGGAGAGTGGGTTGTGCCCGGTATATGGCAATAGGCTCACCCGCTATTACATGGGATTCATAACATAAATAGTGAGAAATGGGTGTTACATTGTACAGTGGCATAATGTGCACCTCTGCCTACCCCTTCGGGGGTAAAAGGCGTGATGTTATGTGTATGTATGTATGTATTTTTATCCCGAATAAATACTCCCATGGGAAAAAACTGGAATACGCGGGCAAAACCGCGGGTAAAAGCTAGTACACAATATCAACATAACACCTTATACTATCCGAAGGTACGTACAGACAGGTAAGCAATAAGCAAATAGGAAATACAAATACTTTAAGTGTGGGACAAAGCCTCACAGAAAACCGACGTGAAACAACGCTGGCGTTGTGTTTCGTCGTGTGAGTGAGGTTACCGGAGGCCCAATTACCCCCCTCCCTAGTCTTCTGAATCCCCGAATCCTCCACAATCCTCAAATTCTCAATTCCCAAAAGGCCGGTAACGCACTTGTAGATATGTAACGCCTTGGTGTTTCGGGTGTTCATGGGCGTCGCCGATTGCTTACCATCAGGTGATCCGTCTGCTCGTTTACCGGCTTATGCTATAGAAAAACTTTGCATGTCCCGGGCATTGAATCTTGGACTTAGAGGGAATCGAATTCAAACTCAACCGCAATCGAAAGCTATAAATAAATGTCTTCTTACTTTAAGCAAATGTGTAAATCGAAATAAGCACCTAATCATAAATTGATCTGCTAATCCACTTTATAAACAGCTCAATTGGTCGAAGGTTTAATAAAGCTGCAAATATTTGTATACCTATAATAATACGTCGCGTCTCCTTATCACCAAGGGAGTAGACTGAATATACATAAGTATTGAATACTACAGACTGGCTGACTTCATTGCACGTTTCGCTCAGTGGCTAGTATCCATAGATATAATAATATGCCTATTATATTATATTAATTATATTTCATATAACATAACATCTGCCTCGTTGGCCGAGTGGTCACAAGTGCGACGGGCAAGGGATCTCGGGTTCGATTCCCGGGCCGGGCAAAGTATTACTGGGTTTTTAAAAAAAAATCTCAGTAGAGCACGGAGTCTGAAGTTGTGCCCGGTATATGGCAATAGGCTCACCCCCTATTACATGGGACTCATAACATAAATAGTGAAAAGTGGGTGTTACATTGTACAGTGGCATAATGCGCACCTCTGCCTACCCCTTCGGGAATAAAAGGCGTGATGTTATTATATTTCATATTTTTAATATTTCTGTGCTAGAAGCCAACGCCTGGGCGGTTTCGATTCCTGCACGGAAAAACAAGCCGTGTGAGTGTGATCCACAGAGGGGATGAGATGTTTGCGTTTGTATGTCATTAACTTAATACTAACCTCTTATTCTGCGAAGGGTGCACATTTAAGAGGAACTTAGATTTGAGAAGTTTTGTAGTCATCTGTACCAGACATGAATATTTTAGAAAGATTCTTACGAGACCGGCAGCGCTACAAGCGGCAGAAAGAAATAATAGAAATGCATGTACAATCGGCAGGTTTGTATCATGATCATGACCCACGTTGACAACAAATCGTATGAAATTATCAAATACAGGTATTTTCCTTGAATAAAAGAATTATTGTGGATCATAATTTAAATATTGTGTGCTAGCTGTTGCCCGCAACTTCGTCCGCATATAATGTTTTGTATTTTTTTTTGTTTCATATTTCCAAAATGAAAGTAGCCTATGTTACTCCTTAGTACATCAGATACCTGCCAATAAAAGTCTTTCAAAATCGGTCTAGCCATTCCAGAGATTAGCCAGTACAAACAGACAGACAGACAGACAGACAACAATTGTAAAATATATTATTTTGGTACCTATGTATTGTATGTATAGTAAAAAGCGGTTATTTTAATATTACAAACATCACTAAAATTTTATTTATCTGTATACTATAGATGTATCTTACTTACTATGCGGACCGTTCCGAATCGTTAATGACTCTCATAGATGTTCTTCTTACCGCAAGGCAACCATATACTATCTTTATCTTTAACTGCTCAAGATTTATGTAAAATCTACAGAAATAAAACATTCCGCTATTTTTAATATTGATTTATTAACAAATACTTTAAAGTTTCAACATTATACAAGTCCATAACGTGAGATTGTCGAACATAAACCAAACAGGTTCGACCACAGAGTATAGTATAAATATTTGTTACTTTTTTAATAGCATTTTTAAGCAATGAAACTTCGCATAGAGTATGAAAATAAGATTCTAGGATTTCTGTTCACAGTTCGATTTAATAGTAAAACTTAATAAAAGTCTTAAATACATATTTATTTTTGTAATCAAGCCTGGATGAAGATTGCAATGTAACTCTAAGCTTAAATACTTTAGAATATGGTTTAAAATCATTTGAAAAGAACTGTCAACATGAACTAAATCGACCATAAAAATAAAATTATTTGACTATAATAATTTCACTTTCATTTCTTCTTATTCTTCCCCAATTTCGTTTTTGATTTAACAACACCTTTGAACTGTTTTGATGTCAGTGCCTTTTTCCTGTAAACAAAATAATTAAATATGATGTTAGACAAATGAATTAGTCATATCCGCACAGCCATATAACTAGTGTGTTTTTAACGCGAACTCCCTTACAAAATCAGTCAAACATTAGACAAACATTAGACAACGATATATACGGGTGTAGTAGGGGCATAAAGCTAGGTACGTAGTATTTCTTGGTTAATGAAGCAAAATAAAAAATAAGTATCAAAATGCATGTAAGTCAAATATTCAACTAAGTGTGAAAGAGCCATACGCACGAATGGGTCGTCTCGACCAGAGCGATATACGGCCTCACAGAAAACCGACGTGATACAACGCTTTGTGTTTCGTCGTGTGAGTAAGGTAACTAGAACCCCCCCCCCCCTTCCACAATCCCAAAAAGGCCGGTAACGCACTTGTAACACCTGGAGTTCCAGGTGTCCATGGGCGACGCCGATTGCTTACCACCAGGTGATCCGTTTGCTCGTTCACCGGCTTTATCCCATAAAAAAACTGAGAGTCACTAGTTTTTCTAAAGTAAACCTTAATGTTTCAACTAGATATTAAAATTACTACAATATTAACTGCCTTTACAATATGTACAGCATATTCAATACATCTTTCAACAAAAAATTTACATTCAATAAAACGTAAAAACAAAAATACAATGACCGTATCACTCGCAAACACTAAACAATGTTACCCCAATGATTTATGTCATTATTCCACCACGGAACGATGTTTTTTACTCCACTTGGAGTTACGCCAAGAATACAAGTTCATGAAAATAAGTCCAGCAGTTCCGGAGAATAGAACGTGACATACAACTTAATGTTGCTATTTTTGTTTCTATCGTTTGGAGCTTAGGAATGACCTCGTTATAGTGTTTTAGGCTCTATTTTAACTATTGTGTGCGTCAATAACTTTGATATATTTAGCATGATATGTATGTATATTATTCGATTAATAATAAAAAATGTTTTCCTATAGAATTTTGACATACTAATTTGCGGTCGTTTATGCGCGGTTTTATTCAATTAGGTTCATGAGACCACAATAAATTCATTTATGTTTGAATTATTGAAATATACCTATATTTTTGTCAGACTATTGCAAAAATATCTACACTATTTTATGAAATGGATCGGTGTTCGGACACTTTCTTAGAAAACCTACCCCGAACTGTCAAAACCGTCAATATTCAATCAATTTGTAACTTGAACTCGAAAACTGTGAAGTTATAAATTTCAGAACAGAATAGATTAACTATTATATTCGCGTTTTTAAATAATATTTTACAGAAATGACATGTAGCACTTACCTCTTATTCAAATTCTTCCTGGATAGCGGTAGATACGCGTAGGGATCGTGTTTGCCTTGTTTCTTCACGTCTCCCTTTGCCTTCTTAGCTCTGTATTCCGATCCAGCGCCTGACGCTACTGATGCAGCTGATCCTAGCGGCCTAGAAGAGAAAATTCCATGAAATATCGAATACACATACATACGTATATAACTTAGTTTACCATCTTGCCGCGGGTGCCGAAAAGGGTAACCAACCGTTGTTAATAGAAAGTTCTTTTTCTTTTTAGAACCCACGTTTTAGCAACGTTTTCTAAAATACTTGATCTGTTTTTAAACTGTGATCTTCAAACCGCTTGCCAAACAACTGATCAATCCCCAAGTAGTCACCGCTGACCGCTCTGCACTAACTCCATTATAGACCTTATTTCCGAAGTGTAGAGACTACTTTTGTATGAACAAATTTTGCGGATTTATATCGGTGATTGTGTACGCGTTTATGACAAACTCCCTCTAATGCAAAGGGCTTAGTTAGCTTAGTTAAATATCAATTGCTGTGCTCCTAGCGCCCGGCTACAAGTCGATCGCAACAATAATACAACGCATGCATGAAAAGATTGGAGACTGTTGAAGACGAAGAAGAAAGAGGTATGTAAGAATTGAATATTTGCCAACTAGTCAATTTGTACGAGATTGTGTATGTATTAAGATATATATTTTAGAGTCATAAAATCAATTGATGAAAGTGTGATTTAATATCTTATTGTATTGAACAGTCGAAATAACTAATTTTTGATTAAGGAAAGTACCCCATTGTAGCAATTGGTGTTCTATAGTCTCGGTCTATAGAACGTGTTAAAAATCATGCATGTTCTCTGTTGCTGAAATACGACATGACCAATAGGGGCACGAAAATACCTATGTGTCGCATGTATGAAATACAAGCGGTTGAAAGATTAATGGTAAAACACAAGACCCACTTATATGGAGGAGGTTCTTAGTCTCAAAGTGAACCGTTAAGTTACGGGCTGCTCATAACAATGACTCTTATAAAACACTAATAAATATTTTCTATATGAACAGTCTACATACCTATGGATACCCTTGCCTCCCGCCTTATACTTGGATCCAACAGTGACGGTGGACGCGCGACTCCTGCTTGACTTGCCACTCTTTAAGCTGAGGATATCATCGTAGCGGCGTTTGGCACCAGGCTTGAGTAGTTTTGAGGGTTTAGAGTCTTCTTCTTCAGCGTCTACAGTAAAGGAGGGAATTCATAAACTAAGCTTCATGTCATATTAATTAAACTAATAGGGGGCGTCCATAAATTACGTGAGGTGTTTTATTTATTGTCTGCTCCTCCCTCCCCCATCCCCCAATCTCACGATGAGATTTTTCAAAATCTTGTTTTTTCACGTAAATGCTTTGGATTGTTATTGCAAAAAAAAACCATGTGCATGTACAATTATATCTTAAGCGTGTACAATCTGGAATAAATGAACTATGAAGTCGGTAAAAATAGTATAATTTTTTTCTCCAACTTAAGATTATATGAGATTTGAGTCGACCCCCTCGCCCCCTTAAACATCTCACGTAATTTATGGACGCCCCCGCCCGCAAAACAGTAAGAATCTTGTAGTTTATGTAGGTATTGTAATATATTTTACAATAACGTCATCTCTAGTGACATCTGTCATATAACGAAGGTAATAAATAGAGCGCGGGTACTTCTTTTGTGTCCGTCGATTTACCGACCGGCACGCAGAGCGGTTGTGCGTTTACCAGCCAAGCATTAATACCTATATGATAGATATTACATGATGAACATATTTATATATCAGAATGTCATAGCATTGGCATTGCCACAGGTGAATCCTACAAATCTTTTGTCTAATTCATCTATGAGATGCTACGTCACAAAAATAATAAATCTTTAGAGTTTTTAATGATAACTTAATATTTAAATAAAAATAAAGTCATAAGTACTGTTATTCGAAAAACATTATAATTAGTATTATTAAAATTTATCTTACCAGTATCATCAGTGTCCGTGTCAATATCCCCGCTCGGTCGTGGCGTGTCATTATCATCATCGTCGTTTTCGAACGCATCATCAGTGATGATCAGTCTACCATCAGGCGCAGTCTTGAAGCCACCGTCCTTCTTTTTCTGTGCTTTAACTTCTGACGCCTTCTGCTTGCGTGATGGGTCCGTTGCTAGAAGAAAGTTGTGAGAAATAAGCTTTATTGAGGATGTTATACAGATTTTTATTCAGAACGTAAGTTGGTGAATATTGAAATGGTCATAATAGCATTCCAGATTCAGATCAATACGACTGATCTTTAATTGTTTCTGCAAATATTGACCTATTGGCTATTGGTAACAAAAATTAATCCTTCGTGTGTCTAAACGTGGATGCACGCGAGACACAATGTATTTTGTATCGTGTCACATATCAGTGCATTCAAGCGGTTAAAGGCTGATTTTCTTTGTGGGTCATAATACAAATTGGTCGATTGTACTTTTTACTATAACCTGTCTATCATCAAGAAATTCACAACTAAAAGAATATCTTTTATTAAATAAGTACCACATTATAATGAGCAGAATAATTCTATTTTAACCATTTGCCTGTATGTGATTTAATTGAAATAAACATTTTGTCTTTGAATATAATTTTCTAACAACATACCTGTAATCTTTCTAGAAGCTGAAACATCAGCCAAGTCCACAATATTCTCCGGGTCATCCTCGATCCAGGCCTGGTTTTTGCCCTTGGTCTTGGTCATCTTCTTGACCTTGGGCCTCGGCTTATTATCCTCTTCATCCAAGAACTCCATCTCGGAGTCAGAATCTTTGAGAATGTCCTCCAAAGTTTTCGATGTGCCCTTGATTGGCAAATCCGTGTCTGAATCATCTGATTGGCCACTGAAACGTTGATATTATGTTAGAAAAAAGATTAAAAGGTTGGCTGGAAGACCGGCTGGATAAGGGTTAGCTATCGCGATTATCATAAGGAGTAACAAATTCTTTCATCATCAATCATCAACTGCCTGTTTTCGTCCACTGCTGGACATAAGCCTCTCCAATGGCACGCCACTGAGCTCGATCTTCAGCTCTACGCATCCAACCACTACCAGCCACTTTACGTATATCGTCACTTCACCTAGCTGGAGGGCGCCCTATTAGCCAAATTCTTTGTGTTCCATAAATTATTGTTCTTAATCTAGATACTGACACAGCACAACAGTAAATCGTAGTGTGACATCTTTTTACATAAAAATGTGTGTAAAAACATATCTGGATTGGTGCAGAGGCGTATTGTAAACCGTAATACACACAGTTTTAATTTTTTTACACAGCGGTAACCCCACTAACACGGCGAAACACAAGGGAGACATTGTTTCACGACGGTTTTCTGTAAAGCCATGGTATCACTTCAGTCAAGCCGATCCACGTAAAAAAATCCCATTTCTGAAAAGTTAACTTGGAATTCAATATACTCACTTCTCACTCTCCTTCTGTCTCTTCTTCCTATTATCCATCTTGCGAATATTCCTCAATCTTCTCAACATAACCTCATCAGTCGGTGGAATTAGTTTCTCCACTGTATCAGCTCCGAATTTCCTCATCATTTTTGTTAAGAAGTATCCTATCTCCAGCCGGGAGTGCCTCTTGCAGTCTTCTGGCATGTTAGATAGGGATTTGAAGATAACTGGTAGACTGCCCGCCAGGACATCTGTTGGTAGCACTTTTGTGTACACCTGTGTGTGGAATAAGTGTAATTTTGTTAAGATTTGCGATGAAAAATTATGTGGTAAAGAGAAGAAAAATCATATTTTTTAAATAAATACTTAACTACATTCATAATATACATAATAAGAATACCAAAGACACTTTTAACAAAGCATTGAATAATTTAGATGACTTGCGTTATATCATAAAGATAACACAGTCGCTCTCGAATAAAGGCCCCGAGCGTCACTTGAAACTAGTCGGGTTACCTTGTAAAATATTGAATTACTAAAGTGACCCACCAAACATATTTGATGTCTCATGACAGTGACAATTAAAATAACTGAAAACAACTAAAATGATGTGTTGTCTACACATCAAAGTTAAACCTACCTTCAAAAAACTCATGCAAGCAGCAACAATCTCCCTGTTGTTATTGGTCATGTGTTCCACCACAGTCTCCAGCAGACCCTGGACAGTCTCCAGCCCCATGTCTTCTGAGAAGTTGAACAATGCTGACGCTATGGCGCGGAGTGTAGCGCTGACGATGCGAGGGAGCGGCGCTGAGAGACCCGAGGTCAACATGTTCACAAATGCTTGCATGCCTGGGGGATAAACGTTAAATATTTTATTAGAATTTCATTCGAGAAAAAACGCTAGTGTTTTAGTAGCAAAAACACACATTTAGTTTTTCAGTACATGTAAGATACACGCTAAAAACATAACACTACCTACAACATGTAACGTAATTAACGCACACCCTCAAACACCCCAATTAGAATATTATGTTATAATCATAATACATACACTAAATTTTTAATTTAACATGTATTTGCATCCTTACTGGTTTTGTCATAAGGTTTATTTTTCTTTATTTTGTATTGAATAATAGAATTTGTATTAATACAAATAAAACTGCGATTTTAAAAGTCTTATTGCTTTGACTTACGGTCCATTACGATTTGTTTTAACAATACAGGGTTAATATGACAATAATTTCCGTAGTTTTAATTATTTTTGGGATAAAAAATTACCTATACTAAAAATTATATAAATCGATTCAGTTAACGATTCTGAACAAACTATTTTCAGGATGTGCGTTATTTAAGTTAAATGTTGTATAGTCGCGTACAAAAAAAACATCTCAACCGAAAATGATTTTTTGAATATGATGGTGGGAGTAGTGATATTCATGAGTTGGTTCCAAGATGTCGTTTTACTTCTTGACTGGTATATAAGACAATAGAAAATATGGATGGATCTGCGTTCCGGCCCACGACGGGATAAGAAGCTAATTATAGGTCCCGAAGTGGGTCGAAAGTAGTCAAGCTTTCTCAAATAATTCGCCTGAAGCGTTAAAGATTTGAAAATCTAGCACACTAAAACTGGTTTACAAGCTCATAAACTACGGGAAATCAAGAAAAATCAACTCAAGTTCCATACAAATAAAGTATATATTCCCTTACCTCCTTCCTGCGACTTCAGAACGGTTCCAACACTGTTTATAAGGTTGAAGGCACACTGTCTACATTTGCTATTTATGTCCTTGGTACATATCACAGATTCCGCTATAGCGCTCTTCAATAACTTGCTCTCCGCGTTCAAGAACGGAGTCGTGTTTATTAGGTGTTCTATACATCTGTTGACAAAAAACGAGATAAATTGTACAGCTGTAAAAGGTTTATATTACAACTTACGTGAGACATATTAACCTTTTCGCCGCCCAGCTATACTAAACACGATGTGTCGCCGTACGCCAACGTATAAATGTATAATAAATGTATAGTACGAAAGTAGGGATGGCGGTAACATCATGTCGATAATGAAAAAAAATATGTGTAAATTTAAATTGGTACTCAAATTTACAATTAAAAATACAAACTGTTAAGTTATAATGGTAATTTGTTTTATTTTATGAACATTTATACTAAGTATATCATATAAATGGGTATCCGTTATCAGAGATGAAGATACATGCATAGAGTTGCTAGAGATAATAATAATAATTCGTAACATTAGCCACTTCACTATTCATTTCATAACGTAGTCTGTTTACTTCATATCAAGTCATTGGCGTTCAAAGCACGATACATTTCGTAAGGAATAGTTGTCTATGCTTTTCTTTCTTTCTATCGAGTTTGGTTTGCTTTTGGTTTTAGTTTACATTTAAAATCTAACGTCAGGTCACGATCAGGAACATTGTTTGTAGTGATTAAAAGTGGCAACATATGTGTAGTTTTGGAAATGGATGGTAAGTAACTATTTTAATACAGATGTACTAAACTTTAATAGCTTATTTTTCATTTAATGCAAATGAAAAACTGGCACGTTTGATGGATATTAGGTAGTCATAAAATACCTATTCGTTGCGGCTCTCGGTTTCGCAAACTTTTAGCTGTGTCGGCGAACAAATATAGACCTGAGTCGATCACAAATTTTTCGCGACCCAAACAGTTTGTAATCGAATCAAAATGACTCAATCATTTGGATATTTCATAATCATGAAAATAATTATAGGTATAGGCCGTGCGATTAATTATGAGCGCTGGACGAAAGTAGAGGGGGATGCGCAGTAGCGATTTTATACTAAGAATCGCTACTGCGCATACCCCCTCTACAATTTAGTTCATCAGCGAGGGCTCGTCGCTCGTGACACGTCGCGCGACCTATACCATTCTCGATCACTGCACACGGCAACGCCGCGACTTTATCTTTGGCGCGCTCTATAGGCACGTTTTTCTTATTTGCTTTCCCATTCAACATCAAAGTCGGAATCAGGTTCCACACCTTGTAACAGCCGCAACAACTCATCCGAATCATATTCGGTCATTTTGCACTGCACTGGGAAAGAAAAATGTGCGTGCACGCGTCGCCCGGAACTATGACACAATGACCTTGACGCCTAAGCGCTTACGACGTCACAGGTTTACTTCTATTGAAGTTGACGGCGCTAGTGTCACTCGACATCTTGCCATTACGTAGAGATGGGTCTAGCAATATCGAAAACCCTCAGTACATAATAATTAATTTTAATGAAATGATTTGATAGGTAGATGTACATTAATTGTGAAACGCATTGTAATACGTTATTTACTGACCGGAATTTCTTTTTATTCATAGAATTCAAAAAACTATTGGATGGAAAAGAAAACAAATATTATAGTAAATAAAGATTCTAATGAATGCTCCTTACGCGTCACATCACTGGCCTACTTGATATGAAGTCGTTGGCGTGCGGGATATAAAATTATTTGAAACCTTTTATGTTTTACCTTTTTAAAACAGAAAATAGTCTGTTTTGCATGAGAAAAAATAGTTCGTCGTGTCCATATTACAAAATTACAAAGAAACAAATGTTTTATGTATCGTAAATGTATTTTTTATAGTAGGTAGATACAATGAACTTCTATAGAAGTAGTGGCGTGGACGGCACGAAAATCCTGAACTTCTATAGAAGTTGTTGGCGGCGAAAAGGTTAAATTAACTGAAAATCGCAAGTTACTCACGTGAAAAGCTCTACTAATTTCGAACCGCGCACGCTGCTTATGAGGAAGTACCCTTCTGTGGTTCGAAACTAGTAGAGCTTTTCTCAGTATATTCAAGTGAGTAACCCGCGATTTTTAGTTAACCTGTAAAAGGTGTTCTAAAATTGACTTCTGTGTTAATCAAGAGGTCGTTAGGTTAGCTCAACTTTTGATCAAGGGGGTTCGGATTTGATTAAAAAATCAGTAAAGTCATTAAAAGGACTTTGCACTTTGCTCAGTAAAAATACAAAGCTTAACGCTATGCAAAGTGTAGATAGACTAGCTTCTATTAAAATGGATGAAACATAACTAGAAAATAGTGGGTAATGTTTTTTTATAAATTCTGCACGCCTCTATAGCTGACAGGTCGAGTAAAATTCTATAGACTTAAATACTTCAACAGGGACTTCAGAACAACCTATGGAATGATGAATAAGCGAATAATATTTGATTTTACATAGTACATATTATGAAGTAGAGATCAGTATAGATACAGATTACATTCTTACCTCAATCTAGCAGCTTTACTGCTATCAGCGACCTTATTCAAGGACGACATGAGCAACTTCTTAATCTTCTTATAATTCTCTTTCAAAAACTCTTTGCAACTCTCTTTGTCACTTTTGAAGATCTCTTCTAATATCCTATAAGCCTTCTTGTGTTCCATTTCTAGAAGTTTTGATTTTTCTTTATATTTTAATTCACTCTTCTTTTCTCCCTCTCCATTCTCTGTCTCCATTTGATTCTCTTTTTTGGCTTTTTTATGTTTTTTCGGATCTTCCAAAACTGTTTCGCACAGTGGATATACCCATTCGTCAAATAGTTTGGCTATTCGTTCGCTAGTTTGATATAGGACTAACGTCCTTATGATGTCTAGAATAGCTTCCCTTTGGAAGTGATTTTCCTTTGAAGTTTCTAACTGTTGGAGGGAGTTAGTGAACAGTTCTTCGCGTAGTGTTTTGTCGCTTATTGTTAGGTATACCTGTCGAGATGATTTTAGATGTTATTATGTGCTTTTTACAATTTCAAGTTAAGTTAAAAAAGGCTAAAACTGGTTTCTGTTTGTTACGTATACAAACATAAATCATTTTTCATTTTTAAGTTTCCACCTTAAATGGAGCTCATGAAAAGCGTGCGCATATGATTAAAGGATCCGGTAGAGCTTGAAACCGCTCGAGGATTTTCTTAGTGCAATAATAGAAGTAAGCCGCGTAATCATTATTTAATTTAGTATATTAAGGGCTTGTTTCACAATGTCTACTGATGTTGATTTTAACTGAAAGACATATTTTGACACGTTTTGTTGACGAATACACCAAATTGTGAAAAAGCTTTAAATATATCATATGTGAAATACTATAAAAGATTACCTGTATAGTTTCCAAAGCAGCCAGCCTGTGTCCTTCAGCGTAACTTCCCTTAGCGGGCGACATGTATACGTTCAATAAAATCGGCAAATAATTCTTCGCAAACCTGCCCAATTCTAGCTTATCTTCTTCGTTATCAGCGGAACAAGTTATAAGCTTCCTAAGAGCCTGCATCACTGACAACCTAAACTCCGGGTTATCTTTCAAAACACTACCTAAAACCCTTGCTATGGATTTGAAACTATCTTTTATATCTTTCGGACTATTACAAAACGAGGGCAATAAGGCCCAAAATTGATTGCATAGCAACTCATAAGTGTGTGAACCGGGAACATCCTTCAGTTGGGTCAACTCTCTAGACCTTTTGCGACAAAACGTTGCCATTTCTAGAATATCTGTTGCGAAGAATTTAAGGTTGGAATTTGTTATCTTTTCTTTGAGTACGGGAAGGAGCCAACTTCTTTCTAAGTTTATATTTTCTGGTCCATCTCTCAAAGGTATTATGCGAAGGACAAATTCTGGGCCTAAAGATTTGATGGCGCATCCAGTAGCGTATTCAACCTCCTTGTCGTTGTCAAAGTTGTGACTCTCGCGACGATCGTTTAGTTTTCTCAAAAGAGGTCCAAGTGAGTTTGCTACCTTTTCGTTACCGATCTGTAAGAGAAAAGTAATTTATACTACAATTTTAAACAACAATAATAGAGTTCTGTTGAACGAATTATTAATTTTTTTGCAAAAGGATTTTACACATATTTTTATTATGTATGTATACTTTTCTTTTTTTTTTAAACCTGCCCCACACTTGGATCTTCTTCTGTGTCGTGGGTGCGTTTACAAACATACAAGTTCACATACACAATGACACCCAGACCCGAAACAACAATTTGTGGATCACACAAAGTGTTGTCCCGTGCGGGAATCGAACCCGCGACACGTTGCACGGCAGCTGGTTGCCCAGCCACCGCACCAACCGTGCAGTCATTGAAATGCTATTGCTATTTAACATTCTCTACACTAAGTCTTTGGTGACACAACAGAAACTGCTTTTCTTGTTATTTCTTTCTTTCAAAAAGGTATACATTTAAATATTAACCTAAAATTCATACAAATTAAGTCCATCTTTCATCGAAGGACACAGTTATAGTCATTATACCCAACATGCTAATACATAAAAGAAGATAGCTTCGATATGCAACTTATTAAACAATTATACGCCTTACCGTAACGTAAATAAAGTATATATTACCTCGAAACACACAGCTATAGTCATTACAACGTGGCGGATAGCTTGATTGAATGGATTGTCGAGGCCCGTGCCGATACTCTTGAAGATAGCTTCGATATGCGGCTTGTGTTTGATAAATGTCTCGTCGGAATCCAGGGCTAACTTCACACAGTCCAGAAGAATAGCCTGTTGAGGGACAAAATGTTAGAAATAAGTATAAATAGGTATATTTATGACGTGACACCCTTTCATATAAAGGATGTAAATGAAACACTCCCGAAACGCTGACAAAATAGAATCATTTTTATAATTCTAATTGTTTTTGTGTTGTTCATGCAACATCAGCCTAAAACCAGTTGATTTCAATTATTATTACATAAAAGAAACGTTTCATTCCATACTTTTATTATATTAAAATTTATTTTAATAATAACTATCGTGAGACATACTAATTAACTAAAAACCGCGGGTTACTCACTTGAATATACTGAGAAAAGCTCTACTAGTTTCGACTCACTGAGCTCGTGGGCTGCGCGTCGTCGCCGCGACCGCGCACGCTGCTCATGAGGAACCCCTCTGAGGTTCGAAACTAGTAGAGCTTTTCTCAGTATATTCACGTGAGTAACCCGCGATTTTTAGTTATGATTAAAATTTGTTTTTACCATCACCTGTCGGTGATTTGCCGGAGCGTTTCTATTATACCCTGTAAAGAGCCTATTACCATATTGCAAGCAGTTTCAGACATCGTGTTACTATGAAAATTTTTGCAAAATCGAAACACTTCTATATTAATTAGCTTGACTTGGGAATAAAACCCCGAGCAAGGGGTCTTAGGAATCGGACCCGAAAACTATCGACTCTTACTTTAATCAAAAATAAGTTATTTTGGAGTTTTATAATATTAATAAAATATAGTTATTTGGAACTGTAAATATGTTACCTTTAAAGCGTTTGTGGACGCGGAGTTGATGTCAGCGACGTCAGAGAGCCACAGCTCAGAGACACAGATGTTTACAAACGCTGGTAAGTTCGGCATACACAGGTTCAGATCCAGACTGGTAAAAAAATAAATCGGGTAAGTTTCTTTGTTATACTATCTTTGATTTTTGACATACTAAAATGGATTGTCCGATTAGAGAATCGAACTTACGCGAAACAACTGCGTTTATTGTAGCGCGAGTGAGATTACCGGAGGCCGAATACCTCCACCCCAATCCTAAAATTAATAACACCCCAAAAAGTTAGCAAACGCCTCTGGTGTTTCAGGTGTCCATGGGCGGCGCCGATTGCTTACCATCAGGTGATCCGTCGGCTCGTTTACCGGCTTATGCCATAAAAACTTAATACAACAACGCAAGACAAACACATTCATTACTCCCGACTTAGTGCTGGATACTTTCAAAACTTCTAAATCTACTTCACATCAGTGGCATTAGCTAATACAAGCCAATACGGAACACAACTAAAAATTGTATTGTAACTTTCGTGAGACATACTAAATAAATTATTATATTTTCGGCTTACTCACTGGCAGCTGCCAGTAGCAGCGCGACAGTCGCCGCGTCGCGGGTCGCGAAATGCTGCTCATGAATATGAGCCTCTAGCATGGCTTGAAACTAGTCGAGTTCCTCGTCGAATTACTACGTGAGTAAGCCGAAAACATAATAATTTACAAATAAAAATATAGTAAAAAAACAACTTACTTAGCTAAACAGCAATATCCTTGTTGTAACACAGCTGCCCACGCCAGTACTTGTCCAGTATCATTGGCTGGCGGCCGGGCGGCCATTAACGCCCTCGTCAGTTGTACAGCTAGCGACGCTGTCATATTACTGGTATCTTTACTGCTTGAGAACAACGCGTGTAGTGTGTGTAGACAACACGTTTTTATGTACACGTTGTTGTGTGTCATTAGGGATAGTATCGCCTCGCATATTGACTGTGAAAATAGAATTAAACTGTCAAACACAGCGAGGACACCGGTGACCGCAACCTATTGTTCTTCAATTGTGTCTATAATGACGGTACTCAAAGAGTTAATTTCACTAAAGTTTGGTGTAGAACTGTAGAGAATGCAATCTCCTCTTGATTGCTTGATCGACCTTGCAAGATCTTGTTCATTTTTAGCGAGTTTATCTCAGTCGAAAAATGGATGAGACCACGAAGTTGGCGAGTTCTCGCCAGATTGGGGCTCACGCGATATCTTTTAAGATTATGAAATGAGTCTAGCGAGATCTCGTCCAGTTTAGCGAAATTAATGTCGGTTGCGAGATCAAGATTGCATTCTCTAGTGGTGTATTATTCGATAAAGTTTCCAAAGTTCTTTATTTCAATGTGGCTTTTAAAAGTCAACAAATTTGTGTTTCATTTCAACAATATAGTGTTGTCTGACAATAATTATTTATTTATGATTTATGTACACACATACAACACAAAGGACCACACATATGTATATAAAAACAGAGTACATAGGCCCCACATATTCCAACTGGAATTTCTTCCTGTGGGCCTCTGGCAGGAAAAGAAACAACGACATCGAGACACAGCGTGTTACACAAATAGGATATTTAAAAAAAAACAAACTAATTAAGAGAAGTAACAATATTGATAAATAAAATAAACCAACAAAATACAATTAGTAATTATATAAAGGATGTTTTCTGTAGGTAATAGGTATGGTACAGAATTTCGAATAGACTTTACAAAGACTGAAGAGAAATTTTCCTGCGCTCGATAACTTACTGTTTGAATAGAATAACCCCTAAATTACTAAGCCGCAGCGGGCAAACTATCGCAAAAAAAGTATTTTCTTAAATGTATCATAGTTACTATAAAACATAACATAACATCATGCTTTTTATTCCCAAAGGGGTAGGCATAGGTGGCACATTACGGCACTTAAAGACCGCTGGTCTAAAGGACTATTCATTTGACAGAGACAGAGACTGGACAACAACACCCTGGTAAACCTTAACATCTGCCAAATATACAGCGGAGTTAGTACAAATTTATTTTGCGATTAACGAGATCGAAATGTTACCGCATCCGACGCTCTGATTGGCTGGTTTATTGCAGCCGGCCCATTAGAGCGCTGAATGTAACACCCACTTTTCAGTATTAGTTAATGTTATAAGTCCCTTGTAATATGGGGTGAGCCTATTGCCATATACCGGGCAGAAATTTAGACTCCATGCTTCTTATGATTTGAAGACTGATTTTTTTAAACCCAGTAGCACTATGCCCAACCCAGGTCTAGTCTAGTATAAAAAATAATGAAATAAATATACACACCTTGATATAATCCTTGCTAAATACAGGTAGAACGTCTCTAAGCATCGTCAGTGTATGTAACACAGTTCGATGTCCGGCCAACAAAGCTTCTGCCTTGATCTGAGACAAACAGAACTCGGCTACGCGGTTCGAGCCCGGGTGGAGTTTTGGTACCTGTAAAATGAACTTTATTAGTAAAAGAATATGGCATGTTTTTCTAAGCTCATATTCTGACAGATGTACACAGCAAAATGTTAAATGGTTTTCAATTTAAATGCGAAATCAAAAGCTTCAATGATGTGTTTCCTAAATCCTTACCTCCTTACTAATATTATAAATCGGAAAGTGAGTTTGTTTGTTTGTTTGTTCCGCTTTCACGCCGTAACTACTAAACCGATTGCTTTGAATTTTTGCAGACGTAAAGTTAGAAGTCCAGATTAAATAATAGGGTACTTTTTATCCCGGTAAAATTTGATATTCCCGAGGGAAAACAAAAGTATTGGTATAGATGGCGCTGTGTATATCGATATATCACATAGGCTATTTTTTATCCTTTTGTGATGCGAGCGAAGCCGCGGGTAAAAGCTAGTTTATTATGAAACAATACCTTAACTTTCTGGTCATCAGACGGGATCATGAAACAGCTGCCGCGTAGTACTGACGTCACTGCATGCTGAGCTGCTTTACGTACCTACAGAAAAAATAATAAAGATTAACAAAAACCTTTTAATTAATGAGAAACCATTGCTATAGCCGATGCTCAAGGGATTAAGGCACACTTAAAATGTCATTCAATCAATACGCTTAATGATAATAATTAATATGATTACAATATTAGCTAACTTTTTTTTATAGCATAAGCCGGTAAACGAGCAGACGGATCACCTGATGGTAAGCAATCGGCACCGCCCATGGACACTCGAAACACCAAGGCGTTACAAGTGCGTTACCGGCCTTTTGGAAATGGGAATTTGAGGATTGAACTAATTATATTCTCTTAAAACTTAAACAAAACCCACCTTAGGTTTAGAATGCAGTGCAAACGCAAGTAAAGACTCGAATACCCTCATGGTGGACGAATCACCCCAGAGAGCATACTCCTGCGCCCTCAGCAACACAGAGAGGCATCCTATAGCACTCCGCAACATTGTCCCATTCTGAACCAATTCATCCTTCTCCAAGATGTCCACGAATATTTTTGCTGAGATTGAGAAATGCTTCCTCAAAACTGCTGGAGGTACATTCTTGATACCCATAGATACTAATGTCAGTGTTGCCACTACGTTCTCTTCTAATTCTGATGTTTTTAGGGTCTCCATCTGTGAAATAAGAGTTAACTCGTCGAGTACCGTATTTATAGACACAATTAAAGAACAATAGGTTGCGGTCATCGGTGACCGCTTGGTATTTGACAGTTTAAAGCTTTTATAAGGACAATTTCGCAGTAGACATCTGTAAAGTGTAAAGTACCTATGTTTATAATGAGAAATACTTATTTTCAGTGTCTAATAATTGAATTACACAAATAATTTGGTAATAGTGTAGGTGACAAATCTTTATTTTAATGTCCGTCTGGTAGATTATTTAATATAATTAAACATGTATTTTTATTTTTTTACGGAAACGAATAGTTTTGAAGATATAGGTATTGATTTGAAATGTCGCGTGACGTCACTTTTATGAAAATTTTATACGTAGAAATGACGTATTAGCCCCTACTCCTACACTTTGATTCGTTATATCTAAGTATCATTTTATTATACAAAAAAAAAAAAAATACGTGTCAAATATTTTTTTTCATTACCTAACTGACTAATTAGATTTTTAATTTTCATACCCTGTTATCATCCCTATTATACCTCTAAGATAATCATTAGGTAGTTTGATTTTAATTTCACTGTACAAGATTGAAAAGGACAGTAGCTGTAGTAGGTAGTAGGACGATCAGCTGCAGAATCAGAAGGTTTTAGCCGATTTTCAATTTCCTCTGGGTAAGATAACAGAGAGAACAGTTATTAATCCAGTTGCTAGAAGCTACGGCTAAGCGCACATTTCCGGGGGTAGCGTTAATTCCATGCCATTCCGGCGGTCTACAATGTCTGGACAGACAATCCGCGTGAATGTATTGAATTTTCAGATAAATCTGATCCTCATCCAGGATATGAAAAATTTTGATAGCTATGTTCATAACTACCTACTTTGATTTCGTCTCGCCTTCGTTGCGAAGACAAACACTGCCGTCTTGATTGTCGGACTGAATAAGCAGTGTTTTGGACCATACCTGGCGCCTGAGACTCGAGACTTTTGTAAATCGATAGCATTTCCTTCTGATTGCCATGTAGCTGATTTTCATCACTGGTAAAGGTCCCGGATACCGCGAAGTTGTGGATTTGAGCTCCCAACGCTACATTTGAAGCGTCGTCGGTTAGAAAATGTGTTGGCTGCGGCACATGTATAGCGAGATAGCAATTCTGAAGCCATCAATGCATTACTTGAATGACTTGACTTGGAAGGCAGTAAGTACCTTGTTCCGGACCGAAGTCAGAATAATAAATCTATAAAACTCAGAGAAAAGCGATGATGAACTCAGAGAAAGGGGGGACCGCAAAACTGGTAAAATTTAGTAGGCCTACAAGGGTCTAAAGATCTTTCAGCGATATCTTGCCAATTTCCAATATTTGAATTACTTTCGAGACAATAAGAACAAATTTTTCTAATGAGGTATTTCTGAATTAGCCAGGAATACTAGACAATCTCGAGGTAAGTTATCATCTTTTGTGGAACAAGAACAGACTTTTTGTAGTTTACTTGGAATCCGAGATGCTCCAAGAGTTTCCACTTAGGTACATGCTTGTATGAATGGACCAAATGTTCTAATCGTGATGTGCGAGAAGGTAGTCGTCTAAGTGAACAATGATCCTCACACATTTTTCTCGAAGAGTTTGTACAATCCAGGTGGTTTGACAAGCAAACACTTTCGGGGTAGTACTAAGTCGAAAAGAGAGGCAGGTCATTTCGAGCAACTCCTCTTCGGAAATGAGACTCAAGAACCGCCTGTGAGTACTCGCCACGGGATCATTGAAATAGACTTGTGAGTCACAAGTCAGTTTCACAAGTTATAACAGCTTGTACGTACGAAGCAATGCTGCAATCATTATACAGTTCTCGACTGGCGTCGGAAATGACTGAATCATCGTCATTGATATCACGAAAAATATTTTTATTATTCACTTATCCTTCGGAATTTTTCTATAAGGATACGTTCTTGCTTTTGCCTTTTGGTACGACGACAGCGATGCGATATATATTTCCTCGAATCTTGCGAAGATTCAGAGGAACTAAATGATGAGGTACTTTCGCCACTGCTAGTCGAAATCGCCGGTCGACAACGAGATTTCATACCGGAGATATTCATTCTGGTTTTGTATTAAACATGTAACAATTTAACACCCAAAAGGTCTAAATATACAAATAACCTGTCTTCAAAAACAACCAAATACCGTCGTAAATAGTAAAAAGCATTATTATAATTAGTACAATAACACAAGAAAAACTTTTGACAGAAAAAATAAAAAAGTGGAGGCAGATGTGAAAAATATTTAATCTAACAAACGTATGGTAACACCGTTTATTTATAAAATATTTAAGGAATTTAACTCGTCGAGTACCGGTTTTATAGACACAATTAAAGAACAATAGGTTGCGGTCACCGGTGACCGCTTGGTGTTTAACAGTTTAATAGTTTAATAGTGAGTAGGTTACTCAAAATCCAGGACAGTTATATTGTAATCTAGCTGTCTATTATCTTAATTTTTACTAACCAGAGCTGCAAAGTACTCAGTGGTGGATTCCTTGCCTCCCTGTTGTTTGATGACTTCTGTCACTGCAGCTAACACTGCCAACATCTCTTTGTGCAGTCCATTGTTTGAGTCAAATCTAGTCAACAACCTGAAAGAAAAAGTAATAAATTAAATAGATTGTACTATTGGGTAGTCTTTCACATGCATTTTTATACATTGAACTTTGTTTAATATACATATATAAAAGTTGTAGTTTTTTAAAATAAAGATTGCAGTGGACCATAGTAAAACAGTTTAAACTCAGTATCCTACAATCTATGTAGGATACCATACCCAGTAACCATTGCTAAATCTTTTGAAGACTGATGTAATAATTTTAAGTCAGCGAAGAAGAGATATTATCCAATTTTTGGGTTTAGATATGATGATGATGATGATTTGATAAAACAAATATTCATATTTGTTATTCAAGGAACATGCTTACTTTTTACTATGAAGACTTAAGAACAGTACAGGAAAATAACAGTAAATTAACAGCATAAGCATACTCACTTGCTAAAACTAACATTAGAACATTGGCTCCAGTCGGAGGCAAATGTCTGAAATGTCTTATAAGTGCCAGATTTATATGACTCTGAATATTCTGTCTCTGAACCTTCATCTCCACTCTTCATAGACATGTTCTCTAGCTCCTTAGCTATTAGCAACTCGTTTTCTGCATCAGACTTCTTCTTCAAAGATGCATGACCATAAGTCATCATAGCATCGTGTTTTGAAACAGCTTGCTGAGTTAAACCGGTGCTTCCTGTGGAATATTGAGTATGTGAATTTATGTGCTATGTATTTTAGATGTTGGAAATTAAATAATTTCAGGTAAAGGGCCTTAGTAATGATGTTTTTGTTTTGTTTTTGTTTGTAGGTTAGAGGATTAAATGACGTTGTTTTAGGGGATATTGTGAAGAATTATTTACAATTAGTACAACAATTAGTAGATAAGGTAAATAGTAAATACAAGATAGAAAATTTAACCAAATTACCTAGATTTTCCTGAAAAAACCGGGATTTCGCCATATCCCGGTATTTCTGTATTTTTGGGTTGGAGTTTGACGACTGTCCCTTCTGCCATCTTTTCCCTTTCGATTTCCCTTTTAATTTTGATCTAAATTTACCCATTTTCTTTAATTTATAACACGAGTTTCACACTTATAAACACCACACGTGGTTGAGCAACTTTTGAAGTGAAGTGAAGTTAGCTGCAAATCGCTGACAGCTCAGACAGATCAATGTCAAAACTGACACTAGTTTTTTTTTCAGGTTCGCCAACATTCCGGAACCATAGAAGTATTATGCAAGACCCAATCAAAATAATAATATTTAGTATAACGATATTTTATTCATCCATTTATTGATCCTTCAGTCTCTAGAAATTCTATTCTATGCCATTTTATGTAATTTTATATGAACTTAATTTAAAATAATTTTGGTTTTGAGTTTTGCAGCATTCCCAATCAAGCATAAACTATTTGATAGATCTAGAACAAACCAAAAAAACATAAACAGACAACATAACATCAAGCGGAACGGAACGCAGTTCTAATAATTTTTCTTCATTCACCTTCGCTTTACTTGTTTCATTGACGTTTTTCTTGTTTGTAAATAATAATTGCTGGAAATAGTACGCAATGTGAAATTGTACGCATTCCTCGTTCCATTGCACATTACGTAAACGTTAAACATCGTTTAGTAGTCGAATTGATAGCGCAAGAAATATCCTAACCTAATGTGTGTCTTGTTCTACTGAGGTGTTGAAGCTATGATAGAAGATAATGCCTCAATTTAGAAGAAAAAAGGCGTCAAAGTCGTTCCCAGTTAAAGTGTGTACGCTAGACGCTGAATTGGAATTTAACCTTGAGGTGAGAATTTTGACAAATTGATGTTACACTAAAGTAATTGGTAAGAAAGATTACATTGTTATTGTTTATTGTCAAAATTGGTATGTTAGCGGGATCCTTGGCTTGCAATGAGTAGGTAGTGAGTCACCGTAACTCGGCGAACCCGTAAATTACCTTAATAATACACAGTGGTGATAATTGAAGGCTTGTTTAGTCATTATTTTCTCTTTTATCATGGTTTGATTCATAGCTTGTATGTAGTTCTCTTGTTAAATACGATTTAGACCTATATTCAAGGTGGGAAATTGATTTTTGATGTGTTCAATATTCTGTTTACCTTATAGGCATTAGTCTTCTTTATATCTCAAAGATATATATCAACTTAAACACAATGCTTCAAGTACCTGATATTATATTATATTATAAAGAAATATATTTTTGTGTTTCCTCTTTATTTGTTTACTCTTAAACAGTAAACATTATTATTTATGTCGTACTTATTAGTAACTTTTTCATAATGATATACCACAAACCTAATTTTATTCTTATTGTATCTACCTACATATTATATGTTTTTTGGTGTTACAATTTTGAAGACATATTTATACAAAAATAGATCAAAAAGTGACACATGTTTAGGAATGTAGCATGTTTATTAATTTATTATAATTTATAATACAAATAAATTACTTTTAGACCATTCCATAAGAATGTGAAACTTAAACAATTGAGCAATCATTACTTTGACCTGGAGAGGTTAAGAATGCAGAATTTATTAAACATAATTAAAATCAAGTTTTACACACATTACACTTCATTTTAGTATGGAACCGTCAGTTGATGTGGTTAACTTAACTCGTCGAGTACCGGTTTTATAGACACAATTAAAGAACAATAGGTCGCGGTCACCGGTGACCGCTTGGTATCTGACAGTTTAATGTCTGTGATTGATATTCCAATAACTATGTTAATTATTTTTATCATTCTGCTGTATGCACAACAGAATTTGTGTAAAATGTCATTAGCAAGTTCGAAGTACAGTATGTTTTCGACTGCATGGTTGGTGAGGTGGCTTGTCAACTGGCTGCCACGTAATGTGCAGCTGATTTGATTCCTGCATAGACCAACTCTTTGTGTGATTAAATAATTATTATTTCGGGTCCGGGTGTGATGTGTATCTGAAATTGTATGTTTATAAACACAACCATGACACTGGAGAAATTCCTAATGAGTGGCAAAGTTTTTTTAAGTAATAAATAAATGTCATATCTAGGACTTATCATAGACATACTCCACTCTACAACTTACACCTTCATTAAAGGGATATACACAAACACAGCCACAGTCTAGTTAGTCATACAAGCATACCAAATATAGTTTACCTTATAATAATCATAGAAATATATTACAAACACTATATACCTTATTAACTCGTCGAGTACCGGTTTTATAGACACAATTAAAGAACAATAGGTCGCGGTCACCGGTGACCGCTTGGTGTTTGACAGTTTAATTATTTAATTCCGGTTTACTCAAGTAACTGTTTGATGATGAACTCTACTAGTTTCAAGCCATGCTCATATTCATAAGCAGCATTTCGCGACCGTCTCACAAAGTTTTAATATCACTATCACTACATAGTATAAAACAAAGTCGCTATCCGCCGTCTGTCTGTTCCTATGTATGCCGTCTATCTTTAAAACTACGCAACAGATTCTGATGTGATTCTCAAGGAAGGTTTATTTGTATAATACATGCATAATGTAGTAGAGAAACACTGATAAATTTAGAGGTTCATAAATTGCACCCGTGCGAAGCCGGAGCGGTTTGTTAGTAAGCTATACATATACCTTATATCATAATGTATACAACATCCATAGTTGGTGCTGAGACATTAGTCACAGGATGACCAGTAACATAATGGATGTTTGACATTTGATAACATATGAACTCCTCACTGATAACTGTGTGTTCCAATATTGTAGTATATGGACTGGATACAATATTATATTGTCGTATTATAGTGTAAAATGTAAGCTTGTTATGTTTAAATCAAATTGTAATTATGACTAAGCCAATGTAGTCTAATTAGAAGTATTGATATGAGGATAGAAGTATTATAACCAAAACGGGTAGACTACAAATAGTATTACAGTATGCCATGAGTCACGATGTAGTTACTGAGTTCATTAGAACAGGTACACAACTCTTCTAAAATGAGAACCTATGAGAATTTTCTTATCTATGGGATTTACTGTCATAAAGTGCCATACTTTTTTGTAGAAATGTTAAATGTTTTTATGGCATAATCATTTCCCATTATTAACTATTAGACCAGTAAATATCAAGTGCTGCATTAAAACCCTGATAGGGAAGGAAAGGAACACACAACTGGACGGCATTTATCCTCCGCCATTGACGGTCCCAAGCCCGTATGCGAAAGGAGGAGGGTTGGTTGCACCAGGAAAGACCAAACCAACCGCAAAAGGTCAACGTCGAACCGCAGGCGACGGTTAATTAACCTGACAGTACTTTAAGTAGAGGTAGGAAATGACCACTACAACCCTTAACCTCGCTTACACATAGCATGTAAGCGAAACCGGGGGCCTTGGCTTAGCCGCCCGGGTCAAGAGGTAGACAGCCTCCATAAAAACTTACCCCAATCCTAAGGTGGGAGACGCGCCAATAGGATGAATGGCTGATGGGTGTTCAGTCGCGAGCGCCAACCTCAATGGATCTGGCTCACATTGTTGTATTTGCGCCTTCATTTGGGAATGGGCGTCACCCCATTTGTGACCTGTTTAATCGACCCTACTCGTGGGAACACTATGGAAAATAAAGAAAAAAATTACACTGAACCTGAAAAACCTGGAAATAAAATATTAACCCAACAAATTTTTCACAAATCCTTCTTCAATAAAACAAGAACTCAGTCACTCAATAATCTAGACAATCTCGCAACACCAAATATGGATGTAGAACCTGAAATACCCAGAGAAGAAACTGACCGATGGACAAAAGTACCTGAACGGAAAAGGCAACGTGAAAGCCCCGATTCAAATAAACCCCAAAAACAAAAAAAGCTAGACTCATACTGGCTGAGCCAACCTACACCAACCTCCAATAGATTTTCTGAGCTGGAAAATGATGCGCAAGAATCCACACCCAATGAAAATATAGAAAAGCCCATCAAGGCCCCACCTCTATACGTGGACCGGGTCAGTAATATACAACCATTACTCAGAATGCTCGATGAGGTAGCTGCAGATAGCTATGAAGTGAAAATTCTTCGTAATGAACAAGTCAGAATTCAGCCAAAATCGACTGAACTATTCACGAAAATTGTAAAAAACCTGCAAGATAGAAATACAGAGTTTTATACCTACCGGCCCAAGCAAGATCGATGTTTCAAAGTTGTTTTAAAAAATCTCCACCCGTCCTCTGATACAGAAGAAATTAAAGCTGAATTAGAATCGCAAGGACATATGGTCACAAATATCTGGAACGTCAAGCAACGAAGTACTAAAAAACCACTGCCGATATATTTCATTGAAATAGAACCTAACACCAATAATAAACTAATATATGACATCAAAAGTCTTCTCCATTGTAGAGTAACATTTGAACCACCAAGACCGAAGCGTGAAATTCCTCAATGTGGCAATTGTCAACAATATGGGCATACAAGAAAATATTGTTTTAGAAAACCCAAATGCATAAAATGTGCGGGAGACCATGCATCATCCAATTGTGAACGTAGAGAAAGGTCAGATTCAGTTAAATGCGTGTTATGTAATGGCAACCACCCGGCAAACTATAAAGGATGCTCAATATATAAGGAACTTCAGAAAATCAAATATCCCATTCAACCTGCAAAACACCGACAAACTGGAAGCACCAAATACCTATCAGAGAGGGCGGACTCTACTAAACAAGAAACGCAGTCATCGTACAAGCAAGCGTTATTGACTAATAAACCCCCACACCCAACTACTTACAAACCAAATGCAAATGAAGTACCGAATAATGACATAAAAGAAATTATGAAAAACATGACACTACTAATGCAGCAATTGACTTCAATAACTAACCTCCTAATGGAAATTATGACCAAATTCTCACATTCTGCTCATTAAAAATTGCTCTTTGGAATGCCAATGGGCTGTCACACCATGTCTTGGAAGTAGAGACATTTTTGAAAATAAACAAGATAGACATTCTGCTCGTATCTGAAACACATTTCACGACAAAGAGTTACCTCAGAATCGCCAATTACCAACTCTATCACACAATGCATCCAGACGGTACGGCACATGGAGGATCCGCGATTCTCATTAAGAAAAATATAAAACACCATGAAGCGAAGCCATTTCAAACCCCTGAGATTCAAGCAACAAGTGTTGTAATAGAAGACTGGCGGGGATACTTAACGGTCACAGCACTGTATTCTCCTCCAAAACATGCCATCAAAAAGGAAAATTACATCACCTTCTTCAAGACACTAGGACCACGATTTATAGCTGGTGGAGACTATAATTCCAAAAATACTTCCTGGGGCTCACGCTTAACTACTCCCAAAGGACGCCAGCTACAAGCAGCTATAAACGATCTACAACTAGATGTAGTATCAAACGGGGAACCAACCTATTGGCCGACAGACCCAAAGAAAGTGCCCGATTTGGTAGACTTCAGTGTCATTAAGGGTCTTCCTACTAACAATTTTAAATGCATTTCCCTTCAAGATCTTTCATCTGACCATAGCGTGATTTTACTCGAATTCTCCCATAAAATTTCGTCTGTTAAACCTACACCTAAGCTACACGGACGTAAAACCAACTGGGACAATTTCCGCTTAATGGTAGAATCAACGATAAATACCAATATAGCACTTAAAAATGAAGTGGACACAATGGCAGCAGTGGAACACTTCAACGAGTGTGTCCAACAAGCAGCTTGGGATAGCACACCTGCCCCTAAGAAATATTCAAAACCAGATTGCTCAAAAGCTGTTAGTGAACTAGTGGCCGAAAAGAGACGGGCTAGAAAACTATGGCAAATTACCAGATTCCCCAAGGACAAATCACGTCTGAACAACTTATCAACAAAACTTAAAAAACTACTGCAAGTTGAAAGAAATGATATTGTACAGAATGAGCTAAGCCATCTCGATGCCACGGCTTCTAGTGACTACTCCCTCTGGAAAGCGACCAAAAAACTTAAAAGGCCTATTGCCTCTAACCCACCAATACGCAAAAGGGACGGTTCTTGGGCAAAAAGTGACGAGGAGAAAGGAGAGGCATTTGCCTCTCATCTTGCTGACGTCTTTATGCCAAATTTAACTCAGACTTCATCGAGTATTAATCAGAAAGTAATTAAAGCCCTTAATGAGCCCTATCAACTTGACCTGCCAATAGATAGAATAAAGACAAGCGAGGTTATGGACACAATTAAAAATCTACCTCAAAATAAAGCCCCTGGATATGACTTGATCACTACCAAAATCCTGCGGGAATTACCAAAAGTAGCAGTCCAATTTTTGAGGAACCTGTTCAATTGCATTCTGATCAGGGGAATCTTTCCATCCCAATGGAAGGTTGCACAAATTAAAATGATCCCTAAACTTGGTAAATCTCCTGCGGACGTGTCGTCCTACAGACCGATAAGTCTACTGCCCATCTTTTCAAAGGTTATGGAGATACTCTTTTTGAAACGCTTGAACAAAGTAATAGCAGAAAATAAAATCATACCCGACCACCAATTTGGTTTCCGAAAACGTCACAGCACGATCGAGCAGGTACATAGACTGGTAGAAGAAATACACAGAGCCTTTGAAAATAAGAAATACTGTTGTGCAGCCTTCTTGGACATCTCCCAAGCCTTTGACAGAGTCTGGCATGAAGGTCTCTTATATAAAATAAAAAAACTACTGCCTACAAACTTTTATGTCTTCTTAAAGTCATACCTTGCTGAAAGATACTTTTATGTTAAACAAGGAGAGGACACATCCAAACTTTATAGGGCGCACGCAGGAGTGCCACAGGGGAGCGTACTTGGTCCGATACTGTACCTAATCTTTACTTCAGACCTGCCTATGACAAATGGAGTTGTGATTGGCACTTTTGCTGACGACACTGCAGCCTTAACTACCCATGACGAACCAAAACAAGCAAGTAACATGCTACAACTCTCCCTGGACAACATCACGGAATGGCTCAATACTTGGCGTATAAAGGCGAATGAGACAAAGTCAGTACAGGTGACATTTACGATGCGACGTGGAACATGTCCCCCAGTAACGCTGAATAGGCAACAAATACCTCAAGCAAATGAAACCAAATACCTTGGACTGTATTTGGATCGTAGCCTCACCTGGAAAAAGCATATTTTTACTAAAAGAAAAGCACTGGGAATCCAACTGAGGAAAATGTATTGGATGCTCAGCGGAAAATCGCAGCTATCACTCGAAAACAAACTACTGTTATACAAGAGTATCCTAAAACCGATCTGGACCTACGGAATCCAACTCTGGGGCACTGCCTCAAATTCTAATATAGAAATACTCCAGAGGTTCCAGTCCAAAATGCTGAGGATAATTACTAATGCTCCTTGGTTTATAACTAACCAACAATTACACCATGACCTTAAAATCAGAACGGTTCAAGAAGAGATAAAACAGTCTATGATATCCTACAGAAAAAGGCTCAACAACCACCCAAACACTCTAGCAATGCACTTAATGAATATGAACTCCACATTCAAAAGGCTAAAACGAAAGGCCCCTAGAGACCTGTAAGGGATGAATTCTAAAGGGCCCACGTCGCTGGACTGGTGACCCTACAAGACAAATTAAATTAAACTCTTGACCATGTGCTGAATGTTCGTTAGAGACAGATTGCAGGACAATAAAATCAAAAAAAAAAAAAAAAAAAAAAAATATTTATAAAGATGTTTTAATTTTTATTTTATTAATTTCTATACATTAATCATCATCATATGAATCAGTCGTAAGAAGTAAATTAGTGAACATAGACTTCTGTAGATGATTAATTAAACATACGTAACATTACGCCTTTTATCCCCGAAGGGGTAGGCAGTGGTGCACATTACGGCACTTAATGCTACAATATTACACCCACTTTTTACTATTTATGTTATAAGTCCCATGTAATAGGGGGTGAGCCTAATGCCATATACCAGGCACAATTCCAGACTCCGTGCTACTACTGAGATTTTTTTATAAAGCCCAGTAATACTTTGCCCAACCCGGGAATCTCATCCGAGATCACTTGCCCGGCAGGCGCGACCACTCGGCCAGCAAGGCAGCATGATAAATTAAATAAGTAATTAAATATTTGTTACAGTGGAGAGCAACAGGACGAGATCTATTTGACCTAGTATGCAGGACTATAGGCCTGAGGGAAACATGGTTCTTTGGGCTGCAGTTCGAAGACACAAAACATTTTATAAGCTGGCTGAAGTTGGATAAAAGAGGTTGGTTATTAACAATTGCTTATTGTACAAGATACATAGAGAATAACTTGGTTAAAAGTAAAATTGTCTTAAGAATTTGTTTAATTTTTTTTTATGTCATAAGCCGGTAAACGAACAGAGCGAGAGAGACGGATCACCTGATGGTAAGCAATCGGCGTCGCTCATGGACACCTGGAACACCAGAGCGATTAGGAGTTTGAGGATCGTTGGGGATTCAGGAATAGGGGAAATTGGGGAAGGGGAGGGTAAATGGGCCTCCGGTAACCTCACTCACACGACTTAACACAACGCTAGTGTTGCTTCACGTCGGTTTTCTGTGAGGCCGTGGTATTACTCCGGTCGAGCCGGCCCATTCGTGCCGAAGCATGGCTCTCCCACACTTACAATACAAAATATCGAAAAACAGCTAAGTCTGGGGGCTACCCGGCTCCAAAAAGCAACTAATTAAAGCACCCAACGCAGTCTCGTTTCGATTAACTACTTTGAAGGTATAACAAACTTATCTAAAGCCTTTTTATTTGTCTGGGTGTTATTTTCCAACGTTACCAGTCATTTTTCCAAGTTAAAGTTTTGTACAAACCTCAATTTACAGTAAAGAATACATTTCAAAATTATTTATTTCTATTAGACCCGAAGGGCACTTTTAACGTCAATAAAAAACATTTAAAAGTGAAGCTATTTGCTCATTCCAAGGTGTAGATTCCTATGGAGAAGAACAAGCAAGAAACTCCATAGGTTACTCTTTTTCAATCAGTTTCACAATACAATTCTCATATTTCATAGTTACATAGTTTTGTTGGTACAATTGTGCGAACTAGAACAATGTAACACCAAAATCCAGTCAAAGAGATCTAAAAAGAAAATAAAATAAGCTAAGCCCTTTCTCTTTCATAGCAATCTAGAAAGTAAACAATTGTTATCATTATTTAAGTAGATAACCACGGTTATATAATTGTTGTTTATTACACAATAATTTATCTAACTAGATAAGTACATAAACACATTGTATATTAATTAAAGTAATTGTGTTAAGTGTTCAAGAGGCAATCTAATACCTACACAATCAGTGAATGAATTCAGATATTAATAGGTCTATTTGACTATTAGAAGAGTGGTGTTGATAACCTATTAATTTATATTATAAGTGTTATATCATAATATAACATCACGCCTTTTATATCAGAAGGCAGAGGTGCACATTTACGGCGCTAAAGTCACCAACTTTTCACTATTTATGTTATGAGTCCCATGTAATAGGGGGTGAGCCTATTGTTATATATCGGGCTCAGTTCCAGAGTCCGTGCTACTACTGAGATTTAAAAAAATATCCGGTAATACTTTGCCCGACCCGGGAATCAAACCCGAGACCCCTTGGCTGGTCGCACCTTCCACAATAATAATTTCATCACACTATCTGGAGGAGTAAACATTTCGAGCTGAAGTTATAGAAAAAAATATTATTATTATAGCAATTAGAAATTAATAACATTTTGGCTACTTCATCAGTCAAACAGTTCTCAGTGTGAACGAGGCAGTCCACAAGAGGCTGATTATTATTAAAACATAATTGATATAACCTAAAAATATTATGATTATCTTAAAATAATATAATATTACTACTACCTTCTAATAGGACATGATACAATGAATACAATCTCTATAGAACAAAATCTCTATATAAAAAAGATAAAAAAATATAAAAGTTTACTAATAGAACTTACGATACAGTGAATATATATGGTGGCGGTACCACCATACCGAACTGCAAAATAAAAAAAAACATAACATAACATCACGCCTTTTATGCCCGAAGGGGTAGGCAGAGGTGCACTTTATACCACTGTACAATGTAACACCCACTTTTCACTATTTATGTTATGACTTTATGAGTCCCATGTAATAGGGGGTGAGCCTATTGCCATATACCGGACAGAATGCCAGATAAAAAATTAAAAAAAAACCTGTAAAATATAATATTTCACAATGTTATTCACTACGAAATAAATACCATATCAACCACTGCCAGACACCGTACAATAAAACTAAAATTTTCATTCCAGTACAAGACCAATGTGTCTCCCAAATGCCGGGCACTCCATTCATGTTACTCTGCAAGCTATACCCTGAGGATGTAGCCGAGGAATTAATACAGGAGGTGACACAGCATCTCCTGTTCCTACAAGTTAAGCAAGCAATACTCAGCATGGATATCTACTGTCCCCCGGAGGCCTCCGTCCTGCTGGCGAGCTATGCTGTCCAGGCTAAGGTTGGTTATGTAAGCTTTGTTGTTGATTTTGTATTATATTTATGATTAGCAATACGCCCCGGCTTCGCAGAGGTGCAATATGCATGTATTATACATATAAACCTTCCTTAAGAATCACTCTATTGAAATAAATCGCATCAAAATCCGTTGCGTAGTTTTAAAGATCTAAGCATACATAGGGGCAGACAGACGGCGGATTGCGACTTTGTTTTTTACTATGTAGTGATTTTATTTATTTATTATTTAATTTCAGCCCTGATCGTCCCACTGCAGGGCAAAGGCCTCCCTACCCTCCTTCCACTCCTCTCTATCAGTCAAATCTTTTTGCAGCTAATCCTTGTCATAGATGTCCAATTCGTCCCGCCATTTATTTATGATTAGTGGTATTGTTAAAATAAAAAAATAAATAAGTAAAATATATTTTAGAGTACGACGATATTTGCTTGCTCAAAAACGTAGGTAGCGCCTCTGGTGGGATACAAGGAAAATTCTTGTTTTGCCCTATAAATTTTATAAGATATTTAGGGTACTTTCTAATTTCGGAAAAAGGGTGGGCTTTCTAAGTGCTTACATAGATGATAATGCCTAACAGGTTTACTATCTGTAGCGAATTTCCTTAAAACCTTTTGTGTCTAACCCTGTATGCATCGCAAACTTAATAAGTACGGCTCGGGTAGGTACGGCTTAAACACGGCTCCGGAAGGGCGTTTTTTACTTTGAAAACAAAACAAAAAGCTTGTAAGCGCCCGTTGGCGGCTCGCATGCACCTTTTTTATATTGACGTTATGAAATATGTCATACGACACACGATTTAAAGTTCATATTTCAATGACAATGACATTGCTGGGTTGAAGCCGTGCTTGTTAGGTGTGAGATGGCCTGAAGACCAATACTGTCATAGCATTTCGGTCAAAAATAAATGTACAATTTTAAATCAAATAGTTTCTTATATAAATTATGTATTTTCCAGTATGGCGACTACGACGAGAGTGCATACAAGCCTGGTATGCTGGCCAGCGAGGATCTACTGCCGCAGCGGGTCATCGACCAGTACCAGATGACGCCTGAAATGTGGGAGGACCGTATTAAAATATGGTATGAATATAATAATCTAGTAAGATAATAGATTGGTCTATCATTCATCACTGTTATTCTGAAGACATTATGGAAGGCGTGAGTTTGTTGTTTAACGTTTATCGAAATCAAAACGTGACCGCGTTTAACGCTCTGATTGGTTGGTTCATTGGAGCCGGCCAATCAGAGCGCCGGTCGCGGTAACCTTACAATTGGGTACTTTAAACGTAAAACAAACTCGTCCTAAGCCCTCAGTGGGCCGAACGTGGTAACGTTTCAATTCCGTAATAAACTCGAACTAGGCCTTCTGAGCAGCCATCAGACCACCACAGATAGGGCCCAATAGGGCCGATGCCGATTCGGAGTCGCGGAGAACCTAACGGGTAACCGGGGCTCCGGCTCGACGTGCAGGAGAAGGAACGGGGTGGTTTTTTTTAGTCAGTAAGAGTCTGACACTCCCTCATTCGATGATTTTCCCCCCTTAAAAAAAGGCCTTCTGAGCAAACGGAGCCGCGGAAGACATAACGGGTTGCCGGGGCTCCGGCTCGAAGTGCAGGAGTAGGAACGGGGTGGTTTTTAGTCAGTAAGACTGACACTCCCACTCGCCTCCCCCGGGCGGAAGCAGTCATTGTATGATTTTCCCCCTCAAAAAAGGCTTTCTGAGCAAAAGCCTATCCCTTCAAGCTTAACAGAATGGACTTGAGAATACTGTTGTCCTCCCTTCCGTGGCTACGACTTTTAATCCCCAAAGATCCTTTTAGACTGGATATTAAGTTATATTCTACATATCCATGTAGAATAGTTTAGTTCACGTATAGTGGTCTACTATTAATATACACTAGAATTCTAAATTCCGTTCTGGAAACAATTGAAAATGTGGAATCTGATACACGTTGTAATACTAATTGATTTGGTAATTGTCAATGTTACAGGTACGCTGACCACAAAGGGATGTCGCGGGATGAGGCCGAAATGGAGTATCTCAAGATCGCACAAGATCTAGACATGTATGGAGTCAACTACTTCGCTATTAAAGTAAGAGGATATTTCTTCTATTTATTTTTCTTTGAGCGTTCTAAATGAACTCTAATCTGTCAAAAGACTTTAAACTTTACCGTTTTGTTACAAAGTCGAATATCGAATAAAAAATATACAGTTTAGTTCAGTTTTTTCGAGGTACCTCGACAAATTTCAAGCCATAACCGGGGTTATAAACTTACGCAGCGTGCTAACGACCTATATTTCAATTTACACAAAAGTTATAGAATGTAGCTCACGACCTATATTTCAATATACACAAAAGTTAAAGTAATTCACCGAGGGAAGTGGAAACTACAGTTTTTTCTTCTTCTCCTCTTATAATATCTTCTGATTCACTTCGTTGCGGGAACCAAGACAGTTACTGATGTCCCTGGGACGCGCCGGATTTCAATGTTCCGGTGTTTTCATGGTTGTATCCACTGTAGATCCTGGCTTACAGGAGTTGCAGCGGTTTTGGGAGGTTGTGGCGGGCTTGACACTTTAAAAAAAAATACACAAAAGTTATAGAATATAAGATATATTTAATTTTCTCTCTTTTCCAGAACAAGAAAGAAACAGAATTATACCTAGGAGTAACAGCGTTAGGTCTAAATATATATGAGAAAGATAACAAATTGACTCCGAAGACAACATTCCCGTGGTCTGAGATCAAGCACATATCGTTCGACGACAAGAAGTTCGTCATCAAGTTCGTTGAGAAAACAACGAATAACTTTATATTCTTCTCGCCTAAAGGAATGAATAAATTGGTGAGTATATTTCTACTACATTTATACCAAATAAGTTTTAACATGAAACGTAATTGGGATGATGACATGGTATGAAAATTAAAAATATAATTAGTCCGTAAGTTAAGTAATTAAAAAAATATTATACACGTATTTTTTTTATTTTGTCGTATAATAATACAACAATACTTAGATAAAACGGATCAAAATTTAGGAGTGGGGGCTATAACGTCATTTCTACGTATAAAATGTACATAGGAGTGACGTCACGCGACATTTCAAATCAATATATCATCGAAAGTATTCGTTTCTGTAAGAAAATAAAAAATACGTGTCTAATGACTTAAAATAATATACCAAACGGAAATTAAAATAACAATTAGGTATCTACCCTATTCTGTCAATAAAAATCTAAGTACTTGATGCGACTAGCAAAAATGACCCTTAAAGCCTTATTTATTTTCCAAGGGGTTTCGGCTTCGATTACCGGGTCGGGCAAAGTATTACTGGGTATTTAAAAAAAACTCTATATGTTCACATGGGACTCGTAATATAAATTTTTAAAATTGGGTGTTACATTGTACAGTGGCAATGCTGTGATGCACCTCTGCGGCTCTGCCTACTCGTTCGGGAATAAAGGCGTGATGTTATGTTATGGTATTTTTCCATATGAATAAGATCTTGTGGCTTTAAAATGTGTGCGTGTTTTTCGTTCCTTTGACAACAAAGCAGTATGAGTTTGCCACGATACCTGGCAGTCAGCAGGGTATTGGTTACATTACCAACAGTTTACACCCTCAATGATTGGTCATACACAGTCCTAGGATATAATAAAGTCCGAGAAAAGATAGTAAAATTATCCTATTATAAATCACTTTTATTACATTTCAGATACTGGACTTGTGTATCGGTAACCACGACTTGTACATGAGGAGACGGAAGCCTGACACCATGGAGGTGCAGCAAATGAAGGCACAAGCCAAGGAAGAGAAACAGGTATTTATTTTCTGGAACAGAGTGTATAGTTCCCTAAGATCGGAAAAGGAGGATCCTCCGACCAGGCGAGGTGATCGTGCCTGGCGGGCTTTCTGCCCAACAGTTGTTCGTAGGGATTTTCAATCCGTGTTTATTCGCTTGTAAACTTTGCATGTGCGATGTAGGATTCTTGTGACGTCATCCGTTGACATGTGGCATGCGTCGCCACAGTTACATATATACTTTACTAGCTTTTACCCGCGGCTTCGCTCGCGTCACAAAATAATAAAAGTAGCCTATGTAACATACACCAATACACACAGCGCCATCTATACCAATACTTTTGTTTTTCCTCGGGAATATCAATTTTTCCGGGTTAAAAAGTACACTATTATTTAATCCGGACTTCTAACTTTACGTCTGCAAAAATTCAAAGCAATCGGTTGAGTAGTTACGGCGTGAAGGTGGAACAAACAAACAAACAAACTCACTTTCAGATTTATAATATTAGTAAGGATTGACTTGACTGCCTCGGGTTGAGTGGTCGCAAGTGCGACTGCCGGTAAGGGGTCTCGGGTTCGATTCCCGGGTCAGGCAAAGTATTACTGGGTTTATAAAAAATTCTCAGTTAGCACGGAGTCTGGAGTTGTGCCCGATATATGGCTATAGGCTCACCCCCTATTACATGGGACTCATAACATAAATATTGAAAAGTGGGTGCTACATTGTACAGTGGCCTAATTCAATCAATAGTTTCGTCAGTTTAAAACATTTATAATATCTGAGCTGATCCAAAATATCTCAAACAAAAACAGAACCTTAATACGTTGATATGTCGTAAATTTGTTCATACAAAAGTAGTCTCTAAACATCGGAAATAAGGTCTATAAAGGAGTTAGTGGAAAGTTTTATTTTCTTCGGACTATTAAACCACAACAAACAAAATTAAACCCTACCTCACTAACAATACACATTACATTCCAGCGTCGTCAGATTGAGCGCAATAAGCTAGCGCGAGAGAAACAACTACGTGAAGCGGCGGAGCGTGAGAGACAGGCCATGGAACAACGACTCAGGCAGTACCAGGAGGAAATACGACTCGCTAATGATGCACTGGTTAGTATTACACTGTTTATATTTAAACTTTCGTGAGACATACTAAATTAATTATTATGTTTCCGGCTTACTCACGTAACTGTGTGACGAGGAACTCGACTAGTTTCAAGTCGGTCAGGACCATATTCATGAGCAGTGCGGGCCCGGCGCGCCCCCTGGGTGCCCCCCGCGCAGTGTGTGCGTGGTGTCGGCGGCACTGCTGCCACGCTAGGCTCGCTCGACGGCGGCTACGTAGGTGTTGAGTTCGAAACCCGGGTCGACGGGAAATCAGTGGTACACCGCGCTCACTGAGTCTCTGCGTCAGACTACAATGTTGCGGGTCTGATATCAGTCTCGGCTTCCAGGCTCAGCCAACATCTCGTGTCGATGTTCTGACGAGTATAACGCTGGTATATTGTGTGTAATAAGCTAGAGGAGATTATTTATTTTTTTGTGAGAAAAGTTACGAAATGAGCGTCTCCCGCTTTGGGTGAGGCATTCCTACTTCTATTTCGAGCCAGATCCCCGGCAATCCACAGTAGTTACGGCTAAGTTACGTACGTACTATTCAAAAAGGCCCGACTAGTTTCGAACCACACCGGGACTCATAATCATGTTTGATTGTTGAGATATATTAGCTAGATAATTTATCTTAGTTTTAACTACTAAGGCGAAAGAATAAAATGTTTCTTAATATTCTATATCTATCTTCTACAGCGTCGTTCAGAAGAGACGGCTGAGCTTCTAGCAGAGAAGGGAAGAGTCGCAGAGGAAGAAGCTTCTCTTCTAGCGCAGAAGGCAGCCGATGCTGAACGAGAGAACGCCAGGCTCCGGCTATCTGCTATCAAGACTGAGGAGGAGAAGGTAGGAATACAAAATAACTTTATTACTTATTCATCATCATCATCGTCAGCTTATAAGTGACCACTGCTGACCAAAGGTCTCTTTTCGCACGGAAAAGGTTTGAGCATTGATCGCCACGCTTGCTCAATGCAGGTTGGCGATTTCAACCTTATAATTACAAATTATAAGTCCAGGTTTCCTCACGATGTTCTCCTTCAAAGTTTGTCAGTGGTGTCTAAATAATCTTAGAAAGTATATAAAACTTGGAAAATGTCACATTGGTACTTGCCGTTAGTAGGTTTCGAACCTGCACCCTCGTGCATGAGAAGCGGACGTCTTAAACCTCCGGGCCACATGGCATACTATTATATAATATTACTGATTGACTACATCCTTTGAACATTTGGTGATTTAAACTGTGATCTCCAAAGCGACTACCAAACGTGGGGACTGATAATCGCCGTAGGGTTATTTTAAAATGACTTATAGACTAACTTTGGGTTATGATAATATTTTGGCCCTGTGCTAATTCGACAATTGGCTGATCTTGATGCCCGGGTCTTGAAATGCTACTTAATTTTAAGTTGTTCTTAAATATCGTTCTATCTCTGTCATTTTCCAAAGAATTGGTAGGGACAGAACTATTTTTGAAAGCGTCTTAGGATTGAGTGGCATTGACCGTAAGACACAGAGAAAAAATTCAGTTTTGCGCACATAAGTTGCGCAATGATGCGCATTGTAGCTTCTTTGTGCATAACAAGGGTAGTTTCCTAAATTTTATTTTAATTTGAGTATGGTAGATTTGTTTAAAACATTAGACATTATTTTCTTTTCTCACAAAATTAAATACTTTCGACGATATATTAATTTTAAATATCGTGTGGCCTAACGACCTCCCACTCCTAAACTTAACTCCATTTTATCTAAGTATTGTAACTTTATACGAGGAAAAAATACATGTCTTTTTCCATTATTTAACTGACGGGCTTATTAGATTTTTTATTTTTCATACCCTATTCTTATAATGAACATCGCATCAATAATGCCAACATATTCTCCACCAGGTACACTTAGAAAGAAAGACTCGCGAAGCAGAATATCTAACAGCGCGTTTGGTAGAAGAATCAGAGAAGCGGGCGGCAGAAGCGGAGAGATTAAAAGCTGAATTGGTAGCCGCGAGGATGGCGGAGAAGCAGGCAAAGGAGAAGCTTCTAAACTTCCTGAGCAGAACTTCCACCGGGTCGCTGCCACCCGTCAGCAAGCCTTCGAGGAAGTTTGAGGAACTAGAGACGAAGATGACTGAGAAGCAGTCCAGTGAAAAGTTGATCAGCTATTTGAATGATACTTATAACGGATCTTGGGATCTTGGTCCTCCGGTGAGCACTGATGCATTTTTTTTATTTTGTTTATTGTACTCACCCCCTATTACAAGAGACTCATACCATAAATAGTGAAAAGTGGGTGATACATTGTACAGTGGCATTAAGTGCCGTAATGTGCACCTCTGCCTACCCCTTCATGGATTAAAGGCGTGATATTATGTGTAAAATAATAAAACACTTCTTTTTCCTGTTTCCAGTCATCGACTGTCCCGTCCAGTTTGTTCCCGTCAACATGTTCGTTACCGGCGGAGCTGGGGGGCGAAGTCTTACAGAACGGCACCGCCACCGTCACGGAGCCTGAGCTCAACTCATACCAACTTGTACCTGATGACTCTGATCCTCATATACATCGGCTGTCTTTGGAGATTGAGAAGGAGAGGTAAGGACTTAATTTGTCGTCACCCCTTACTCTTCCCGCAGAGGACGTAAAAGATAACTTCTTAATCGATCTTAATCCAAAATCTGTGAATATGAAACGATTTTCGATATTTGTTGTATGGAATTCACCGATTCATCGTAGATGTTTCTTTAGGATTTTAGCGTGGATATAGCAATAAAAGAAATGTTTACACAGAATACTTTAGAGTTATTTATTTCGTACGACCGTTTACATGTGAGATTCAAAGTGAGAGAGAGAGAGCGAAACCAGTGACAGAAAAACGAACTAAAATGGTTGCGTTCCAAAACTGCATATTCTAACAGTTCCCATCCACACGCAAACTTGGTAAATAACTCTAAAACACTAGACATATTTTTTTATTTTCTAATGGAAACAAATAGTTTCGACGATATATTGATTTGAAATGTCGCGTGACGTCACTTCTATGTACATTTATACGTAGAAATGACGTTTTAGCCCCCACTCTTAAACTTTGATTCGTTTTATATAGTTTATTCATTCATTCATTTTAGTATACAACAAAATAAAAAACTACGTGTCTAATATTTTTTCGTTACCTAACTTATGGATTAAATAGATTTTCAATTTTCGTACCCCGTCATCATCTCAATTATCAACGATCAGGCAACAAGTTATCTGATAATCCTTATACTTTTTAACTACTTCACGCTTAGCAAACTCCTTTCTATGACATGGACTGGCAACCGAACACATTGATCACCTAATTGTAAGCTGTCAGCGCCGACCAAGGTCACCGGCAGCACTGGATATAAGTGTGTTATCGGCCATTTAGGATATGGCGATTTGGTAATGCGGGATAGGGGGGGGGGTTCGGTAACTTCTAACGGTAACTTCCTCTTTTGTAGAGGAGGTCCATAGCACTAGCAGTGGGCTCTCATGGACTATTGATGATTAATATTATTATTTTTCTTTTCAGAGTGGAATATCTAGCAAAATCGAAGCATCTTCAGCAACAACTAGACGAACTGCGTTGCGAGTTCTCAGTACTCCGAGTAGACCAGTCTACTGCGACATTAGACAGACTACATGAAGAACAGACCAGGGCTGGTGATAACAAGTACTCCACGCTGCGGAAACTGAAGCAAGGGTCTACTAAGACAAGGGTCGCCTTCTATGAAGAGCTGTGAGATATTATGGTAAGGGAAATATAATATTTTTCTAAAACATATAAAAATTGATGTGTCGACGTTTGTCCACTATCTCGCGTGGTGGTAAGCGATGATGGAAGCACGCAGAAGGTTCTTATGATGGAAAAAAATCCTGATAATCTTATGGGAATGGGAGAAAACGGGATTGCGCGTACGAAGTCGCGGGCAGACGCTAGTACGTTATAATTATATTAGTATATATTCCATATCTAATTCTATATTTATTATTGAAGAGGTTATTTGTTTGATTGAACGCGTTGATATCCAGAAAAAAAATGAATTTAAGTATTATTTTTGGGTCGGATAGTCTAATTAAAGTGGATATATGAGCCTCTAGCATGCCTTGAAACTAGTCGAGTTCCTGGTCAAACAGTTACGTGCGAAAACCAAAAACATAATAATTAAACTGCCCCTCGTAAAATATCTGTAGTATATCTAAAACTTTGTCGAATATTAATTAACATGGCGTTAATTTAACCGCCGGTTTCACCACCTCCTTATAATTACCTAATAAATTTATGTGACAGAAAGTTATATATATAAATTACGTTCTTAATTCGAATTTATCTAGTAGATAGCGTTATCCAGATATTGTGAAACAGGCCCTTAATGTTCTAAATTATTATTATTATTATTTCCAGGTACTCGTTACCGTGTTCCGAGAGATGCACAAGTAGGTAAACTATTGATGATACATAATAGTTGGTAACATTATTGTGACCATACAGAGACATACAGGCTTGTCTCCGATGAATGACAGTATTCACCAGACAGTTTACCAACCGTGGTGATTTTGGTGATTAACGAAAACTACGATTAGGTAGTAATAATGAATTGATTTGAATGGACAATACGTTAGGAGACGCTTAGTATCTATGATATTTGAAGTCTTTCCTTAATTTCTGAAAAGGAAAGATTTAATAATAACATTGTAGGTATTTATGTTCTCAATTTTGACATATGACTGTTGCTAAAAGCAATTATGAACCTTATTTTTTACATTATAGAGTTTATTTTACAATAAACCGATTTTGGTTGGAAAATATTCAACTTTTTGAGTATTTAGTTAGTTCAAAATATTTTTTCATGTAATTTATGTGTTACTAATATAATAAAAATATGTATGTAATGATTTGCAGAAAAAATGTACAATTAGTATACACAAATGTATAAATCGAAATTTCTACTAAATTCAAAAAGAGGCTCATATTCATATTACATTTTTTATATGAAATATACTCCATATAGTATATCGCTTATTATATGACATGTATATTGTATATGCATAATAATTTATATGTAAGTATAACGCCATTAATTAAATCCAACGAAAGCTTAATGCGGTACTAACGCCCGAATACTGATAGGCTACTCGATTTTAAATTGGACTCCGTTATGCAAAAAAGTTCCAAGCCACATTTTATTACTTTTGAGTAAATTAAGTTTAATGTTGGGTTGATAATAAAACAATCATATGATACAGTACTTATTAAATAGGAACTGTATCATATGATTACTTTATACTTTATTTACTCAAAAGTAATAAAATGTGGGCTGGATCTTTTCTGCTTAACAGGGTCCAATTGCGCTTAACTATAGTTCTGTCTCTACAAATACTTTGTAAAATGACAGAGATAGCACGATATTTAAGAAAAACTTAAAATTGAGTAGCTTTTCAGTATTCGGACTCAATAGGGTAGTATCCTAAATTTTATTTTAATGTCCCTCTGGTAGATTATTTTAAAACATTAGACATGTATTTTTTCTTTTCTCACAAAATTAAATACTTTCGACGATATTTTGATTCAAATATCGTGTGACGTCACGATTACATTATATATAGTAAAGCGTGACGTAACGACCTTCCATTTCTAAACTTAACTCCGTTTTATCTAAGCATTGTTTTCTTATACTACAAAATCAAAAAAATATGTGTCTAATATTTTTTCATTATCTAACTGGCGGACTAATTACATTTTTAATTTTCATACCCTGTCTATGACTTTTTTATACAATTTTCAAAACTATTATCGACTTATTGTCTTTAATTACTTTTATTATTGCAATCACAGGTTTTAAACCAGTTACAAACCTACTTTAATTTACTTTTTTTAAACAAATTTCAAGGCAGTCAGTCAAAGTCAGGAGCACAACAAGAATTTTGACTAAGTTCCTTTAAACTCTTACGAATCAAATAGGAGCCCCGCTAGGTGGGGCTCGTAAAAATTATGACAATAATAAATGTGAATTTTGGTACAGAAGAGGTAAGAGAGAGATTATGTCGTTACGATGATATACATACTTTTGTCACACGTATGTAAACGAAACGTAATAAAATCATTAGAAAATATATGAAATGTAATTATTGAAATACAGTGACTTTTATGATATTTTGAATATCCAAATTTTGACTTATTTGGTTTTGGTATAAGTAGATGCGTTCCTAGGAATCGTGTACATAGTATAAAACAAGTGCCTTATATGGAAAGTATAATATTCATATTACATAGTACATATATAGAATATATCACCCCCTATTACATGGGACTCACAACATAAATAGTGAAAAGTGGGTGTTACATTGTACTGGCATTAAGTGCCGTAATGTGACTATTCCTTCGGGGATAAAAGGCGTGATGTCATGATGATGAAATATATCAAAGTTGCAAAATCATACTGTTAAGTTTTCTACCTATTAGGGTAAGAAATGTGACGGATAGACATACAACTAATTATTATTATTATTTGCTTTTTATTTAATATTGTGGCTAGATGATCTCACAATCAATTCGCTGGCAAAAAAATCGTTAAATAAATCGCTTCAAAATATAATCAATTAAGTAGATAGATATCCGATGACGATTTTTTTTATAAAATTTACAACATATTTTTTTGCTATTTTTTTACGAAAATTAAATTAAATTTGGAATTACATCATGGTTTCCGCGAACCATTTTGAAACCAAAAAGTATTGATCTGTTGTAAAAAGGAACAGTCAAAAATAGTTTTTATTATCTATTTTTATAGTCTATGCTTACTATGTATACAGAGTAAATAAGTGTTTAATTTAAGATCTGTGTAGATATTTTTCCATATTTTTATTTCTAGAATTTTCTTTCATTTTTTAATGAATGTTATGCACAAAATTAACTCTAATGATTAACTTAAAATGTGTCTAATTGAATAGTATTTTATGTAAAGTTTGGTCTAACATCAGTTTAAAATGACTAATCATTCATTCCTATTTATAAAGTACATTATTCAAAAAGATTTCCAAATAATAATGTTGAATAGAAAGCGACTTAAAGCGCAAAATACGTCACTGTCTATCTAACCTACTGAATATTTTGTAACAAAAAGAAACTAATTTCTCGTGGTTTTCCCAAGCCACAATTAACTATCGTAAAATATTCTAAATCATACGATTTATTTCGTGAACGGAGGACATGGACGGCGCGAGGTCCCCGTCGGTGCGTCGAGCACGCTGCTCATGAATTTTAGACCCCCTGTGTATATTAAACATAAGCTTTTTTCGAAATCTTTAACTTAAAATTAATAGTTTTCACACGAGTAAGCCATACAGGGTGTAAACTAAACACTCTCGAAAAACGCCGACAGGTGATGTTTTATTTTATTAACTAAAATCGCGGGTTACTGACGTGAATATACTAAGAAAAGCTCGTCGCCGCGACCGCGCATTCTGCTCATGAGGATGAACCCCTCAGTGGTTCGAAACTAGTAGAGCTTTTCTCAGCATATTCACGTGTAACCCACGATTTTAGTTAAGTGTTATTTTCATGAAAGTAAGAAAAGAAATAAAAGTAAGTGTTTCTTTTATGTAATTATAGTTGTAATCAACTACTCAAGGCTGACGTTAACACGAAAATAAAAACTAAAAATTTATTTTGTCAGCGTTTCGGGAGCGCTTCGTTTACACTCTGTATATTTCAACCGCTTTGTTCAAATATTTTGCAATGAATAGATTAACCATGTATTTTGTGGAGACATAAATAAGAATTGTAGTCCTAGTATAGTTATGAATACAGTTCAAACCATGTACCAGACCATTCTATATCGTACCTTTCTTTATTTTAGTTTTATTTATATTTACTACGCAGTCTTGTCTTTGAAAAGGTGATGGATTTTGTCTCTACTCCTGATAGATTTATACTCAAAATAATGAGTACTAATAATAGGTTTATAAATTCTTAAAATGCCTATATAGTCTATATTTTTGATATTATAATCATCAGCCGAAATATGTCCGCTGGTAACCGAAATTCTTTCCCATTTCTTTCTTTTCTTTCAAGTTCTTAAATTGCCTCGGCAGTCCATATTTTTTATATTATTATCATCAGCTGGCGTCCATTGCTGGATAAAGGCCTAGCCTTATTTCTAGTTGCATCTTTTTCAATCTTCTTTAGTCTGTTTTTTTATTTAACTTTATGAGATGTAAAATGTAATTAATGGCTATTTTCGCTAACCACCCCTAAATCATCCCTTAAATAAGAGTTACTTAACGTAAGCCTTACCTGTTTTTTTATTTTTGAGGGGGGAAAGTCAACCAATGGCTTCTCCCGCCTTGGTTGAAGTCAGAGGGAGTATCCGACTCTTACTTATTTATAAACCACCCCGTTCCTATTCCTGCTCTTCGAACCGGATCCTTGGTAACCCGTTAGGCTACATATTTCAGTTCCGAAGTCGTGGTGGCCCGGAGGTTTAAGATGATTAAGATGCTTCTCATGCCTAAGGGTGCGGGTTCGAAACCTACCAACTGCAAGTACCAATATGACTTTTCCGAGTTATATGTACTTTCTAAAATTATTTAGACGCCACCGACAAACGGTGAAGGAAAACATCGTGAGGAAACCTAAGTTTCATATCACCAACCTGCATTGAGCAAGCGTGGCGATTAATACTCAAACCTTCTCCGTGTGAGAAGGGGCCTTTGGTCAGCAGTGGCCGCTTGTAGGGTGTTGATTGATTGATGATAGTTCAGTGTAAACACAGCGACAAAATGGATCACCTTAATCAGGCATTACTATGCCGAATAACTAAATAAATAGTTTCAAACATACTTTTAATTCTATGTAAACTTAAATTATTATGTTTTCGGCTTACTCACGTAATTATCAGACAAGTAGCTCGACAGTCAGTCAGACAGTAGCAACGCGACAGTCGCCGCGTCGCGGGTCGCGGAATGCTGCTCATGAATATGAGCCTCTAGCATGGCTTGAAACTAGTCGAGTTCCTCGTCAAATAATTACGTGAGTAAGCCGAAAACGTAATAATTTATGTAGACTTGTTAGACATATTCCCCTTTTAATTTAAAACAACTGCTTCTTTGATACTTTAGTTTAAATTCCGTTAGTCATTAGATAAGTAAAGAGGTTCACATTTTATATGAAACTATATATATATTGTAGCCAGGAGTTTCAGGTAAAATATCCTTTAAAATGATAGTGAAAACGTCTATTTTTGTTTAACAAATGTGCACCTGTTGTCTGTTTATAGTTTATCTGCATTAAAGTGTAAATACGAATTAAAATGCAAACGCCAGTGTGTCAAGTCAATAGATTTTTTACTTTAAGTATTTGTAGTAAAGTTGGAAATCGAATGGCATTATTAGTAGGTTGATGTGCTAGTTGCTGGTATCTTTATTATGAATTGATGAATAATGGATTTAATGATTTTTTATTGAATATCAAACATTCTTATATACACATTAATGTGGCTAAACCTAAAAATATCCCTATTCTGCTATAGTTACTTGGTTCTATCCTATGTAGGTATAGTCATAAGTTCAATAAACTAGATTATAAGCTGTTTATGAAAGTACACCCACAGATAACATACCTTGTATACAGTTACCAGCAGGTCAAGCTACCCCTTTCTCGATTTTCACCTTTATTCTATTGATGTTAAAGTCCAAAATGTAATAAAGAAAATAACAGATTGGAGAAGGTTGATCTACAGGCTACTGTAAGTACATTAATATTTTCGAAAATGCAAAATGTAGTGTCAAAGGATATTCAATGTCGCCATACCTATAAAAATTTAAATTATTCATGTGTTCAAACAGGAAAGCCATAGAAAAATTTATGAAAAATGTTCAAGCTATTTATCCTCTTGTGTTTAAAAGGTACCTAATATCAAAGTTATAAAGCGATAGTAATATAATGTACCTACGTAAATGACGAATATATAATTCGTACCAACTGTCTAAATACATCAATCAAAAATAAACTTTAATAACGAAGTGTAAAGTTTTAAATCGAATGAAGTAATTTAACAGTTCAGGATACGTACGTACGTCTACAATGTCTCGACGATATCTCGATAACAGTTCCGGTCATCAATGTGTACTAAAGATTAAAAAGATAAACTGATAACATCATAATCAGTTTTAACTTGCAACTTGTAACTGAACATACAGTCTCGAAATTTAAATTTAATTAAAGAAACTTGTTTTGATTCATTCAATGCTGCCATTATTTGACTCTTGCTAAAAAGGCCGCGAATTTTAAAAATAGAATGGCAAATATTTATGGTATTTTCCATGATCCTATCTTTCGTCTTTATGGAATTCGAAATGAAATAGTTATCTAATTTAAACTAAACCGCCACGTAATATTATTCTAACAATAGAGAACAATTTAATCTAATTAGTAAAAGTCCTATTGTGAATTAAAATTAAATAAAAACTTGATTAGAATGTTTAAAAGATGGTGAAATTAGTCATATTACAATTTTAAATTATAATATTTTCCTCAAATTAAATTACCTATGTGGAGAGCAGCTATCCCAGATTTTACAGCTACTCAACAAGAATATAAAAAACGAAGTCGAACGCATAATGATACCTAATAAAATACACAATAGGTATAGTATATTCATCCTACGTCCTACAAATATTATAAATGCGAAAGTTTGTATGTTTGTTTGTCACTTCTTCACGTCAGAACGGCTGAAGGGGTCTGGTCTTGTTAACACATAGGCTAATTGCTATCCCAAGGGAACCCGGGCAAAGCCGCTGGCAAAAGCTAGTTTTGTTTACAAAATTGCAACAAGTGTGACTGTGAACTATTTACATAGTTGCTTAGATATAGTTATAGGTACCTATCGTTGCCAATATATTATATATATATAACAATACAATTGAATACTGTATATGAATCAATGTGCCTCTCTGAATAAATGTTGTGATTATAATCAATGTAATAATATTGTAAGTCTTCACTCTATGTGCCTTGTAATCGAAATTTTATATTTTGTAAATATATTTATAGTCAATTTCTGTAGTGGTTTTCTTTTTTCATCCACAATTAATGTTACATCCTCGGTTGCATAAGCTACCTAGTTTTTATAGACTAGATGCAAGGAATGCATCTAGTCATCTTTTTAATCAAATCCTCACTCCCTCTCATCTCACCCGGGCGGGAGAAGTAGAAGCAGGAAGATTGGAAGATTTTCCCCCTTAAAAAAAACCTCCCCAAGTCATTCCTAACCGCCTAAAGCGCACTTGTATTTCCTCTAACATCTGGCGAAAGACCTTTTATCTTTTGATCAAATGGTCAGTTTTAAAAACAAAGTTATAAAAGTCTAGCAAAGTGACACTTTTTTTAATTAAGTAGTCGCCAGCTGGTCAACTTCCCTTTTTCTGTCAAATTTCTTTAATCCATTTTCCACTTTATTATTTTAGTGTAAAGTAGGATATCCAGTGAATAAATTGACTAACTAGATGTATGTTGATCTACAGGTGCACACTACAAAATTTTGTATTTTTTTTAAGTAACCATTATGTACTTACTTGATTTTAATTATTGCCTTTTTATCAGACTACAGTGAAGCAGAAATAATGTTTAAGACCTAACAATGAGATGAGAATGGATTGATAGTCATACAATCATGACTAGAATGGAATATTCGCTTATTAGGAAGTACTGTGACCAAGAGGAATAAGTGATACGACTGTTCAGACTTGCCTACGACTGTTTGCTCAAGTGCAGTCGCTTTTGCAGCCGACAACAATGAACATACTTTTTCTAAAGTAGGCATGCGCTGTGTAATCTTTAGAAAATGTTACTTCTTTGATAACTGTGCATATTTTAATATGCTAGACACATATGTATATCTGGGAATGAACAAACCTCAAGATAGGTAAGTAGTAAATAAAATATGACAGTCTCGTTGGCAGAGTGGTCGCAAGTGCCGGGCAAGGGGTCTCGGGTTCGATTCCTGGGTCGGGCAAAGTATTACTAGGGTTTTTAAGAAATTCTCAGTACGAAGTCTGGAATATGGGACTCATACATAACATAGTAATAAAAAGTGGGTGTTACATTGTACAGTGTCTTCTAGTGCCGTAATGTGCATCTCTGACTGTCTTCGAGGATAAAAGGCGTGATGTTATGTTATAGTAAATAAAAATCAACATTCAACATACAACTTGGCTTTTAATTTCAAAAATATACACCACAATCTTATAACAATATATAAACATACACAATGTAATATGTACAGTCTAACATTGTTAAGTTCTTTTATATTCAAATAAATATATTAATTGCAATTGCAAATACTATAATGACTAAGAATTTTATAGGTAAACATTACTTCAAAGTAACTACAACTTTTAATAAAAGACAGTAAAACAATATATTTCAATTATTTACACTACCACCTGAAAATATGAGCAAGATATCTCTCTATCAGATTATCAAGTATGAAGCTTTTCATTTTAACCAGCCGTTATCAGGCACTTTAGATATCAACCCAGATGTCCATAGTTCATACTATCTCCACCTACATTACAAATATTGTGATTCATTCAACTGTTTGCGCTATATAATCAGATTCAGCTAAAATTATATTTAATACTATAAAAACAATCACATAGTTTTACAAAATAGTTACTCCTAAACATCACTTCAGTATTTATTTAAGTATATCAAGGCGATATAAATTATAATCAGAGATCACAATAGTTGTGCTAATAGTTCAAATCGATTACATGTTAGTAATTGGTATATTTTTGTCTATTTTTCAAGTAAATCGGATGAATAATGAATATATTACAATCAAATTAAAATCCACTCCTCACTGGGTTAGTACATGAATAGTATAGCAAGATAATGCCGAGAATGTCATGTAGAATGCAACAATAATGTTTACAATAAGCTTGCATTCTTTCAAACAATATCAAACTATAAAATAACTTCCGTTTTATAGCCTCCTTCCTTATCAAACGAAAATAAATAAAACGATTCAATTATTTCTACAACTGTTTTAACAAATGTTATTATTTGATAGCAGCTCTAGCATCCGCCCGTTATGAATGTAATAGATAAAAATAAATCACGCCTATCTATGCCCTATGCCATGAATAAATAATAACATACAGAAAACATCACAAATAGAGTCTGCAAACTATGCTATAATTAATTTTGTACGCTAATTAAATAGGCAGTGATGTATGTGCACAATACATGCTTGTATTGAATCAATTTTTGGTCAGTTGTGCATAAAAAGCGTACATATCAGTCAAGCAGTGGACTTGATGGAGCACCCATCTTGTAAGGCATCCATACTTCAAGGTTTGTTATAGAGCCTCCTATAACTGACTCCGTTATCACAAAATTCGTTCATGATTATTCTGCACAAGAATAAATGGAAGACCACAATAAGAACTATAATTGATATCCAGAATAAGGGATTGAGACCTCCTAAACTGTGCCCATGTTTATGTAGGGCTATGACATGGTTGTCATGCGCGGGGGCTTCCACAACTTCTCTCACATGAATAGCATGTCTCAGGTCCTCCATATGCTGCTTGTCTGCTGTTATATAAAGTATAGCAGTTAAGGGCTCGGTTAATTTGACAGGGAAGTACTTTCTGTAAGGTCCTAATTGCACAGGGGAGTCTAAGCATCCTGCATCGCATGCATAGTAAGTCTTATCTGAGCGGTCCAACGCCACAAAGATAGCTGCTTTATTGTCTTCCTGTACAATAACACTGATATTCACATGCGTCATATTACCATAATTGAGTCGACGGAATAAGAAATCTCTATGTAACTTTGAAGGGTGAATGTTATATTCAAGATGCTGATTACTGAAGCGCAAACTTCCAAAGCTTAGAATCATTGCCTGGTTGACACCACTTGCACCAGCTTTCAAAAGATTATGGCATCCTTGTTTTTCAAGTGTTAGTAACCAGATACTGGCCACTGTGTTTAGATTTGACAAGGAATTCAATGGTTTCCACAAATTGAATGCATCAAGTGTTGAATGTCCTTCATAGCAGCCTTCAGAATATGTCAAACTCCTCATGATGTCTGATTTTCTACTAGCTTTAATATCGTCTTCATGTTCATAGCTCCGTACTTGAGATAGTATAGCATAGATAGTGGCATTAATTCTATCTCCGTTGATAATTCCTTCAGCTTTAGAGTCAGAGATGTAGAATCCCGTGTACCAGAGTCCTTGCCACACTCTAGCATGATTCTCTCTGAGCTTTTTCACAGCTGTCCTATCTCCAGTGAGAGCTATAGCCTTTTCCATTTCCTCAATAGCCTTCTTCTCAACAATGTCTTTATGTGAAGCATACTCGGACTTCTGTATTGGTTTGCTGTACTGCACTGTAGTTAATATAAGGATGTCTAGCCCATCTCTAGCCTCTACTCTCAGTGTATTGCCCATTTTCCTACATACAACCGCAGCAGCAATTACGTTCTCGCTGTCCGGTATTGGTATCATACCAGTCACTACCTCATACTCATTTGTATCAACTCCTTGGTGTAACTTTATGGTCTGCATAACAGATGTAGGCCAGTCAGACACTCTAGGAGTTGTCAATCGTAAATTCTTATCTGTGCTAGTTGGATTGTTAATCCAAATCTCCTGTACAAACAATGAAGGTATTGTTCTATGTGCATAATACTGATAAGATGCTTGTAAGCCTGAATTAGAACACTGAAATCTGTGTACAATGCCCTTTTTATACTCAGCTACAGTAAATTCTTTAATTTCGTAGTCGTCTATAACGTATAGGGGATGGTAGTAGAGAGGCAGCGAGAGTGTTCTCCCATGTTTTATGTTCAGATGAGGCACATGTTCCAGTGCTAGACCCATTAAGCCATTCCCAACATAAGGCACATAGTTATGACTGAGCGAGTTCATTGCCGCTAGTGATTCTTGTCTCACGTACACGTCGTATTCGTTCAGACCAGTCTCGAAAGGGTTCATGAAATTTTTAACACATACATTCTGGTGGCCTGTCGTACTCTCCGGACCAAACAACCAGTTCAATAGTGTAGGTCCAGCATATAGACATAGGAATATAACAACCAGCACTAATATAACCAGCTTCTTTCTCGTCATGGGTCCATCAGCCAATCTGTTGATACGCCTCAAAACATCCCCGGCACGGCGACTCATGTCTGCGACGATAGAACGAAATCTTTCCATTACAAATTGTCAGCAACTGTTCACAAAACACGCTTGGCTTTTATACGCATTCAAGTAAGATCAGTTATTGTCATTGTAAATCAGTAAATTCAATAAAAACAGAAGATTTTTATTTAAATGCTCCACGGAACAATATCACTTGACTTCTACAGATAATAAAAACAAATTTTAATTAGAGTTGCCAATAGTCGATTTTACAGAATTCGACTAAAATTATTAAAATCTTTGATAGTCAAAAATGATCTTAATATCAGCTAGATTATTATTTCCATATATTTATTCAAATTACATTTCTAAATACTACTTGACCAAAAAAAATACGATACATGCCGTTTCTAGGAGAACTGCCTCCTGTATTAGGGCCCCTGGTCCATTCGTCTAACGCCAGCCTCCTGAGATGAATGTCAAGTCTTTTAGGGATTAACCCATTGGCCGATAAGACTACGTGTCGGCACAATGGTAACCAAATGCACAAGTCGACAACCTTGTGAGCTAAGTCTAGATATTTGATTTGTATATCTTTTTTAGCTTTCACGAGGTCCTCGTCATGTGGGATGGTTACATATCAGTTAGATTTATTATTAGCATTTTGTAACAGATCCTTTGCATCATAAAATTCAAAATTAAGAGGCCTGGAATAAAAAATGTTTCATAAGTGGGCCCTCTTCCACCTTCGTTTTTTGTTTTGCCACAAGGGGTGTTTGATAAAAATTACGTTATTCTTTAAGCTATTTATTTTTTCATTTCTTGCTAGATTTTTATTTATAGTAAGTTTTCTTAATTTTTTTTCTCTGTCGAGGTCGTGCATGTGTAGGCGCCCATAAGCACAAACGAACGCTTTCTAATTATTACAGCTCTGGGTCTCCTAGTACAACTCTGTCCGACCGGGAATCGAACCCGTGATATTTTCAACAGCAACCGTTCATACAATCATTGTCATTCATAAAGTCAGGGTTTATTGTGTCTTAAGTCGTTATTTTATAATAGGATTAATAGGGTGCAAATAAACAGTCGGATTACCTGACGGAACTCGATTAGAGCCATTATTGGAAAAAATAAAACAAAACAGTACTAGTAAAATTTAATATTATTTGCTAAAATATCAATACGGAACTATCACATTACAAATATATATAGAAAAATAAAGCACAATTAATAAAAGCACCTTTGATATTATTGTTTTTTTCTGTTAAAATCTAAAATGTTGATACATAGGTAATAAATTCGTTAAAAATATTATTGCTGATTCGAAACAAACTTATGAGAGATTCTTTAAATACTTAAACTAACAATGTTCGTTAACTTAATTATAAATTAATTACCACTAAATAATGTATGTAAATACACATATATATATATAAATATTGTTTATCATTTATTATTGACAATTTAAACATAAAATATACAAAAAATCTGCAAAGGTACGTCGTTTTATTGTGTAAAATATTAAACTAATATAAAATCATGATTGTAGGATAAAAGAATTCACAGTTTACTTATAAAAAAAGAATACTTAGTTTAAATTGTGTATAAATTACAATATTTGATTTTTAAATACATAATTTTATGTTTTTTTCGAAAACACAATACTTACTAGTGAATATCAAGAAAAATATCCTTCGAAAATGTAACCCTTATATAGTAAAAAGTATTGTCGAACCCTGTACCATAATTATTAATGAAGGCACTTTTAGAGGATACAACGTGAATTATAAGTTACAATATATTTTTTTTCTTCTTTGGAAACTGAGTCTCCAATACAATGTTGTCGACTAAACTGCCAGTGGTAACGATGATAACGCTTTTATATATTGTAACCAAGTGTCAACGCACAACCATAAAAAATTCACGCTGTATGTGTTAAAAATTTCGGGAATAAGTTCGGAATGTGTAGATACAGAAAAGGAATAAATAATCTTATTAGCTAATGTTTCACAACATATTTAAAGTAGATAAATAAATATTATTGTAGGCTTTGTTTAGTAAGTTTTTTTAAGAGTACGATATCGTATCGATAACAAAAAACTGCTATTGAAAATTCTAAATATCAATTAATTTATAGTATTTTGGACGCAATTTTTTGCTACTTTATATAAATATCCGGCATATCATAAATTAAGATACCACGATTATTTTTTAAATTTAGTTAGTTCAGTTTTAATTTTTTTTTTTTCGTTAAAATTTGATATAAAGGAACGGAATGTGTGAGCCAATGGGTGGCCATTTAAAAATGTATAAAGAAGAATGTATCATTTTTACTAATACTGATAGATTACAAACATAGATAGATGTCGTCTAGAGATCATCCCAATTGTTAGTTAACGATTTTAATAGTTAAATACTCGATCTCCTAGATTTAATAAATTAATTATTTATTTAAAAAATATTATCTTCCCTAATTTCACAATTTTTAATATTAACAACTTTTTTTAATAATAACAAACAATACATTTTAATTTGTTATGCAAATAACGCAAAAACTTTGTCGGAAATACTGTATTTAAAATGTTTACCATCAAAATATATCGGACCTTTTTTTAAAAAACTAGGTAGTTTACTTAACTGACCTTGGATCTAAATAAAATGAATAAAAATCCGAAATATACATAGTGACTTTTGACTCGACGTATTCCTCTCGAGAGTAGTTTCTAAGGTATTCAACATTTTTAATTTTGATCAAAAAGTCCATAACGAACTACAAAACCAGCAATAAATAAAAAAAAAACTATTGATTTGATAGGTGATTTTAGTTTTAATTTGATGTTTATATGTAATTGTGTTGATGTTTCTGTAGTTTGTTCGAGATTTTTTGACCAAAACCAAAAATGTTGAATATCTCAGAAACTAGCCACATTCGGACCAGAGACCTCAGGACTAATTTTGTAGGAAATTAATTGTATTATCACCTCCCAAGAGGAATACGTCGAGTTACAAATCACCCTGTATTTGATTTTATTTTCTTTCCTCTGCAGAATATAATTTTGAAATAGTTTCCACGTCTTGCGTTTACTTCATTACAAATTATTTATTTTATAGGTAAATTGTATATTTATTTATAGTTTCTGTTGCACGCACAACTACTGTTTCTACTTTACCCAAAACCCAGGTTACCTAATCAGTTCCGTTAAAATCTTTGTTAAGAATTCAAACTTTATTACCTAACTGATATGGTTTATTGTCCACTGAGTGCAGTCAAAATAATGAATTTTATTATAGTTTTATAATATCGATAGTAGGAATTTTACAAAACTGAGGCTGTTTTTTTTATTAATGTTATTTTCAACAATATTTTTATTGTCTACGAATTTTGACCGCGTCGTTTTTTTAATGGTTAGGCATTAGAAGTTGGTTATTTTTACAATTTTTGTTTCATTTGTGCGAATCTTTAGGCCTCAGTTTGTATTATATTCAATGTTAAGTCTCCGTCTAACAGCATCTAATAAAAAACTGATATTAATCCAAACTCTTTAGATAATGTTTAAGAGTTAACACACTTCAAAATAGAAGGAAGGTCAGTTTCTCAGTTTGATTTATGTGTGTCCGCGAATATCGCGCGGTTACCTGAACATACCCGATGCGGTTTTCAAAAAATTGTTGTTTTAGGAGTAAGTTAGTATTAACCCAGTTTATTATTAGCCGACTTCAAATAACGGAGGTTGAAGACGGCATCATGAAAATAACAGCCATTATGAAATATGGTAGATAGTAGAGGCTATTGACTGACAATAGCCATATAAAATATGAATATTTAATCGATTTATTCTTGGTCCGCTTGCTTCCAATCTCTATCTGACCTGAGTAGCACTATTTCTTCCTCGGAATCCGTTTCTGAAGCAGGTAAGTCTTCTTCATCGAAGTAAGGTTTGCGAACGATGTCTAGAATGAAATAGACAATATCAGAATAAGGTAGTTTCCTAAATTTTATTGTAATGTCCGTTTGGTACATTAATTAAAAACAGCAGCAGACTCAAAATGTTTATAATTGGGTAGTTTCCATGGTACCAAAATTAAAAATCGAATTAGTCCGTTTGTTAGATAATAAAAAAATATTAGACACGTATTTTTTCTTTTCTCACAAAATTAAATACTTTCGACGGTATATTAATCTGAAATATCGTGACGTCACAGCGTGTCACATTTTGTAGTACGTTATGACGTAACGACCTCCGACTTCTAAACTTAGCGCCATTTTATCTAAGTATTGCAACTTAATACGAGAAAATAAAAAATACGTGTCTAATATTTTTTCATTATCTAACTGACTAATTAGATTTTTAATTTTGGTACCCTGAAAACTACCCGATTATAAACATTATGAGTCTGCTATGGTAATAAACTCGAAAAATGTCCTTTTACGTTTACATGACAAAATGAAAAGTCTCCACAAACAGCCGTCTCGGTTGGAATGCCACAAAGACCTCACAGAACCGTGAACAATTATTGAGGTTACCGGACTCCTCCCCACGCTACAGCTAAAAGATTTCCCTTTCTCTCTTCTTCAGCAGCAAAAACTTGCCCATCAAAATGCCAGCAACGCAATTTTATCCTCCCCTGTCACCTTTAGCCAAACGCCACTTTCGCGCTTGTCTACAGAGAGAGTAGAAATCAAAATGTATGGGGATGACAATGATAAGTGTCAAAATTTACGTCAATTCCATATAATTTGGTTTTCTATTCTACATGTAGACAAGCGCTAAGTGGCATTTGGCTACAATTGCTGGTGTTCATGAGCGATGCTGAATGCTTACCATTAAGTGTTTCGTCCACTCGTTTGCACCACTATACCTGTGCTCTCCTGCTTTGCGTGTGAAATAAGTGTTTTTCTAGTAAATGGTGTAAAATAATGTTATATAATTTACCATATCCACTGGCATCATCACAGAGCGGTCGTTTATCGTCGCTGGGTATCTGTGTGAACATGTACTGTCGGCGCGAGTCCTTCGCGCGCTCGCGGCAACTGAAGCACCACGCTGATATTGTCACTACTGCTACACCGATCACACCTGTAACGAAGCAACAATAGATATGATAATAGAAATAATTTAATATCTAAATGGTATATCCCAACACATCAACAGCCTATAAGTGTCCACTGATGACCAGAGGCCTCTTTTCACACGAAGACACGAATAAGGTTTGAGGATTTGCTCAATGTGGGTTGGCGACTGCAGATTTATAATTAGAAAATATAAGCCCAGGTTGTCTCACGATTTTTTCCTTTACCATTTGTCAGTGATGTCTAAATAATTTTAGAAATCGCCCTAAAGGAGGCCATACATGCTAGGGTTTGCAGGATGGTTATAACTTTGCATGCAAAACCGACAAGCATATCCGAGCACCGATGCACTGATAACTGTACAGTTTAATCACATACTGACTGCCTCGTTGGCCGACTGGTCGCAATTGCGACTGCCGGGTAAGGGGTCTCGGGTTCGATTCCCGGGTCGGGCAAAGTATTACTGGGTTTTTAAAAAACTCTCAGTAGTAGCACGGAATCTGGAATTGTGCCCAGTATATGGCAATAGGCTCACCCTCTATTACATAAGACTCATAACATCAATAGTAAAAAGGTGGGTGTTACATTGTATGTACAGTGCACCTCCCTTGCACACCCTTTGAGGATATAAGGCGTGATGTTATGTATGTATATTGTTATAGATTTACTATAAAGACAAATACAGACCTGCCAACATGACGAAGACAAGTCGTGGCATGCCCAACACGTAGTCATCGCTCTCCAGCTTGAACAGTATATTCGGAGTCAAGTTCTCTTTGCCGTTTATCTGGAAACATCATTAAAACAATCTTATTTTCGTATAAATATAATAAATTGGTAACTGCAGCCATCATTTAGATCAATCTTTTTAGGAGACTTCGTCGTATGAGTGAGGTTACCGGAGGCCCAATTACCCTCCCCTTCCCCCAATCTCCCCAATTCCTGAATCCCCAACGATCCTCAAACTCCTAAACCCCAAAAGGCCGGTGATGCACTTGTAACGCCTCTGGTGTTCCAGGTGTCCATGGGCGGCGCCGATTGCTTACCATCAGGTGATCCGTCTGCTCGTTTATCGGCTTATGCCATAAAAAAAAGACTTAGATGCATATTTTTATAGCAAAGATCATATCACTAAGGATTAATACATTAAACGCCATGGGGGTCACCGGTGACCGACATTAGCGGAGGATTTGCCTTCAACAGACTTCTATTGGCAGTCAAAACCTTTTTCTTGCTTTAATTATTTTATGTGACAAAATGTGCACTTGTAACTTTTATGACAAGACACTGCCTTGAAAGCGCCAAGCAAACTTAGAATCAAATTTATATCTAGACTAACAAAGACTAACAATTACAAGGTAAAATATTGCAGCATTATTGTTCTTCTGTAATCTATATATATAAAAGAAAGTCGTGTTAGTTACACCACCTATAACTCAAGAACGGCAGAATAGATTTGGCAGAAAATTGGTAGGGAGGTAGCTTAGAGCCAGGAGACCGACATAGGATACTTTTAAACCAATACTTTTTTTTTACTTTTTACCGAAAATCACGAACGGGGACGGGAAAAAATGGGATTACGCGTACGAAGTCGCGGGCAGAAGCTAGTCTTTACCTATAACTAAGATTTAAGAAACTCACCACAACATGCTTCTGTTTCGTGATATATCCATTCACAGACGCGCTGGCAACGACCTCCTTAGCCTTATAGTCCAGTGGTAGGGCGAGGACATATCGTCCTGAGGCGTCACTCTCGTTCTTAGCTATCGGAGACTTCGCGCCTAAAGGTCGAATGTCCACTGAGACCGATGGTAACGGCACGCTGTTGCGGTCTAGAGTTAAACCTGGGAATATTTTTGTTCAATTATTTATAGTGCCTCGTTGGCCTCTCAGTAGTAGCACGGGGTCTGGAATTGTGCCCGGTATATGGCAATAGGCTCACCCCCTATTACATGGGACTCATAATATAAATTGTGAAAAAGTGGGTGTTACATAGACAGTGGCATTAAGTGCCGTAATGTGCACCCCTACCTATCCCTTCGGGGACAAAACACGTGATGTTATGTTAAGATTTTTTTAAAGATAATGTAGATGTAGATGCTAGGAAATGTAGTAATAAGAAGTGAGCAGGTTACATCGTTAAAAAAATATTGATTAAAGTTCTAGATCTAAATAATTAAAACGAATTAAGGAAGTAAGCCCCGATATTGCTTGAAAGTGATCGAGCACCTTCGAACAGTTTATAAACTATGAGGAAGTTTTGTATTCAAATCAATATTTCAATTATGTAACAGTGTTTCACCTCCATAACTCTCTGTACTCACCAGTAACATACACGACGTTAGGGTTGTCATCTACCTTCACCTCAGCGAACTGTCCGCCAGGAATAGTGTCGGAGTCCACGCGACGCATTATTATGTCCTTACTCTTGAGCACGCCTTCCACTACCGACCATACTAACATCTGTAGGACAATTAATATATTAGGAATGTCAGGGGGTATGTCAACCTTGCAGGTTACCGGCTCGAGGCTGGAATAGAACCGGAGTGGTATTTAGTCAATACTTTACTACTTCTCAACACACTTTCGCCTGACCCAAGGCGTCATTGTATGATTTTGAAAAATACTTAGGGGAATTCCATGTAAGTCAATCAGAATCAAGATGAATATTATAAATTCTCATGAGGGATATTATTATTAAAATTAATAATACATGACAGTCCGCTGCAGGACTCTCTACATAAGAGGGTTTGCTATAATCTCTAGAGTTGGCAGGCGGATTGGAGATGGCGGATTCTTTTTCTCCTCTTATAATATCTTCTGATTCACGTCATTGCGGGAACCAAGACAGTTACTCATGTCCCTGGGACGCGCCGGACTTCAAAGTTCGGTGTTTTCATGGTTGTATCTACTGTAGATCCTGGCTTACAGAAGTTGCAGCGGTTTTGGGAGGTTGTGGCGGGCTTGTCCCTTAAAAGGCGGATTGGAGATTGCAGCTCAACAGGTTTAGGTTTATCAGAGAGCGCTACTACTCGTCTCTGTCGTATGTATAGCTTCTTATTCAGCTCTTACGGATCCCGCAGGAATAGTACTTGTAGTACTTCACCGTCATCACAAGTCATCTTCATATATATGATTCTCACGTAATTTCTGAAATAACATTATATTCCTCTAATTAATACAATTTCTCTCACCTGATCCTGATAATTATGGCACCGTACAATAACCCGGTAGACGCCAGGCGGCAACATGATGCGATAGTGTGCTAGATTGCGAGTCACTCGATACTGTCGCTCTACGCCCGTCACTGCCACTATAGCGTCGCGCATTGGGATACCTTCCTCGTTCTTTATGTAGCCTACCACACCTGTAGAATAAAAATAGTAAAATAAATATGGGAAATCGAAATGTTGTAAGTGTAAAAGATAAAATTCGATATTTCTCAGGCATTTTTTAGGTTTGATAACGCGAAAGTACCATCTAGAAATGTCAAGGTAATAGGGTAGTTACCTAAATTTTATTTTAATGTCCGTTTGGTAGATTATTTTAAAACATTTGAAATGTCGTGTGACGTCACTGCGTGCTACAAAATGTAGCACGTTGTGGCGTAACGACATTCCACTCCTAAATTTAATTCCATTTTATCTAAGTATTGTAACTTTATACGAGAAAATAAAAATATACGTGTCTAATATTTTTTCATTATTTAAGTGATGGACTTATTAGATTATTAATTTTCTTATTCTGGAAACTACCCTATTGCTCTACCACGCAGACTGTAAGCTACTTGTCACTTAAATGGTACCTAGTTAAAATAAAAATGTACCATTCTGTTTCTCATTGTGCTCTTGGGTGTGAAAACGTATCAAACCGACAAAAACACTTGCACAATCTAAAATTTTTTGCAAAACATGAATGAATCTTACCAGTATTCGCCAGCTCAGCAAACTTCATGATCCCTCTGAGATTGCTTCTCCAAACCCAAGCAATGTCTTTGTCCATCGGCATCTTACAGCAACTGAGTCCCGCAGATATGACGGGCGTATTATACCGTTCATATAACACATCTATTAGATCGTCATGTTTCACTCCACCGCCCTTACACTCATACCTATCCTCAGTAACCCTGCTATCCTGGTACGTCTTAGCAAACTTCTCAAACACATTCTTGGATAACTCTGGATATTTTACGTCTTCTGACCCCGAAGCAAGTTCTAGAATAACATCATACTTCTCAGCTTCCAGCATATTCAAGAAGGAGATTTCTCTGCTGTAGTTTGAAAGAGGATTTAAGTCTTTCTTTGTTAGGTAGGCGTATAAACTGTCTCCGAATTCTTCTTCTAAGGCTTCAATTTCGCATTTATCAGTTTCATCATACTGTTTTATGATTTTGTCTGATAATGCGTCTATGTTTGGTATGAAGTGTAGCACTGTGTTTTGGAGAAGGCGCTTGTGTACTGGCTCTCCGATCGTGTAAGCCGTGCCGATGTGGCGAGCGAAGTTCAGTAGCATTTCTTGGCCTAAAGGCTGAGAGCCGTAGAAACTGCTCATTATGGCGATGTGGAATTTGGTTTCTTCTGGTGAGCCGACCTGGTGAAAAGATTACTTTGATTAGACTAATAATTCCTTAAATGTATGTATTAGCAACATTGGAATAGTATTTATTAAAACTTCGGTATTAATATATAAGACAAAAAAACCTAAGTATTTTTTTATAATCCAGAATTGGCAAAATAACATCTATTCTTAGATTGTCACATTGGATGCCGTGTCAGACAATAATGACCAATGCCTGCAGAAGATTAGGCTTTAACAGTTTTTGTCGGCACTTAAACTTTAATTTTTAACACTATCTACTAAAAGTGTTAGGGCAATGCTACTACGGTTACTGATCGATAGGAATATCAAAAAATCTCAAAGCTACTCACATCATCAGTCATCTTTAGCTGGTGGAACGTAGAAGTAAGCATGCTGTCTCCGGCCCTGAACTCCGCGATGCTTGGGAACCGGTTCTCCAGCTCAGAGAGTGCAGCATACATCTCCAGCCGCGTGTGGTACCGTGTGTTTATTACGTTGTCCAACACACTGTAGTACAAATGGTGGCTCAAATACTGGCACAAGATTTTATAGGTACGCGTAAAAGTTCTATAAATTTTTTTATAGTGATTTCTTACATGATTCTTTCATTACGGTGAGAATTAACAACCTATGTCGATAGATTAAGTTATAAGACATAGAATGTTGTGTACAATAACTATGTGTTCGTGTGTGTGCCATTAAGTGCGCTTGCGTTATGTTTCGTCGTTGAGTGAGGTAACCTAAGGCACAACAATCCTCAACAATCCTCCCCAATCCACAATAATCCTCAAATTCCTAATCCCAAAAGACCGGTAATGCACGTGTAACGCCTCTGGTGTTCCAGGTGTCCATGGGCGACGCCGAATGCTTACCATCAGGTGATCCGTCTGAGTTAACCGGCTTATACCATAAAAAAAAACTTTATACAAAATATATGAAATGTCTCTAGTAGGTAAACAAATAGCAGGATTTTTACATCGACTTCTGTCCGAATATTGAAATGCCACTCAATTTTAGGTCGCGCTTAAATATAGTTCAACAAATTCATTGTAAAATAACAGGGATGGCATGATATTTAAGTACATCTTAAAAAAATTAGAAGGATTTCAGTATTCGGGTGAAGAAATGTGAAACAATAAGTTTGCTCAAGATTCGAAAAACAAACGACAAGCTGCATTAACAGCTCTTGGAATTTTAACCAATGAGCGTTCCTATTGTATCATAGCTGTATTAAATTAATGCTCAAAACGCTTTTCTACAAAATACTAAAGGTGCTTGTCTCATTGGTTTTTTGACTCTCATTAATTTCTATAATAACACAAACGTGTAAATGGTTATGTTTTCAATCTAACTACAAAACGTGCAACTGCATTATGGTAGACTAATGTCGGAATACTGAAACGCTACTTAATTTTAAGTCGTGCTTAAGTATAGTTCTATCTCTATAAATTATTTGTAAAATGACAGAGATGGCACGATATTTGAGCACGACTTAAAATTGCGTAACGTTTCAGTATTCCGGCATTACTGTATTATGACTAGTGACTCGACCCCACAGTCAAACCATTGCAACGGTTTTGTGGGGCTAAAATTATAACACTTACCTGTGTGATTTAAAGATAAATAAATAATTAAAAAATAACTAGGAAACGAATGTACGTGATGTAATATTAGGATGACCCAAGTACTTCTAATGATTTATTTTTACTTAATAAATGGTCGTTCAAAAGATTCTATATTTTTCCGACTTAATGAGTACCTATACCTACAACAATGTGTACTAAATTATTTTAATATAAGTTTACCTGAGCATATAGAGCATTATCGATAAAGTATCGATAGTTCCAATCTTTGTAACATCACTTTGTATCGATATGATCGGTAAAACATAAATGATATTAACTCGTCGAGTACCGGTTTTATAGACACAATTAAAGAACAATAGGTCGCGGTCACCGGTGACCGCTTGGTGTTTGACAGTTTAAGAGATAAGTTTGGATACTTTCAACAAACATGTTCTTTGGCCATTATGCCAGATTAATTTGATTTTGTGTTTTAAAAAATGAAATATTGTGTCACATAATTATCTTCTTGCAAGCATACCTAAGGCGCGGTACAGCGATATCAGTTAATAACTATAATAGATTTTAAGCTTTATTCTTTTGATGTAAAGTCGAAAATCAAATAGCATAGAAAAACTGAAGTAAATTAATGAGCTGGCGCCACAATGCAATAAACAACACAAAAACAACACAATAGCGTGCAAATAAATTTATTAATAAAGATTAAGCGACATTCATACATTGCGACATAAAATAAACTAATATTAAAAACTACTGTTAATAACTCAAGCCGTAAGAAATTAGAAGTAAGAGTAAACATAGAAAATATCATAAAAGATAATCTAAAACTATATTGTTAGGTTGCCTAAGTAATTTGCCCTTATATTCTGAAATACTGATCAATATTAAGTACTTTACCTACCAAATCTTATATTATATGCTTTAGAAAGCTTTGATTCTGGGAAAATAGTAAATTTGTAATAACCCAACAACATTTTAATTTTCGTAACAAACATTGTGAGACATACAAAATTAATTAAAAATAACTGTTTACTCATGTCAAAAATTTAATAAAGTTCTATTAGTTTCGAGTCACAGAAGGACTCTTCTGCATGAGTAGCGTGCTCAGACGCGGTGACGTCACACAGCTGATTGACACTGATTTTAATTAGCTTTTCTGATCATCTCATGTGAGTAAACCAATGCTTTTATTTACCATTTTGAATGTTATTGAATGCATTTTAAATGGACGCAATAACTAAAGATAACTATTTACTCACGTAAATATACTGAGGAAAGCTCTACTTGTTTCTAGTCAGTCAAAGACAGAAGGCATCTTCCTCATGGGCAGATTGCGCGGTCGCGGTGACGTCTGCACGTATATTCATATATCACTATATTTACGAGAGTAAACCACTATTTTAAGTCAATTCAGTATGTCTCACGATAGTTATTGAATGGACGCACTGCAATAATCGCTTATTCGAAGAAGAGCTTATAATAACTATTATTTACCAATTAGGCTTAATATAAATGAATTGATCAGCTTTCAGAATTGAGTTAGATATCCAAAATTTTAATTTGAAATCAACTTTATTGTTCATAATATACTTTATATTTTATAAAAATCTTTTGTGACTGGAAATTAATGTTCAGTAAAAAGAAATAACAATAATAATGCAAATAATTTGCTATCCAAGTTTAAAAAGTATTAAAAGAGTGCAAAATTGAAATCATACGAAAAAAATCACGCATAAAAATGAGTAAAATCACCGAAATTAATTTCAAACATTGTTCAAAAACCTATAAAATAATCTGAGATTCAACTTCCATAAAAATGAGACCAAAGCGACTTTCAAAACTAAAATAAATTTTATAAATGAATTATTTAATAAATCTCAAAAATATGACCTTAAAATTTCTCAAATTAAACTTGCTTATAGCAAAATATATTAAGTACATTATAGATATAAAATAAAAATATGCTAGAAATAAGCGAAGTGCATTATAAATTATAATTAACACAGTGCTTTAAAATATTAGAAAAGGGTAGTTTCAACAAGGGATGTACTTGAAAAAGGATACAAGGAATAACATGTCTTTAATTTCTGAGTATTTGCGCAAAAGTGCGCAAAGATGCGCAACGATGCGCAAAGTTGTGCAATTGTTTAAATGTATGAAGTACTAATTATCCTGATGTATTATAATATAATATAACGATATCATATAACCTAAGTAATTAATTATTATACTTAGGATTAATTGCCTTAATTACCATAGTATCTAAATTGTTCTTTTACGTCTTTATTCGGGTAAATATTTATATAATATACATGAAATACCAATTTTATTGATTGGGAAACTAATTTAGACTTTGACTTTTGACTTCGTTTAGTTCTTTTATGGTCACTTTCATGCACGTGCATTGATTTATTCAATAATACATGCAACTTTTTCACTCCCTTATAAACACCCTTTAAAACCACCCCTATTGACACCACAAACATACAAACAAAAGAAAAACCACAAAACTACACCCCTTGTTCAACCACCCATAGAAACATTCACATTTACGTGCTTAAAATAAGTAAACATATAAAACATTGCGTCAAAGCGTCAAGAAAAGCATAATGACAAAACAAGACAAAGCAATATATGTCCTGTGTGTACCGTGCAAGGTTGGTTTTTGCACTTTCCAGAAGTTGTAGGCAGATGACCAATATCCTTAACATTGGTCAGAAAAGCATAAGACAAGACAAGAAAAGACAAAGCAATTTGTGTCCTGTGGGTATCGTGCAAGGTTGAGTTTTGCACTCACCGGAAGTCGTAGGCAGATGACCAATGTTGCGGGTCGTCGGCCATGAGAGTGAAGTTGACGCTGACTGTACCTTCTTCGGGAACTGTTACTTGTTCTGTTATACTTTCATAGCTGGAGAGAAATAAATATATTTATGGATTAAATGCATGATATACATAGAATTTTGTAAATTCGAAGGTGAATTTAGATGGTCTTGATAACCAATAAGGCATAAGTTCTATTCCCAGGGTGGGTAAGGTAACATTCGCGATTTCGTCATTAACACAATTCCAGAATTTTTGTTACTGTTGTGATGGATGAGACAGGTATTTGACTAAAAAGAAAAATGCCAAATTTTATTATACCCGACATGGGTATTGAACCCAAGACTTCTTATTTAGCCGTCACATGAGCAGTTATTTGACTGATAATGAAATCAAGCTTAAAACATCGGTCTACTGGTCTACTGGTCTACTGGTCTACTAGTCTATCGGTCTTTTAGTCTACTCACCCGTGTTTAATAGCAGTAATATTGTAAGTGCCAGGCTCCAACAGTCTCCAGTAGTCACCATCCTTGGCAGTTTTGACTATGTGAGTTACACCTTCCACTTTGATAGTTGTATTCGCGAGTGGATGACCAATGTGGCTGTGGACGAAGCCGTTTACACCGTTGTGTACCTGTAAAGAAATAATGGAGCTAGTTAGTAATTAAACATAATATAACATCACGCCTTTTTATCCTTAAAGACTTAACGGGTTGCCGGGGCTCCGGTTCGAAGTTCGAGGCCCAAAAAAAAAAAAAGGGTTAGGCAGAGGTGCACATTACGGTACTTAATGCCACTGTACAATGTAGCACCCACTTTTTATTATTTATGTTATGAGTCCCATGTAATAGGGGGTGAGCCTATTGCCATATACCGGGCACTATTCCAGACTATTACTGAGATTTTTTTTAAACTCAGTAATACGTTGCCCTACCTAAAATCGAACCCGAGACGCCTTGCCCGGCAGTCAAGATGATGATCAGTTGATGATGTAATTAAACTCAAGTCTATTTAAAAAGTGGACAAAATTATCTGAGTCAGTCTTATCTATAAAACACACCAATTTCTATTTCTTTAATCGAGTTTCAACTTAACTACAAAAGTATCAAGTCGATAAAAATAAAATCTGTACATTATCTTATTATCTGTGTTTTTTCTTTAGGAAAAGTCAAAGTCATTTATTTCAATTAGACCAGGAAGACATGTTTGACATCTAAACAGAATATTGAAATATTTAAAAAAAAATGTCAATCTATCGGTCAGTCCTTTATTGAAGCTATTTGCTCATTCGAAAGTGTAGATTCCTATGGAGAAGAACGAGCAAGAAACTCCATAGGTTACTATTTTTCAATCAGGTTGGACCAGAAAAACATTCATATAATTATTTATAGTTAGATATACGTGAAATAAAGTAATGGATTACCTGTTCAATAAACTTAAGCAAAGCCTCCTTGTTATCCTCCCAGTAAGTAGGCAGGTCCTCTGCCGGAGGGAACTTGAAGCAACCGAGTTCCAATGTAATCTCCATGTCATTCGTATGTAAGTAGTTCCAGTCTTGCATACCGCCTGCTAGTACGTACCTGGAATTCGGATATTAGATCTTATTTTAAGTGGTTATAAGGTTTATTTTAGTTGTATGTTTGTTGAGGTATATGTGTATTGGATTTGAGACCTTATTCTTAAGGTGCAGGGTTGTATTTTATTTGAAACCTTCTTTTTAGTTTGTGAAGACAAAATATTACACCTTATTTTTAAGAATCGTAACGTTAAAAATTGTAATTTTTGAATTTAATGTGTAGAAACTCACGAAATGACATTATATTTGGGAACGAAAGTAGTATTTACCATTTAGCACCATTAGTAATGCCTTGTGGGAATTTTTCGCTGGGGAGATTCTTGCAGGGTTGTCCCAAGTGCATTTTATGGTGAGCCTGGAAATAATAAATTAATCTTATAAATCCTTACTATCCTTACTATAATATTATAAATCGGAAAGTGAGTTTGTTTGTTTGTTCCACTATCACGCCGTAACTACTGAATCGATTGCTTTGAATTTTTGCAGACGTGAAGTTACAAATTTGGATTAAATAATAGGGTACTTTTTATCACGGAAAAAATTGATATTCACGAGGGAAAACGAAATTATTGGTATAGATGGCGCTGTGTGTATTGGTATATGTCACATAGGCTACTTTTTATCCTTTTGTGACGCGAGCGAAGCCGCGGGTAAAAGCTAGTAATATTATAAATGCGACAGTTTGTGTGTTAATGTGTATATTTGTTACTCAATAACATCAAAACGGCTTAAGCGATCGGGATGAAATTTGGAACAGGGGTAGATTATGGTCTGAAATTATACATAATGTCAAAGTCAAAGTCAAAATCATTTATTTCAATTAGGCCAGAATGGCACTTTTGAACGTCAACAAAAACAAAAATTTAAAGTGAAGCTATTTGCTCATTCCAAGGCGTAGATTCCTATGGAGAAGAACGAGCAAGAAACTCCATAGGTTACTCTTTTTCAATCAGGTTCACAATACAATTTACTAGTTACATAGTTTTACTGTTTGGATTGTGCGAGAACAATGTAACACTAAAATCCAGTCAAAGTGATCAAAAAAGAAAATAACCTTAAGGACAGTAATACAGTCTGGAGCTGACCAGTCCCAGTTGACGGCGCCCGTTCACGAACATGACACGTACACCAGCACCGCCCAACTCAACCATATTGTAGGGAATCGAGCGATCCACTGCACGCGCCACCGCCAATGAGACCTTTGAGTGAGCATGACAACTCCAAGCTGACACAAATGAAATCTACTAATCTAATTTAATATTAAGTTAATTACAGGGCTCTCACATTTACAATGGTTATCTAAGTTAAACAATATACAATTTAGCAATATGGCTGTATTATTTACGATTTCATTAAAACAAGTGTTTTTAGTTATCCTGTGGAGCCGGACTAGCCTGCATCCAAGCATTTTTATCCTCTATATATTCATTAAGTTTGTAATATGCTTGTCTACATAAAGTTTTCTTTATACATAATTTAAATTTCGATTCATTTAGTTGTTGTACATCGCCTGGTATCTTATTATAACATTTAACACAGAATCCCATGAACGACTTACTTACTTTCGCTAATCTCGAAATTGGCTGACTTAATCTATTCTTATGTCTAGTTTGATAGTGGTGTCTGTCCGACACTTTACCAAATAACTGTAGGTTTTTCCTAACATACATAATGTTTTCATAAATAAATTGACATGGAACGGTCATAATGTTGATCTCCTTAAACCTTTCTCTGAGTGATTCGCGACGACCTAGATTGTAGATAGCTCTGACGGCGCGCTTTTGTAAGATAAAGATAGATTCAATGTCAGCAGCGTGTCCCCACAGCAAGATGCCATACGACATAATGCTATGAAAGTAACTGAAATACACTAGTCTTGCCGTGTCTATGTCAGTTAACTGTCGTATCTTCCAGACAGCATAAGCTGCAGAGCTCAATCGTCCCGCTAATGATGTAATGTGAGGACCCCATTGCAATTTGTCGTCTACAGTAATTCCCAGGAAAGTTGTCTCTTTTACAAACTCTAATTTCTCACCATTCAATAATATGTCACAATCGTTGCTTTTAACATTTGGCAAAACAAATTTGATACATTTTGTCTTTTTATTGTTTAGTACTAAGTTATTTAATGTAAACCAATTATGAACTTTCATTAGGGCATTATTTACGTCGTCATAACTATTTGTGCGTCTATTAATTTTAAAAACTAATGAAGTGTCATCAGCAAATAATACCATCTGCGGTTCATTTTTAAATAAATGGGGCAAGTCATTTATGTACGCTAAAAATAAGAATGGACCTAGTATCGAGCCCTGCGGTACACCCTCTATGGGTTTATTCTAGCACCCTGTGAATTTACTTTATTTACTTGTACTTTAAGTTGCCTATCCTGAAGGTATGATTTCAACAGATTTAGCGACGTCCCCCGAATGCCGTAGTGTTTCAGCTTCAGCAATAGTGTCTCATGCTCAACACAGTCGAATGCCTTCGAAAGATCACAAAATATGCCGATGGCATCCCGTGCTTCTTCCCAAGAGGCGAACACCCGCTTAATTAGAGCTACTCCCGCGTCAGTACTGCAGCGACCTTTGGTGAATCCGTATTGTTGATCATGAAAAATAGAATTCATGTTAAAGTGACGCAACAACTGAGAAAGCATCAGCCTTTCAAACACTTTGCTGAGCGCTGGCAAAATAGAGACCGGCCTATAGTTATTGGGTTCTGCACTATCACCGGATTTAAACAATGGAACTACTTTACTATGTTTCATTAAATCCGGGAAAACTCCGTGATCTACACTTATATTAAAAATAAACGCTAAATGAGGCGCTATAGTCTCTATAAAAGATCTACACACTCTAACAGACATGCCCCAGAGATCTTCAGTAGACTTAACTTTGATCTCTTTAAACGCTTTAATTACTGCTTGGGGGTTTGTGTATTGAAATCGAAACTCAGAAAGGCACTCATTGATATTACTTTTAAGAAGTTCAACGGAAAGAGTCGGAGATGATTTCAATGCTTCCGTAGTTTTAATCGGAATATTTTTAAAGAAACTTTCAAATTCCTGTGCAACTTTATAATTTGAATTGATACGTCCATTCGCAGTATTTAGATTAAATTCAGCACTACGTGATTTATTTCTACCTGTCTCGTCATTAATTATATTCCAGGTAGTTTTTATTTTATTTTCTGCAGTCTTAATTTTATTAGTAATGTAAAGTGCTTTAGCCTGCTTACAAACTAATTTAAACGTTTTTGAATATTTGGAGACATAAATGTGAAAAGCCTCACTATGATTAAATGGTTTCATACCGTAAAGCGCAAATAACCTTTCCCTACTTATGCGTATACCTGGTGTAGCCCAGTCACAGAATACCAACTTGCATTGAATGTTTTTGCGTTTTACAGGGAATAATTTATCAAATTGAGTTTTAATAATTGACAATAGGTTGGCGTAAATCTCACTCGGGTATTCACTATCATGTATTTGACCGCATAAATCATTTTTTAAATTATGATTTAATGACTCAATTTTTTTATTTGAGATCTGTCTAAACATAATTTCACTTTTTTGAACAGTTGTGATGGTGTTAAAGCTAACTGTCAGCCCACTGTGATCAGATGATAATTTATTAACAACATCTTTATGTAAATAATCACAGTTACAAAAAATATTATCTATACATGTTGCCGTGGTGGATGTTATACGGGTGGGCTCAAGGAAAACATTAGATAAATCAAAAGATTTGAAGAGACTTAATAAGTTAGTACAAATAGAGTTATTTTCCAAGAGATCAACATTAAAATCGCCACATACTATGGTACATTTACTACTAGAACACGTTTTGTGCAGTACATCTTCCATTATGGAGCTAAAACTATTAAAATTTTGTGACATAGGAGGTCTATAAACACAGATTAAATATGCTTATCCAGCTCAACACAGGACAACTCTATTGTGTGCTCTATTGACAATAATGTAATATCTTGTCTTTCTTTATATTTCACTGAATTGTTAACTAAAATTAGGCTACCACCATGTATCATTGTTTGACGGCTAAAATAGTTTCCAACACAATAGTTTTTAAAATTTATAGATTCTACTTGATAATCCTTCAGCCAATGTTCAGTAATACAAACAATATCATAATTAAATTTTTCTAAAAATAATTCAATTTCTAGAGATTTTGATGAAAAGCCCTGCATATTTTGATTAAACAATGTTAACAACTTTTCTTGTTTATTCTTCTTATGTACTACTTTCATAGATTTAGACTTATAATACTGCCAGAAGATACCTTTACAATGCATGGAACATTTGTAACATTTAATTGTTTATCCTCTGTTGTCTTATTATTTAGTTTAAAAAGTTATCCAGAGTACCCACATTTGTCATCAAATCATGAGTCTCTTTCGTACTATCATAATAAGTACAGCTAATCTCTATATTATTAGATTGTCTACATAATATAGATCCGTCACTTAAACTATTATAAACTAAATTAATACTATTTGCTAGCAAACTAGCAAGTAAAACTTTACATTTTCTAGGAATAAACATGTATTCCTTGGTCAAATTAAAACCACTAACAAATTTGTTAGTGTCAAAAAATAATAATTTGTCTTTATGACAACATGTCAGCATAAATATTAAATTATTTAAATAATATATATTTTTATTCTGTGATTCTGTCAAATTGTCAGAATACGGAAAAGCACACATTATTATGTTTCCTATTTTTAGTTTTAATAAAGCATCAACACCATCCACTATATCCCGCTTCTTTACCCCAGTACTATCACCCATCAACAACACTACCGGCTGAGTTTGTGTGATACATTGTTGTTTTATTTTTTGTATCATCTGACCAAACTTTATGTTACTATAACAGTAATTTGTTATACTGTAATTGAGGCAATTTGAAATGAGCGACCCAATACCTGCTCCTATGGAGTCAGTGAACACACTAACATTGCTGGTCATAGCTGGTTGAGTGACCGTATGTGATACAGGTATATTATGTTCCGGCTCAGGAGGCAGGGTGTGAGCACAACTACAAGAAAGGTTATTTGCTAGAGACTCATATCTCTCAGCACTATACGTTACTAAGTCTACTAGTTTACCTGCTTCAATCATGTGATTATTAATCTCAGATTGGGCGGATTCATACTTTTGGAACATCTGATTAAGGAATAATTCTCTCTGTAACAATTCTTGTCTAAGAGTTTGGATGTCCAAGTCATATACAGCCCTACTTTTTTCTAATTCATAATGGCAAGATTTTATTTCACTAACTAGTTTAACTTTTTGTTTTCTTAAATTTAAGTTTAGTTTAGATAGATTGTACCTCTTTTTAATTTTTTTAATTGTCTTATTCAGTTTAATGTATTTTTTAATTTTGTTGTGGCTGTTTAGCATGGTGCATACGGTTGATACAGTGACGGGATCATCGCCAGTCAAGTCTATTGTAATGGCCGGCTCACATGTGTCACCAGAACCACTCCCAATTAACTCTTCGTATAAGCTCTGTGTTTTGTCTGACATTACTGAGTGTTTAATGTACTTTTTATCCCACGGTAACGCGGGTGAAGCCGCGGGCAGAAGCTAATAATGAATATTTGTGACAAGTTTTCGCCTGAGACTGCACTAGATTAGCAATCACACTTAGAACAAAGAACATATCTTGGCTGTGCAATGTTCACGTTCACGTAACTCACGATTATCAGCTCCGGTCGTGATTTGAAACTTGTCGAGCATCCTCGAACAAGGTAGACCGTGTTGCTAATACAATAAAATTATTATAAATCATTTTAACTTACCTCAGAATAAGTATGAGCCAAATGCAGGAACACAGGGTTGTCCGGAGTCAGATATTCCAACCCGCTTTGCATATCAGGGTTGCCATCATATGGGTAGTTGGCGACTAAAGCTCCTCCGTGAAGATTGGCAGACAGGACGAAGGGTTCAGAGAGGGACCAGTTCATCACGGCCAAGGTTTCTGGCTCAGGGATCTTGTTGTCTGTAGTGTCACCAAATTGGTCAGGGAAGTTCCTGTTTAAGTCTACGTTGTGGGCGTTACTTCTGCCACGGAGACTGCTGTAATCTCCTGCAAAAGAAGAGATATAGATATTTTAGACGCATGTAAATGTTTTTGTAGCAAAAAAGCTATAACTTAACGTCGTCATCATTAGATCTCTTACTTCCAAGAATGGGTACATAAAGACGTCCCATTCCTATATTCTTCGGAATATTTTTTCTAGTTACATGAGTCCCGTAAGCGACAAAATCAGTCGAACTGGACTTTTCAAAATACTCAACAAAAATACTTTTGATGTAGAGGACATGTCTGTGGATTACTTAAATACTCCTTATATTCTACTCAAATTCTCTGTTCAACTGTCAGATTACCATCATGTTATCCACTTCTACCTAAACGACCAGAAAAACAGGAAAGATAAAAAAATATATAAAGACCCTTACCAATTCTCGCCTTCTCATATCCATCAGGGTTCATACTGGGTAGAAGGTGGATCCTGGTAGTATTAAGCATCTTCTGTATCCTCTGGTTGCCGCTCACGTACTCCTGGCACAGGTATTTGGCTAGGAGCAGGAGGAGCTCCTTGCCTATCACCTCGTTGCCGTGCATGTTCGCTACGTATTTGAATTCGGGCTTGCCTGGAATGTGAAAGATGGGAAATTGATATGGTTATCTGCAGAAGATGAAGATGAATGTGTAGGATTATTTTTTTGGATAATAACATAACATAACATCACGCTTTTTTCACCCCGAAGGAGTAGGCAGAGATGTACATTTCGGCACTTAATGCCAATGTAACACCCACTTTTAACTATTTATGTTATGAGTCCCATGTAATAGGGGGTGAGCCTATTGCCATATACCGGGCACATTTCCAGACTCCGTGCTACTACTGAGGTTTTTAAAAACCCAGTAATACTTTGCCCGACCCGGGAATCGAACCCGAGACCCTTTACCCGGTAATCGCAATTGCGACCACTTGGCCAACGAGGCAGTCTTTTTTGGATAATGTGGTACATACAAAACAGAGACTTCTCTGAAAAAGTACTTCTAGACCATGGACATGGACTTCGAAGACATAATAGTAAGTTCAACTCACCCGGCTTATGCATTCCAGGGTCTTGAGTAACTTCAAGCACATACAACTCCCTGCCCTCCACAGACTTGCCGATGCTGCTCAGCTTGGTGATGCGAGGGTACTGATCATTCAGTTTCTTGAGGAAGCTCTCCATCTTCACATAATCGTGGTGAGTGAAGTCTACGGGGGAAATACCGTCCAGTTCGTGACGCGGCCACCTTGTATGAACTGGAGATTTGCCCGTGTTACTTATAAAACTTGGTTTTCCTGACGCCATCTTTGTTTTGTGTGTGTGTGTGTGTGTGTGTGCTTGCCATTCATTTGTATGTATGGGTTATGTTTGAGAGAAAAATGTGTTGGATGTTTTTCGTGTGTGTGCTTACCGTTTGTTGTTTGGCTTGGGTTATGAAGAATAATTTGTAGATTCCATTGCAAACAATGTGTTCTTTTGTAAATAAAATATTTTTGTCAGTATCTTTATTAATTCCAAAATGTGTTAAGATTATTCGTATTTTAGAAGAAAAGAAACTTCAATTTGAAACTCACACCAAACACAAAGTGTTGTAGGACACAAATTCATGCATTTAGTGTCTCCTATGACATTTTAGATAACTTAGTAGGTAAGTACTAATTCGTGTTTTTCTACAAGGAATCTGGGATACAATGTGAAAGGTGCTATAAGTGCTACAAAAGCGTTTAGAAAGGGTACGGGCAAATCAGCAGGGCATAACAGGGGTGGAAAGTCTCAACAACAATTATGACAGAAATCGATAAATTTCAACTTTATTACAGGAGGTGTAAGGTTGAAATTCCACTTTCATTTTCGTTATGATTTAGTCAGAAATTGTCGTAATTATTGTCGAGACTACCAGCCTAGGACATTCAACCCAACCACCACTATACAATAATTAAAAAAAAAAACAAAACAAAAAGGGAAAATACAAAAAAAATAAGGATGAAATTGTCAGGAAAATAAAATAGGGAAAGAAAAGACAAAGCCTATAAGTTTAAAGCCTTTAAGTTAAGAAGTTAGATTCATTTATGAACATTTGATTATTTTCCTTATTAGACTAGATATATATTTAACTACATATTTATAAAAAAGAAAAAAAAAACCGAAAAATAACTTTTTTTATGCAATATGAGGCAAAAGAGCAGACGGATCGCCTCTGATTGTAATCGCAACACCAGAGTCGCAGGTGCGTCGCCGGCCTTTGAAAAAGAAATACTACATAATACATAATATTTAAACGTACTTATGTTATAACTGATCTGCAATCTCTAACTAGCCGGGAATAACAACCCAAATAATTGTAATGAGGGCCTAATGGTGCTCACTTGATGGCGCAAATATAGAAAGAGCAATTTTTGTCCAATTACGGCAGTTGTCAAATGTTGAACGTCCAATGGTGTGCCACTGGCCAATTCCCTATTGGACGAAGAACAAGACTATTATTAGCGCCATCTAGTGAGCAGAAATTCGGTGGACCCCATTGCCTATTGCTATATATCAGACTCTTCTAGGGCTACTAAAACTATACCTACTGGTTTACTAGAGAGAATACTTGTGCGGCTTTGAACAATATTTTAATGCATGAAGTTTAATAATTCATTTTTAAAATACGTTTAAAAAAATCGACTTCGTCCCTCACTGCTTTGGAAGTCGGTTAATTAATATACTAAAACCTTCTCTAAGTGTATCAAACATTTTTCTGAACACTTTATCAAAATCGGCTCAATCAATCGCGAGATGCTCGCGCAAAAACATACTTACATACAGAAGCCTTAGTACGAGTTTGTTTTACGTTTAAAGTAATCGTAACTAGTACGCGTTCGGCACTCTGATTGGCCGGCGCCAATGAACCAACCAATCAGAGCGCCGAACGCGTACTCGTTACGATTACTTAAACATAAAACATACTCGTACTAAGGGGATGGACGCCTCGGTCACAGATAGTAGTGCACTTCGGTAAGGGCTGACCCGTCAGAGTATAATTAATGGTAAGGACAGCACGCTTTCTATAGTAAGTCACTACTGGACACTTAGACGGGTTGAGTTCTAGTTTATTTAGTCGACAATATTTTTCAAGCCGATGTAAATTCGTCTGGAGTGCCAATCCATTGTCAGGTGTCGAGATAGTAGCCGACGGTTGCATGTCATCAGCAAAAAATAAAAGTCAAGACAAACAAAGATCCTCGTTTTGTGAAGTCGGTTAAGAACTAAATAATGTTCACTAAATGAATCTAACTACAATGAAGGATTCAATTAAAACAAAGCATTCGATACTTTATACCTGTCACGTTTATTGCTCAATACAACAACTTATTTATACTTACTGTAAACCTTAATTAATTGTCAACTAAGTTCATTATAGAATGACATGTTTTCAAAATTCAGCTGCAAGGGAAATTATAGTGTAGAGCTTTAAGATAAAGTTCTTAATAGTAAAGCAAGTTATTGACATTTTGGGTTAAATTATAAATGTACGTATTTTGTTAGTTACAAATTTGATACACCGTTATTTAATATTTTAATGTGTAATATATCTATTTATAGTTATTTCTTGATAGGTTTCCTATTTGTTTCAACATAACGTAATAGTATTTGACACATTGTAATCTAGAAGAAATATGAGGTCCAAATATACAATGTAACACGCCCCCTTTTTCAACAGTTATGTTATGAGTCTCTTATAATAGGGGGTGAGCCTTTTGCCATATCTTTTTAACAATTAATTTAGATAATATCGTAAAATTGGACTAGGTAAAATCTCCTTATTGACACAACGTCAAAATAATTTAAAATATCACAATAAAATTTTTAATAAATTAATCACAATCACTGAGATCCCTTTCTGAGATACTTTTATAAATATAGTTTTTTTTTAATTGGCACTGTTACATAATTTAAGCAGCCTTAAATATTAATTTACGTAAATATCTTAATGTAGATAATAAATTTATAAAACAAGTCTTTGAAAATCATCTAAAAATTAATATTGAGACCAAAATTTTATGAGGATCGATTTAAATAATACTTTTTTGTCACAATTTTTAAATAAAGAAAAATTCTGAGCAATAAAATTTCGAACTTATCACATACAGAATAAAGTTGTTATTCCCTTAACCATATAAAAATTGAAATAAATATATAAAAATTAATTCAAAAAATCGTACATGATTGAGTACTTACTCACTGAGGGGGTCAAAAGACCGTTTTTAATCTAAAATTGGGCCATTTCGCTTAAAAACCTATGTCAGTTAAATTAATTCTAATTTCAACCTTATTGCTTTGTTCTTAAGACTACGTTTAGGTTAGTATTACAACACACAAACTAAGTATTAGTGGAATGAATTGGGAACCAATGATTACAGAACACAATATAATATCGATGTTTGACTAAATATTTTTATCACACCAAACGGGACTTTAAAATCATAGCATCGAAGTATAATATGCAATATCAGATCACAATTAGGATGAAACACTATTTTATCATGCAATATTGAACTTTAAATTCATAGTGTTAAAGTATACGATCCAATAGTAAGAAATATTTAGTTAAAACATCGTCAATTAGTCACAAAACCAACACACATGTGAAATCACTAATATTATTTACACTACACCACAGATTATACCAAGAATGAAGTGCTATACCACAGATTATAAAACAATGAAGTTATTATACAACCAAAGAGTATGTTCATGAATACAATTATGATATTATAGCCAATCACAGTCGACATTTGAACTTTAAATAATGTCATTCTTTTTATATCCCAAAAGGCGAAGAGGTAGAGGTTTTCCCTTAATGAATATGCCTGTCATGTTTTACTAGTTTTTAAATCCCATGTATAAGGATTGCTTCTATTACCAAACTCTAGACTAATACTGTGACCTTTCTATTTTTATGCCAGCTGTGATAAATATAATGGAAAATGAATATAAGAATGAAACTTTAAGGATTTTGAGGTATTAGAACATTTAGATAGTCATGTTTGTTCGGATTCTAATGATCCAATAATGTTATAAGTAAAGAGGTTATAAATAGATAGGTAAATTAACCAATATTCGATCTGCAAAATGACAAACGAATACACACATGAATAAATTGACAGCGCAACGCAATTCTGAGGTAAATTCACACTTTAATGTGCTACTTTCTGAGTTATAACCTGTCTACCTTCTTACGCAAAAAATCATTGCTAATGATCAATGTATGAATGGCTAAATTTTTCACTCCCAAAGTGATTAGAAATTATTGTCGGTGTATGTACAGTGGGACTTACAATAATGCTTTGTTCGTACTATGATAGTATTTTAGTCGAGCAGCGAGTGTTTAGTATATATCTCTCGCTTCTGTCCCAAAATCGAACCGAGAGATAGTTACTAAAAGTATTTAGTACTTAACTAAAATACTAGCATAGTGCGAACAACGCATAAGATGTAGTGGTAGGCTAGTTGACTATTATTTTAATAAAAAATTAAGTTATCTTTTTACAGACAATTCTTTCTACATTATTTTATAAGGTTGGTTACTAGATGTAAAGTACAATCTTATATATATAAAAGAAAGTCTTGTTAGTTACACTATTTATAACTCAAGAACGCCTCAATCGATTTAGATGAAAATTGGTAGGGAGGTACCGTAGAACAAGGAAACGGACATAGGATACTTTTTAAACAATACTTTTTTTTTACTTTTTACCGAAAATCACGAAAGGGAACGGGGGAAAATGGGATTGCGCGTAGGAAGTCGCGGGCAGAATCTAGTTTTGATCTAAAATTATAGTCAACTACACTGTGGCATGTATAGGAAAATTGGGTTTTAGATTTTAAACTGTCAAACACCGCGAGGACACCGGTGTCCGCACACTTATTGTTCTTTAATCGTGTCTATAATGACAGTACTCAAAGGGTTAAGTACCTACAAACCCATGATTTATTTCAAAATATTTTTTAATTCAGGAATTGGTTCAAAATATTTAGAAGTATACCAATCTTACATTAATAGTTTAAATCTAAGGTTCATTAGTTTACAGCTTAACCTTTTTTTTGTCAGGCAAAGTTGCAGCTTAACCGACTATATATTAGGTCTTTACCTATGAAATTGCTGTTCTGCAAAAATGGCCATTTCAAATCAAAATAATTCTTACTGCCTTTAATTTCATATGTCAAATTATCCATCAATTAACTCTAACAGAAACTTAATCAGGCGTCTGACGAAATATCTTTAGCCACAAGCCATATTGAACTTTTAGTTTGATATAACCCGATTTTCCTATAACTAATATTAATTGTTAGTTAGAATAATGACAGTTGAACATAGATCGTTAACACAGGCAGCATGCAATTTGACGGGCACACAAAAGTATTATACGTCTTTTTTGATAACATGAGCAAGAATACATAGGCAACAGCTACATAGGTATTATTATAAGCACGAGGCATTGTTAGAAAGAGACAACATTACATAGAATTGACGTCACACTACATAATATCTTCTATTTCTTTTGTGCGATAAGGACGGAGTATAATTTTGAACGATTTCATCATATCTTAGTAAATCAATAATTTACATATCCATTTGTACTAAACAACTCTTTTCATATAAATAGTATTTAATAATATATGTATTTGTTATGTATCTATGTGTCAGATAACAATTTTTTATTGCTATAATTTGGTTTCTGCACAAAAAAGTTTTCCTTACATTTCTATAACATAAAACTATGATTTTTATTCACTAAAGAGATAAGTTAGATCTAAAACTCTTTGCTTAGCAGTTGTCTTATTTGATTTTACCTTAACATTCTTTGCGCAATAAAAAAAGTTTGCGCATCTAAGATTATTATTGCGCAAACATTTTTTTATACAAAATTTGGCCTAACACTGCTTATATTGTCCAGACATGAGTTTATAACATGTAGGCCGTTACGCACTGCACACAAATTTAGCGCAAGTATTATACTAATGCGCAAACATTGAACATTAACAGCAATCTACTGTAGATCTACAATCGTTAACGCTATAGAAAACAAAACAAAAATATGTAAATTTACTCTTTATGCGAGTGTCAACCGACTAAGTAATTACAAATTTGACAGACTAGACTAGATAGCAACGGTTTCTGATAAACCTGAACTTTTAAACTACAATCTCCAATCCGCTAGCCAAGCGTGGAGATTATAGCAATCCCTCTTTTATAGAGGAGGGCTATAGTCCAGGAGTCCTCAAGGGTTTTTGATGCCGGTATGGGACCCAAATACATTTTTTTCAACATAGCAGTAACGATTATAGCTTCGTGATTTCTTAACCAAATTTATTTAAACATGGCCGTCAAATTGCATTCTACCTTCACCATAATTTTCAAGCTTCAACAAGAGCTACAAGCAACAGATTGACGACCAACACCGAGAAGTGAGCGAATGTTGTTACTGCGGCGTTGTCATGGTAACGGAGCTGCGACTTACCCGCCATCAGAGAGCGAGGGCGCCGGTGGACTGTCATGTTCAGGGAGATCGGAGACGACTGGTCGTCCGGGATGGTTATTGTTGTGTATGGAGGTATTGAGTAGCTAAAAACAATAAAAAAATACATTGATACGGTTTACAAAAGATAGGTTAGTATTCAGGTTAGCTCGATTATTTTCGAATCACACCAGGCTCTTAATCTAACTTAATTTAATCCGACCGTGTGTAATGTGATCTCATGGCAAGAATTTTATCTACATACATATGTGATCTGCAGCTGTAGCCAAATGCCATTTAGCGCTTGTCTACATATAGTGTCATCCCCATACATTTAGATTTCTACTCTCTCCGTAGACAAGTATTAAAGTGGCGTTTGGTTAAAGACAGTGCCTTTAGTTAGTTTTATGTCTGCCACAGTCACACATAAAACTCAAAAATTATATTATCTTTCAGTATATTTGTCCTTCAAGGGGTGGACTAAGGTATTGTATGGGTAAGTAACTCACCCAGAGGCAACAGCAGTGATGTTGTATTGTCCAGGTAGCAACATGCGCCAGTAGTAGCCATGCTCTGTAGTGCGGACTGTATGCTCGTTGCCCTCTATTTTGATTTGGGCGTTCTGAAAATATAGATAAATATAGATATAGATACAACGTTTTAAGTCACATTTCACTATTTAAAAATGTACACCAGTATTGTACTCTCTTCTATATAGTATTGTATTGTCTCCTGCATCATAGGTGCGTTTAGAAACACAAATTGATTACAAAAACATATGAAGTCCAAGCTCAGGTCAACTCAAAATTCCTGGATCATACAAGGAATGTTGAGTCCACGCCTGTACAAAAGACTGTCACCTAGGCGCCCAACGTGTAGACAAATCTTGACTGCACGGTTGGCGCGTAGGTTGGGCAAATGACTGCCGCGCACCATGTCGCGGGTTCAATTCCTCCACGGAACAACTCTTTGTGTGATCCACAGATTGTTGTTCCGGATCTGGGTGTCATGTGTATGTAAACTTGTATGTTTGTAAACGCACCCACGACACCGGAGAAAATCCAAGTGTGGGGCAATGTGTTTATAAAAAAAAAACAAGGAATTGTTTCTATTTTTTGGATATGGAAGCAAACGGACAGACTGATCACCCGATGGTCACAAACGTATGATAACGAGTACACGTTCGACGCTCTGATTGGCCAGCTCCAATGAACCAACCAATCAGAGCGCGGAATGCGATGTCGTTTCGATTACTTTTAACGCAAAACAAACTCGTACTAAGGCCTTTAATCAACACGTATAAATATTTATAAGACAATGAATAAAGTCTACCTTAGAACAATAAGGCTAAGAACTACTTTACCTTGACCGGTTCTCCGGCTTCATCCACGACAATTCATGTGATACCTAAATGGGTTTGTTCTATGAAGGACAGTAAAGTCTTTATTCAGCTCCCAGTATTCGGGCATTTCGGAAGCTGGTGGGTATTTGCAGCAGAACAACTTGAAAATCGACCAAATGTAATAGACAATAAGAGCCAATTTACCTTGACCGGTTCTCCGGCTTCATCCACGACAATTCCGGTGACTCCTAAATTGGCTTGTTCTATGAAGGACAGTAAAGAGTCTTTGTTCAGCTCCCAGTACTTGGGCATTTCGGAAGCTGGCGGGTATTTGCAGCAGGACAGCTCGAAGGTCACTTCAAAGCAGTTTGAATGCACATAGTTGAAGTCTTGCATGCCACCTGTAAATTATTTTGCGTATTAATTGCGTGTTTGACCTGGATTTTATAGTCGTACTGCGTTTTTTGTATGTTAAGATTTTGGTCTTTTCTTGAGTTGATCTCTGTCTTTGTTTGGCTAGAACATGAGAGTTTATGGGATGAATTGCTTAAATTAAATTTTTAATCCAATGAAAGTCCAGGAGTGAAAAATTGTGTGAGAAGCTCTTAATGATTTCTCAAATAATATGTAAGAATATTTTGCCAAAAATATACCTAATAGTTCAGTTCGAGAGAAATCTGAACTCTGAAAGTCGCCCAGCTCGCACTGTTTTTCAAAATATAATATAATTTTACAAACCATCAAATATACTAATAACATAAATTATGACTGCCTCGTTGGCCAAGTAGTCGCAAGTGCGACTGCCGGGCAAAGGGTCTCGGGTTCGATTCACGGGTTGGGCAAAGTATTACTGGGTTTCCAAAAAATCTTAGCAGTATCACGGAGTCTTGTAATGTGCCCGGTATATGGCAATAGGCTCACCCTCTATTACATGGGCCTCATAACATAAATAGTGAAAAGTTGGTGTTACTTCTGTGTGTACCTCTGCCTACCCCTTCGGGGATAAAAGGTGTGATGTTATGTTATCAATTATAACGGTTGTATTGTATTAATTGATGGTACTACTAACCTTGTACAGAATACCAGTGCGCTCCATTAGTGAGTCCTCCATCGAAGTGCTCAGGAGGACACGTGTCCCCCGCCCTCATCTCTGCGTTACGGGACGCGTATACATTAGCCAGGTGCTTGAATAGAGTGTCGTCGGGGGAACGACTTTCTTCGCAGCATTCTTTGCCCGTACTGAAATATTACGTAAAAAGATTAAGTTTATGTTAATGTATTTTATACCTTAATTCTCTTTCAATTATATTTATATAGGCTGCAGATGAGATGGGTGTTCATTTTTAGTGTTTTAAAAGTCCTTTCAGTTTCAAAAAGTAAGCGTGCTGTTGCATAGGACAACACAACATACAAACGACAGCTTCGAAACTTCGAACAGTTGAAAGAACAGGAATTTGATAATAGATTTGAACAATAAAGTTGTTTTACGTCTACTGGGATGTAATAGGTGAATACTAGATGATGAAACAATGGTATGATTACCATTTTTTTAAATTTAATTAGACATCAGTCTTATTAGACGAAAATTTCATCGTTGGGGAAAGTAAAAGCTACTAAAGATTAGTAAAACTCACAAACCTGGAGTCATCATAAGGGTAACTAGCTACAACAGCGCCACCATGCAGGTTCCCTGACAACACAAACTGCTTGCCGGTAACCCATCGCATTAACGCCACGGTCTCCGGTTGCCGACCACCGAACATGTACTCCTCATCATTGGATTTGTGCTTGTCAAACTGGTCGGGAAAGTCTCTGTTTAGGTCCACACCTTTAGCGTTATTCCGGCCTTTATATTCTTTTAGGGATTCGCAGTTACTCTCCTGTGAATGAAGGAAATAAGGTCTTTACTGTTGGCAAATCAGTGGTTACATAGGGGTTTCTGCCGGGGTCGTGGGTAGGTTGAAAATAGGTACCGTAGCTACTGCTTGTTGCAAGAATTGGAACGGGGTGGTTTTTATCTAAAACTCCCTCCCGTCTTACGTAGGGTGCCAGGCGAAGGTCATTTCATGATTTTGCATTCTTACAAGAAAAAGTTACATAGAAACTGCAAACTAATCGTATTGTTTAAAATAGACATCCTATGAGAATGTTTCTGTTCGATTAGTAGCAATAAGGTCACATAGTATTCGTTTTACTAACATAATAAACGCAATAGGAGTGTGAGAGCACACTCCTATTAAACGAATGTTTACTAACATTAGTTAACTATTTTCATATATTTTATCACAATGTTATCTAATAACATAGTGATTCAAACAGTAGTGTACACTAGTCAAACTAGTGTGGGAGCACCCTTAGGCCCTTTTCACACACTTCGGTTATCCGGTGGCAAACATAATAAATGACAGGAAACGGTGCAGAAACGAACATGTATATATATATAAGCTTCGCCCCCCCGTATCCAATACTAGCCATTCAGAAATCGAAGCGAGTGAACTGGCTGTCACATTGACTTTAGCGAAATATCACCAGTGTTATTAAAAAAATGAACCTAATTAGTTATATTTAATCTGTGGATGTGAACGCTTTGTGCTCCTACATTGTCAATTGCACAATGTTTATACAGTAAAATCAATATTTCCTTTTGTAGTCATAGACTTAGGTAGTTACTTTTCTTTATTGCAGTAAGAAACGTCATAATTCTCGTTGAATAGTTATTGTTGCGTTAAAAACATTTTCAGAAACACAGATATAGAGCCTAAAGGATCCTAATGGAAGTGGTTGACAGACCTATTGGTGCCATAAAAATAATGTACAATATAGTTAATATTGCAAAAAAAATTGTCATGCGGTATTCACTATTACCAAGATAGCTTAATTTCTTAGCTTAATAAACTTATAGCCTAATGCGAATGTTTGTATGTTTGTTACTCGTTCACGGCTGAAGCGATCGGGATGAAATTTAGTACAGGGATAGATTATAGTCTGGAATAGACCATAGGCTACTTATTATTACTACTATAGGGCATAGGCTACGTTCTATCTCACTAGAACGCGAGGGAAGCCGTAGGCAGAAGCTAATTAAACTGTCAAACACCAAGCGGTCACCGGTGACCCCAACCTATTGTTCTTTAATTGTGTCTATAAATACGGTACTCGACGAGTTAAATCTGATTTAGCTACAAAAAAAAAACAGAATTAGGTACAGATGTCCTAGAAATCGATATTAGTTATTTCATTATTTTCCTGTTAAAACCGTTGATTATATGTGTAAACTGTTGTGTTTTCAGCACTGAATCGAATGAAATACTTTACATACAGAATTATCGTGATCGCTGGCAATAAGTTAGTCACGGAATCACAGAGGTACGAATAATGTTCACGTGGCACCCACAAACTTGCCAGTTTATGTAGGAATTGTATTAAAACTAGGTACAGTTGAAACTAAAATTGATATTTTATTGCTTGAATTGTATAACCAACATTGGCTCACGTTGGCACAGATTATAACTGGCAGGCCACCATCTAATGTTATTTTTTAAATATATTTTTCGTCATTTTCTGGCAAGAATTTCTCGAGACTAAGTTATCCAATGTAGCACAATCGTCTTCGAGTTTTAAACCTAATGTTCTTAGTTGTAAGGATCATTATCGACTATTTCACGAGTTTAGACTTAATTTTCGAACTTGGAAAATTCAGTTAGTGCACTGCACATGGCAATTATAATTTTTTTTTAAAGTACATCAGTGACGTCCCATTTACTGATATTAACCTACATACCATTCAATTGACTGCGACTACAAAATCAAGACGTCAATATCGACCTCGATGGTCCGTAAAACATAGTCAGAACAATGAATGTTCGAAAATGGAGAATATTATTGTGACTTAATTAAATGGTTCCAGAATGTCCGACCACATAAATTGGTCCTATGATGAATCTAAAGATTAGAATGTATTTCTATAATTACATATTTTTAGTAGAAAGTTTGATGAATTTAGAAGCAGCAGGTTTCTTGTTTGATAGGAGCATTTGCAAATAGTTTCGCACGCTAGGTTCTACGGAGCCGCGGAAGACTTGACGGGTTGCCGGGGCTCCGGCTCGAAGTGCAGGAGTGTTGACAACTATCCGGACAGTTCTAAAGAGGTCTTAAAATTATAGATCCACAGCCAACCAGAGCTACAAATAACATGATTGTACAATCGTCATAAAAGTTTAAGTCTTCACGTCAAGACTTTGCATAATCTGTTGACAAAATCGTGGAATTTTATGAATTTGACCTATGAGTCATTAAGCATTTCTGGTTGCTTAATGACTAATTATTAAAAATTTAGATGTTGATGATAATAGAACTTCTCAAAATGCATTTATACACAAATAGTTGGTGCAAAGTACTTGATCAAAGATACGAATGTATCACCTTACATACATATATGTATTATAAATAGTTAGTTAGTTACTTACAGAGGCAAGCGTGTCACTTATTACAGTTGATGAAATAAGGAAGAAGTTATGAAAACGCTATTGACGTAGGTAGCATTTGAAACTGTAGCATCTCAACTGCATTGAGTTTATGATTCATTTTAGACGCTATTTCTGGAGTCTGTTACGATGTTTGTTACTGCAGTACTCAGTTAGGAAATCATTAAAAGATGGATGGATGGACCTCTTGTACATAAGAGAGGTATTTTTTTTAAGGGGGAAAAATCATCGAATGACTGCTCCCGCCTGGGTGAGGCGGGAGCAGTCATTGCGGGTCAGTCATTGGGCGGGCTCACCCTCTAGTACACAGGACTCATAGCATAAATAGTGGGTGTTACATTGTACAGTGGCATAATGTACACCTCTGCCTACCCCTTCGGGGATAAATGTTATGCTATGCTTTTGAACACAGGTCATTTCGAAGGTCAATTTTCTACATGACTCTACACGACTACATGACCATTTGCACATACATAAGTGGGCATGAATACAAATTGAAGAGGCCAGTTATCATTATGAACACATCACGTGACATTTCTACATAGTCACAACTCCACAAAGAATCAATATGACTAATTAAAGATATAAACACAATTAACTGATTCTCATCGCGTTCAATAACAGCTTCTATTGCAGAAGCGTTTAAGGTTTGATTTAGTTTTTCTTACTAGGTGGAAAGTTTCAGTGTTTATGTACTTGTATATTGCAGTTTATTTATCAGTTCAGGTCAATGACCTATTAGGCGTGCAGTTGCAATAATAATTCCCTTGAACCTATGCGCATTGATGAGATAAAACACTTCATAACTGTGTAGGGTAGGTAAATGTGTCGCGGAGAACCTAACGGGTTACCGGGGCTCCGGCTCGACGTGCAGGCGAAGGAACGGGGTGGTTTTTAGTCAGTAAGAGTCTGACACTCCCTCCCATTTGATGATTTTCCCCCCTTAAAAAAGAAAAGGGTAGGTAAATGTAATAATTGATATTATAAATTTCGTGAGACATACTAAATTAATTATTTTGTTTTTCAGCATACTCACGTAATTATTTGACGAGTGACCTTTCAACGTCAACTCGTGAGTACTCACTCACTAGCAATGCGACAACCGCCTTGTCCTCTGTGTCGCGGAATGGTGCTCATGAATATGAGCCTCTAGCATGGCTTGAAACTAGTCTAGTTCCTCGTCAAATAATTTGGGAGTCAGCCGAAAAAATTAAAACGTAATAATATTTAGATATTTACATAACATAACATCACGCCTTTTTGCCCAAAGGGGTAGGCAGAGGTGTACATTATGCCACTGTACAATGTAACACCTACTTTTCACTATTTATGTTATGAGTCCCATGTAATAGTGGGTGAGCCTATTGCCATATACCGGGCACAATTTCAGACTCCGTGCTACTACTGTTAATTTTTTTTGTAAAACCCAGGAATGTTTTGCCCGACCCGGGAATCGAACCCAAGACCCCTTGCCCGGCAGTCGCACATGCGACCACTCGGCCAATGAGGCAGTTAAATATTTACGTTATAAGTTATATAATACTTCAACTAATAAGCAGTCTATTACTCGCGAATTTATAAGCTTTAAATGCAAATAATTTGCAATATGTATGAGCATTTGTTCATAATGTCATCGATATCTGAAGCGATCAGCATTGGGAATTTCGACTAGTTTAATTTTTTTGTAATAGCATTTGGATCTGGAACTATATTTAGTATCTGCTATTGTCAAAGTTATCACTTATTTTATGAAGAGAATACATAAGCATTCAAATCCGGCAAGGCAGATGTTTATTTCATTTCATTTTAAATTTAGCCTAATCTGTTTAATTAATGAAGTCGATTAAAAAAATGTAAGTTTTTGTTTTGATAACGGGGGAAACCTTCAAAAGGCGCCTAGCCTTTTTGGGGATAAAAGACTAGGGAGTGTGGGATTTTTACCTCACTAAAACCACCCCGGTGGCCACCCTCAACACCTGAATGGAGGCACCGGGTCCTCTAAAAGAGACCTGCTCCGGCTCCACGGTGCAACGCTTGTTACGACACATCCCTAGGATGTAAGTAGGTACCTATCACGATTTGTTTAAAACCCACATGAACAAAGCTTCATAGAACCTTTTAGTCTATGAGAGTGTATGCTGAATAGGTAACACATGGTCTACCACAGACGTCATACAGATTATGAGATAAACAATAAAATATTGTTTGAAAACAAAGGTTGAACAATAGCATAGATCCAGTATGGATACGTAATTACGTACCACGTGTTGGATTCATTAGAATCATTAGTCTGCTCGTTATAGTAATTTTACACATTAGCTCTTAGTACTATCTGGTTTTATAATAGTATTTTGATATTCGTAAGTACAAATGCTACCGGTATACTAAATAGAGCATATGAACCAACTCTGAGCACAATATGCACTTATTTCAAAACCATTGAGCCAGAACCAACCGAAAATCTAGATATCTTACTTTTTACTAACTTACTAATATTATAAATGCATTTTTGTGTAGATATGTTTGTTACTTAATCACGTCAAACGGTTGAATGGGACGTGGATCGGGTTGAAATTGTGAACAGGGATAGATTATTCAGTAACACATTATTCACAGTAACACATTATTCAGACAGAAGCTAAAGATATATAAGTTCAGTAGACACCAGAAGGTGAAGTGCGTGTAACATCTTATATTATACTAATAAATAAAGCGGAAGAGTTTGTTTTTTTGTTTGTTTGTTTGTTTGTTTGTACGCGCTAATCTCCGTAACTACAAGTCTGATTTGAATAATTCTTTTTGTGTTGGATAGCGCATTTATCGAGGATAGCTATAGGCTATAAAACATCACGCTACGACCAATAGGAGCTGAAAAGAGCGTGTGAAACCGCGCGGAAGTAGCTACTTTAATATATGCACCGCTACTTAACCGTTCGGGGAATAAAAAACGTGATATTAGGTTATATATATAAACAACTAACCAGACTCAAAAAAAGTAAACCAAACTGTAGACAATATTTTACAGTTAAAGTAGCAACGAGGTATATCACTTTTATGAAATCGTCAAGTGTGACAGTTAAGCATCTTGGCGGCTGCACTTTTAGCAATTAGACCATCCAAGCAGACCAAGCTGATAAAATACACATAAAATGAACCTTACTACTTTGGAACAAGGTTGGTCGTTTCTATCTGTAGTTTTAGATCTCTTTGTCAAGGTAAATGGTTAGAAAAAAACAGTCTTGTGATAGTAGGAAACACTGACATTACAAAAACAGTAGTAGGTCACTTTTTTATTGACTATTGTTGCTACTTGCTATATGTATTACGTACCTTAGTAACACTTTACATAATAAATAATGAACTGTTTATGAGAAAAACCAATATACCTCTAATTAATATAATTTTTATGTTAAAACAAGTAAATTGTCTATTCAAGTGAATGGTTGATGATGACACTTCATGGCTTGTCTTAGACAATTTAGGACCGGGAGTAGACGTGAGCGTTGTGTTCCACGCAAGGCCTGCTACGTGGTGGGACCTACCACATTATAGCGGTAGGCCGAGGCCTGCCGGGTGTGGTGAATCCGCAAGGGTGTCCCGGGTCACGACCACAGGCAGAAGAGGAATACCACGGTGGTTTTAGCTGGTAAGGGTCTGGCAACCCCCCACCCCCTCCTTAATCCCACGACTTGGGAAGTCCATGAGGATTTCCATCACGTTATAAAAAAAGACAATTTGGGAAATCAATTATTCAGTACAAAATAACGTAAATAACATATTTAAACAAAGTATTGAATGATTATCTAATGTTTTTTAATATCTGTAATTTCCATACTTCTATATAATTTTTTTTTATGAGATAAGCCGGTGAACGCGCCTCACCTGATGGTAAGGTATCGGCTCCGCCCATGGATACACACACCAATGGTGTTACAAGTTCGTTGCCGGCCATTTGGGGGTTAGGAATTTAAGGATTTTTGGGGATTGGGGAGATTGGGGTGGGGGGTAATTGGCCTCCGGTAACCTCACTCACGTTGTTTGATGTCGGTTTTCTCTGAGGCCGTGGTATCACTCCGGTCGAGCCGGTCTTTAGGTACTTAGGACTTCAAATACCAAATCTCAAATAATTTTGTTTGCTTAACCAGTTGGAATCACATGTTTAGTTATGTACCTAATTAAGATTACATTTAGGAGTACATCATAATATCATTAATATCTCTTTTAAACTTATAAAATGAGATAAGATTTATTATGTAGGTACATACATTGTACATTGGGGGGATATGTAAATCCCCTCTATAAAGATTATGTAAAATGAAGGCAATACCAAGAAAACAATAATATAAGTTCTTTTTCTTAATTTAACTATGTAAAATACCTAATATTGATTTATTAAGCACTGTCAAAAAAGAAGGTTTTCAGGCTCATACTGGTGAGCTGTATGTTTGTGCGGCATTATCTCGTGATTAGCCGAACCGATTTTGATATGGTGTTCAGAAAAGTGTTTGTTACGCTAAGGGAAAGGTTTTAGTACATTAATTAACCGAATTTATAAAAAGAGGGGCTTCAGTAAGTACATACATAGTATAAAACAAAGTCGCTGTCCGCCGTCTATCTGCCCCTATGTATGCTTAGATCTTTAAAACTACGCAACGGATGTTGATGCGGTTTTTTAATAGATAGAGTGATTCTTAAGGAAGGTTTATATAAGTAATACATGCATATAGCACCCGTGCGAAGCTGGGGCGGGTCGTTAGTAAAGTATAAAATAATTATTATTAGTACTATAAGGTAAGATCGTAAAATAGGTCCATAGGGTAGATAGTAGAAATTATTATGGGATAATAATTTTGACCGAGACAAAATACTTTGTAAAGATCAGGATCCTCAGTAACTAATGAGAATTTGCAGTGCATTCATTGGGACCGTTAGTCAGTCAGTCACAGAGTAATCAGTAACTAGAAGCTAAAACTGGTTGCAATGCAAAACCAGGTCATTAAACAAGGATATTATTAACATAATATTAGTAGCTATTTAAAATTAATTAATACTGTTCATAACAACAGATTTAGCCATCAATTCGCATTTAATTTATTTGAATCTGGTTAAAATTATAATAATTTTTATACCATTTCAAAAAAAGAATTCGTCTTGTATATATGTATGTGTGCAATTATCTCACGATTGGCTGAGCTGATTTTGATGTGGTTTCAGAAAAGTGTCTGTTACACTTAGGAGAAAGTTTTAGTATATGAATTAATCAACTTCAAACACCCCGGTTTGAAGTCAGTTTTTTCAAATGTCAATAAGCAATAAATATTGACTGTAGATTGAAAATTCCTAATGTAGCTGGTGAGCTACATTAGGAATTTTAAACACCATAATATGTACTTATAAACACCACTTCCGGTGGGGAGTGGTGTTTATAAGTACATATTATGTAAAAGTACAGAAGAAACATATTTACCATGTTTTATTTGCAATAAATATTTATTGCTATTTCATTCAGTTAATTAATTGTCACAATTATTACTTTTGTAGTCAAGAAAAGAGAAATTCAGTTTATATTTTTATTTATGTTAACGGTAACAAAGTAGCCATATAATAATAACAGTTGTTAATCTCATTGAGTTGTAACTTGATATTCTTTGACTTATTGGAAAAATTAATACTTATATACAAAAGCAGACCAGTTTGTTTGTTTTGTTTGAATGAGCTAATATCCAAAAGTAATAGTTTGAATTTAATCATTATTTTTGTTTCGCGTAGTCCTTTTATTAAGGAAGGCTATTATATCATTAGAAGCAATAAGCGCCAAGCAGTGAGTGAAATGCTAAGATTAGTGGTAATTTTTTTTATTATATAATAGTGATAATATATTTGATGGGCTCACGTTCGACCACTATCTCACAATAATGAGAACTCTGTTTATAAGCCTTGAAGAAGATGAAAGAAAGTAAAGAAGTAGGTAAGTGGTATTTCATTTCTACCTAAATAAACCTATGTTTAATAAACAGCTATAACAGTAATACAAAAAAAAAAACAATTACCGGTTTAGACCACTAAACAAAATTACTGTCTACTATTATTTAGTTCTGTTTTATTTAATCATGACTAAAACAGTGTTTATTTCGAAACCAACCATAGCTATAACTTATTCAATAACAAGTGATTGTAATTGACCCACATAAGCTCAAAACTATATTAACACAGTGACAAACATTACATAAGCCATCAAATAAACCTGTCGAGTTTACTTAAATACTTGTTTCTTATAAGATTGCTATTGGTAAAACCAGTACTAGTATTGTTATTACTAAGTTACTAGTAAAATGATCTTACCTCACTGCTTTCAAAGCCATCAGGGTTCAGGGACGGCATCAAGTGTATGTCAGTCGTGTTCAGGAGCTTTGTAACTCTCTCATCCTTCCCATAGTTAGCCAGCAGGTACTGCGCCAGGTACACCATCAACTGTCTCCCCACGGACTCGTCTCCATGCATATTAGCCACGTATTTAAACGACGGCCGCTCATAATGCGGCGTTTTCACATCCTCGCTTATTTGCAGAACCAACAGTTGCCGTCCTTGGACTGACTTCCCAATAGAATATGATTTGATCAGATCCGGGTAAGTCGATTCTAATTCACTAGTCAACTTCAACAAATCATCGTATCTCGTGTACTTAGGGTGCAAGAGGAAATGTTCGTCGATTTCCTCCACAGACCGAGGCGCACAGTTATCAATAAAAAGTGCAAATAACACAAATAAACACGTGTGAACTAGCAACATGTTTGCTCCTTTATAAAGAGCTTCTCATGAGCGCGAGGGTATTTACCGTTTACAGCCAATGCAGGAACGTAAACACTATTTTATCGCCGTAAACATGATCAGTGACACAACGTTTAATGTAAATTAATTACAAAAAAATGATAAGAAGAGTAACAATAGGTATTTGTATGCTTTGACAGCTGACGCATTTCACACTCCGTTTTGTGCAGTGAATGACGAACTCTGCAAAATTATGTTGCCAAACTCACATTCCCATTTTACCCACATTTACCTCCGAATTAATGTGCAGGCAATGCAGATGTAGGTCATTCACGAAACATTATTCAAATCAACTTTTCTGTTAATATGGAAAAAAATACTAAATTCAGAATACATTATAATATTCGTGAAACTATACTTGAAGTATAAAAATATATTAGTTTAGTGAGATGAGCAATTCTACTAAGGGCCTATACACACCACACTTCCCTTTCCCTCGTCGTGGGAGAAATCCCGTCTGTAGGGAAGGCACACACGCTAGACGCACCGGTGCCGCGCGTCTGTATCGACACAAACGCGCGGCACTGGTGCGTCTAGTGTGTGCGCCTACGTGTGTCGATACAAACGACAACAAACTGCTCTGCAGAATAAAAACGCGCTAGCGACGCGCGTTTAAAAAACATGGTGTGCATAGGCCCTTAAGGATATTAGAGTTCTTTAAATTAATATCCCTTTGATTGAACACCGAATAAAATAACTTGAAAACGGTAAACCATAATATGGTGAAATAGAGTACCTCATAGAAAGGAATATAGTATAGGCTGGTATCATTTTATCCAACCTGTCACTTGACGTGTCAACCGATACGTTTCGTTCTACGCAACACATTCGCTATGCGTTTAGGTGGGTAAAATAAAGTTCTAAAAGTGTATTCCTAGATTTTTTTTTGTCTTCCGTGAAGATTTCTGCGAACAGATCGTAATTTTATAATACATTCCTTTAGCCATGCATGTAAATATTATGCAAGTCTCAAAAGTGGATGGTTAAAGATGTTTGTTTTTTATTGGTAGAAATAAAATTTCGATTCTCAAAGGATTAGGACTAGATTTTATTCCTTTCTAAAATAACGCGTAAGGGTCGCTAAGTATGGTACTGTAATGGTCACCAAAGATAATAATCTAGTCTGGAATTTCTATGAAATAAGTAGAATATAGTTTTTTTCTATTGCATGAGAATTTCGAAACAGATGTTGTTTTTTCTCGGCCCCCACCTAGCAAGCGTGCCTAGGCCACAATAAAGTAGTTCCAACCAAATCAGTATAATAAAAAAGGATAAGGAAAATAAAAATAAAAAGCCAATTTAAAAAATAATGCAGTTTATTATTTCTTTCTTTTTCAGTTAAATCTAAATCATACAACAAATGATTTGTGCAATAAAACAGTAGTTTTATCTAGAATAACATAGGAACTTATTCTAACAAATTCACTTAGGCATAAACTCTGTAAAAATATAATTATTATATTTCTAATCTCAAGCTATGTAGGTACTGTACTTTGCGCGTATTTTTGGGTTATTCTGTGCTAACTTTTCGCCCGCGGTTTCTTCGGTCTCTTAAGATTTAAATACATGACAAACAAACAAACAATTTCGCATTTACAATATTACTACGTAAGCAAGTAGGGGTAGTTCCATCTCTACTATTAAATATTGACTACAAAATAGTGATTTTGTATATTAATAATCCATTTCTATTTCGAGAAGTCAGTAGGCATATTAAAGCTTTAAGTAATGGGCTGCATCAAAAGTATCTTTTTAAAAAAACATCACCGTAACTTATCATGAATGTCGTATTAAAACGGCAATTTGAAAATTTAGAACATCTATTTAAATTGTTTTTAAAACTATTATCATCATCGGAACATTTATTTGTCTATTGTGTAAAAATATAACGTTTTACTCTTAAAATAAATACAACATAAAAACTAACTTGAACACAATACAACTCTTGACTTGAAAACTATTTTACTGTCATTTATTATTTACATATTTAGTAGGATTACAGAGTTTTTATATATGTATGATAAAATAGTTAAAATCACTGGTTGTTTTTAAATCACTTGCGTTGGAAACAGCAATTTAAAAAACAAATATAAGGACTGTCGTTTTTGCGCAGTCTAGATGGCGCTACTCAAAATGACCTATATAAAGTCTCCCATCACTGTACTGTAGCTGTCAAAAGATGGCTTAAGATCAAATAGTATCGTAGAACACATTTTTTTCACTAAAGCCATTGGTAGGTAGTTGCCTTAGCCTAGAAATTTTAACTAAAAGTTGCGTATAAGTTGATCACGTATTTCAAATCAAGAGTAAATAAAATACATATTATCACGATCACACATCACTGTACATAACAAAACAAACATAAATTATACAATTTAATGGCGAAATTACAGGACATCTAGCAGCTAATAGTGTAACTCGAAGTAATTTAATTAACACTAAAACAATAAACAACACGAGACGACCAACATCAGGAAATATACAAAAAAAGTATTACTTACATTTGTGTATAAAAATATCGTATAAACTCGACAGTAAATGCATAGAAAGTAGTAATTATTTACATTTTCTTTTTCATTCATAAAATAAGGCACGTGACATTTCCTTTCACGTTTTCCCGCCAACTACAGACCACAGATTAAAAATATTTCTTTGTGCAGAGTGAGCGTGGACTGTGTACATTATTATAATGCTTATGCTGAAACCTTAACTTAAAATAGGAAATTGACTTGTCAATTTGAATAAAATATTTTATTCAAGAAAAAACTGTCTTTATTTAAAAAAATATCGCAAATTCTATCAGGCTCCTACTTTTATTTACGTTCCTTTTTATACAGAAGCCAAGATTCGAAGTCAACATGCCACACTTGTACATGCACCATTGAAATAGCTAACGATAGTTTCTTTACATAATAATACAGCAAGCATCTCTATTAATACAATTATTTACATTCCAAACATCGTTTCCATGGCAACAGGCAGGACGGCACAGCACAGCTACACAATATAGGCTATATTTAAACTAACTTCCTATTCCGCTTGAATTTATTTCTAGGTATATTGTACTAGTAAAAGCTGTGGTAAGAAGAAATATATGTATAAAAAATACATTCAAGTATTATTACTATTAATAAGGCATTGTGCGTACACGCATGCTATTAAAATACAAGTAATATTGTAATATTATATTTCTGTGTCTATGCTGTCAAACTAGAAAATTTCTAAATGTTTTCGAACGAGGTGGTACAGTAAAATCCTCAAAAAATCGTTATTAAATCTGTTTTCAAATTTTGAAAATCTTAACATTACTGTTTAATACTTTTATCTAATACAAAAATTCGTTCACAAAAATTCCGTTGTTTTGTCGTTTTCAATTTAAATTCTCAATTTCATTTACACAATCGTAGCGTCAATAACGCGTCGTTTTTGTCGAAATACTATAAATAGTAAACGCCACAAAATGGCCTTATAAACATTAATAAAATAACCTAACTTGTTCAGTATATTACGCTAAAATACATGGGGCATTTACGTTTAAATTTACAATGCCTATCTTATTTTAATTATAAGAAGAAGGCTCGAAAAATTGCAATAATCCTATGTGTCACAATAGTTCATTTTATAATACATTTTAAGACACATAAATGACAACCCTACCTCATAATTTTTTTTCATGCAGATAACATACCTTCATGCATTATAATCTCCAAAGGGGAGACGGGCATAGAATGTAACACAAATTTACAATTATGTTATGAATCCGTAAACCCTACTACGTAATAGAGTTACCTTCATATGATTTTAAAAATAGTATTTCATTTATGTATTTATGCATCTTGGAAAAAGAAAAGAGAGCATATTAAACATTTCATAATTCATAAAATAAAATTTCGACAAGGGTAAAGATAGGAAAAGAGTAATTATTAGCTTTACAAGTCTTAAGGGACTTGCCAATTCTACTGATTTGACTGATGAACTGATGAAGATTATTCTTTTAAAATTATAGGCTAATGCACCTCTATTTGTAAATTGTATAGCTCCATTTATTACGCAGTGTAATATTGTTAGGGTGTTTATAGAAAATCAATGTATACTGATTCTACTGTGACTTGACTATAGGGCCAAATCCAAAGTTGCCAGAATAAAATAGGGGCTTTCTACTCGGCTTCTTTTAACCCTAGGCATTATAAGCGTCTCAAAAGCCTAGTGTTCACTTAAAAGAGTTCTCAAAAAGAAGCCTGCGGTAAAAATCAGGTACCTAAAGATAGGTTCAGACTTAGATTATTATTTAATGACTTTTCTGGAATCTCTCAGTCCAGAAGATGTTGGCTAGGATACCAGCGGCCATTAGAGAACAGTAGATGAGAACTGCCGCCCACCAGAGCCGCTTCTCCCATTTCCTCTTTTCAAGATTACGAAGAACACCGATGCCTACTAGTAGACCTGGAAATTAAAAAAAAAGATTTTTTAACTTCAAATTTCGAATATCGCCTCGCAAATATGCAAAAAGAATAAGTAAATCATAAATTTTTTTTAACGGATTCGTAAAGGTATGCAAAAGTTATCACCACTTATGTTACTATAATAGTAAATAGGGGCAAACCTATTGCCAAAAGTCAAGGTCAAAAAGCATTATTTCAATTAAACCATAATTTGGTACTTTGAAACGTTAACAAATACAAAATAATTAATAGCCTGTCAAATCTGTCCGCCAGTGAAGATTTTTTTTAAATATATTTATGGCCAGATAGGTGCTCGTTACAAAATGGAGATTCAAACAGAGAAGAACGAGCAAGAAACTCCATTCGTTACTCTTTTCCATACACCGGGCTTAAATTCTAACTCCATGCTTCAACTGAACAGCAATAGTGTTTTGTTCGGTATCAAAACTCCTTACAGTTGCGCGTACAACTACTTATTTAAACAAGGGGCAGACAATGCTGGTTAATATTATTTAAGTGTGGGAGAGCCATGTTTCGGCACGAATGGGCCGGCTCGACCGGAGTGATACCACGGCCTCACAGAAACCCAACGTGAAGCAACGCTTGCGTTGTGTTTCATCGTGTGAGTGAGGTTACCGGAGGCAAAATTACACTCCCCTTCCCCAATCTCCCCAACCCCTGAATCCCCAACGATCCTCAAACTCCTAATCCCCAAAAGGCCGGTAACGTACTTGTAACGCCTCTGGTGTTCCAGGGCGACGCCGATTGTTTACCATCAGGTGATCCGCCAGCTCGTCTACCGACTTATGCCATAAAAAAACGAATATCTTTCTTACCGGCGACAGCTCCGGCTAAATGTGCAACGTAACCGATGTTTTGGTCTAGATGCCGCCAGTATCTATCATACACCGCGGTACCAATGTCCACTGCCGCCAATAACACGAACACCAACAGCTGGATGATGGCAAACTCCATTTCCGACCAGTTCTGGAAGCGAACGCATTAATTGATTACAATTAAGACTTTAAACTCAAAAAAAGGTTTATATTATAATCTTTTTTGTTTCGCCATGATCGATAAACAACCACCGTCTATTCAGCATTTTCACACCCTAATGGGTCTAATTAATTCATCATCATCATCAAATGTGGGAGACCCATGCTTCGGCACGAATGGGCCGTCTGGACCGGAGTGAAACCACGGCCTCACAGAAAACCGACGTGAAACAACGCTTGCGTTGTGTTCCGTCGTGTGAGTGAGGTTACTAGAGACCCAATTACCTCCACTCCCCTATATCCCCAATCCCTGAATTCTAACAATCCTCAAATTCCAAATCCCCAAAAGGTCGGTAACGCACTTGTAACGCCTCTGGTGTTACGGGTGCCCATGGGCGACGCCGATTGTTTACCATCAGGTGATCGGTATATTCGTTTACCGGCTTATCCCAAAAAAAAAAATCATTTCAGCAACAGGACGTCAACTACTGAACATAGGCATCCCCCAATGATTCCAGGCCGATTGGAAGCGACATGTCCTCTATAATTCGACATTTTATGATTGAAAAACTAAATAGTAATACCTATCCAGCAAATAGAATAGATAACCTTGAATCAGCACTCTTGTCAGAACATAAACTCTAGACAAAAGACTAGCTTACCATAATAATAGTAGCGATATGAGCTGCGATTAACGCATACACGCCACCTGAAGCTCCAGCTAGATAGACCTTGGGGTCTGTGAGGCTGGTGGCCAGGGACCCTGCGGCCACGCCCGCCAGATACACCAGCACCACTCGCCACCATCGATGCACCATCTCTAGTGGGACGCCGAGGAACAGCTGCACCAGAAGATTGACTAGGAGGTGGACCACGCTGAAAAACATAAAATTGTTTTCATAATAACTCGAGTAATCTCGTTAATAGAGGTCTTACAAAAATTGGATTGGGTTTCAAAGAATATTGAAATTTTTAGAAAATATTGTCTTATCCTCAACCCTACGCAGTTTTAAGCTTTAACTAATTTGTATGTGCAGAATTTGTTATCATTTGCTAAATATACCTTTTTGTTCAGAAGTTATTCTACGATTAATTTCTTAACAGATTAATTTGAACAAAACTATATTCGTATAAAGCATTTTAAGTGTGGGAGAGCCATGCTTCGGCACGAATGGGCCGGCTCGACCGGAGTGATACCACAGCCTCACAGAAAATCGACGTGAAACAACGCTTGCGTTGTGTTTCGTCGTGTGGGTGAGGTTACCGGAGGCCCAATTACCCCCTTCCCTAGTCCCCGTTTCCCGAATCTCCGAATGCTCCACAATCCTCAAATTCCCAATTCCCAAAAGGCCAGTAACGCACTTGTAACGCCTTGGTGTTTCGAGTGTGTTACTGTCGGCGGCGGTGATTGCTTACCATCAGGTGATCCGTCTGATCGTTTACCGGCTTATGCTATAAAAAAGCACTTTATAAAGAAGTTTTTTAGCCAAGGTTTTATGATTAATTCTTTACAGAACTCGAAGTTCCAATGCCAATAAAATGCTCATACATTACTCTTGCGTTGCGGTCTAACTAAATCCGCCTGTTTGAATGCATTTCATATTCAATGTATGCACATAGTGTCAAGGTTTGTGTGAATACTTGCACAATAACAGCAGACTGAATAAAAAGTGCACAATAAAATATTTCCGAGTCTGGGAATTTGATTGATTCAGACATAATAGAGTTGCAGTTATTTACTAACTGTAGATATATTTTCGTCCTATGAAAAAACTGTCTCGTTAGACTAACGGAATAGTTGCAAGACTATGAAGGACGAGGTCTCAAAATGGATTAAAAGTAATTTCTTCTTTTATACTAGAGCTTATAACGTAGGTTAGTGTCGAAAAGGATAACTAAAATATGTAGATTTATAAGGCAGGCCACCTCCATTAAATCCCAACTACATTAAATGTAAGACTTGAAAGGTTTATAAAGTTCCCTTATTAAGTCGTGTGCGTCACTGGAAGTATGTACTCGTAAATTGACGCAATTCTGATGTTTCGACCACGATTGCGTCAGTGTCAGTTCCTTTATCGTCTTATTTTTGCATAAGTATAACCAGGATCGTTTCAACTGAAAATTTCTTCTTGCGTGATATTATGAAACTGGTGAATTTATTTCTGCAATTATGGGCTGCAATTATGAACTAATCTATGACTAAAATTGACTGATCTTTACCCAACCATCCATCTAGGGCCAGCTGTATTTAACTCGTCGAGTACCGTATTTATAGACACAATTAAAGAACAATAGGTTGCGGTCACCAGTGACCGCTTGGTGTTTGACAGTTTAAGGACGACTTAGGGATCGTAGCATATTTGACTGCAAGGTCGATCAGTTTTTAAACGTTTTGGGAATTTTTGACTTTCATAGAATGATACAATCAAACCTATTCTCATACTAAGTATAAAATAAAACTCACCCGACATGGACCAACATGTAGGTAATAAATCTCCACGCCTCCTGTCTCTTGTGTGGGTTGTAGATGAATAGCTTGGCGATAGTTCCATCGCCTTGCGTGTGTCCGTGAGCAGCATCGTAGCAAAACAGAACGATTTCCACCAGGGAGATGAGGATCATGCAGACGGCGGGCGGCCAACAGCTGTACTCTTCTTCATAGGTCCCGTCTGAGTATGTAAAGATTGACGTGCTATGGGCTGGATAACGCAACAAACAAGAGGCGAGTCGGGAAACAGGGAACCGTGGGTTAGGAATTCAGAAAAGGTTCATTTTTTTCATTTAAAACGACGTAATATCCATGTCAGGAATGATAACAAAAATGTTAAATATAAACATTAGTCATTTTGCGATAAAGTTTATGATCCAATGAATGAATGCAGAATGAATTCAGTTTGTCGAAGTTATAAATAGATTTTTGAAGTATTGTGGCCACAATAGGCAAGAATTAGAGCACGCGATGCCCGAGTGACAGCCATTAGATGTTGCGACAGCAACGGGATGTATTAACCAATTAAGGCGTCGCGTTACGTTAAAGGGCAAATTGTTTTTAATTAAGCGGTCATTCATATTTGCATTATTTGTTTATTTATTTGCAAGAACAGTATTAACATAGGAACGGGTATTTAGGAGTTAGGGAACACAAACAATAACATAAAGGAAACGGGAAAAAACACAAAAAAATCTTTGTTAGTAAATTGCATTCAAACTTATAACTAAAGTTATTCACTGTGCAAAAAGCGATACAGGAAAACTATGACACAGATTGTATAATAAGAAAATATCTTTTAACAGCAAATAAATACAATATGAGCGAAAATATAAGGAAAAGTGTCACATAATAGTGAATGACGACATTTTTATATCTGTGTCATAGCTTTTGTAGCATCAAAGCAATTAATTGACGACAGTTAATCGAGAGCATTTGCGCATTAATCCGGCACCATAATCCCTTCACCTTGGTGGAATGGAGACAAATGATGTGATGGTGAATTGTATACAACATAATAGTGATGCGGGCACTGATTAAGACCAAGGGCGACCAATGAACGGGCTCCTTTATCTATACAAACTTTGTGAAGAGAACGCGCTAATGCGAAAAATATACAAGCCACTGAACTGACTATAAGGGCGATAATTGATAAATTATACAGAAATCTAAATCTGAAACATGTGTTTATGTTTCTGTACTCTAGCAACAGCGGGTTTATTTAGGCGTTAGTAGGTACTTATAGCATAAATACACCCGGTTCAGATGAGAAATGTTTGTGAGCCAATACTATTTCTAATAAATCGTGAAATGAGTATAACGTACACACATTAATTTAATTATTATTAGATAACATACCGAAGTAATCAACAATATATCTCACGTACTTCAAAGTTCTATTCCACGAGTCTTTACACACACTTAACCCATATCTTTGTTCACTTAAAACTTTGTAACTGCACCCATTGGTCTTTTTACACATTCTGTGCCACATTGTGTCAAACACTAACACGTACTTTGGTACCGAGATCGTCTACATAATTAGAACCGCATTAAAAAATAATTAAACAACTTTTTTTTGTTTACAAGGTCTCCAATCAATACACGGAACCACACATTACACACTTCACCTTGACAATTATCCCCGACTTCCCCTACATTTTGTTTATATTTTTGTGTTACCTGCAAAAAGGTATATTTTGGGCCCTTATCGTTAGGAATTGGAGCGAAACGTGAGGTCGCAGTACAGGCGTGCACCTGAATGCGACGGGTATGACATACTATGGAAAAACCTTCGAGTCGACTGCGCCAGAGCACGACATGCACGGGTGAACTGTGACGTAACAATACATTCGGATGGACCTCTAACTTGAACCGATATTGGCGGGAATCGAATGATTCGGAACAATTCTATAACGAGACGACAAATTGGTCTGAACGAATACAATTGGGGAGCGACGAGTTACACAAAATTGTTTACAATACGTTGTTTATATGTGTACTCCAATCTCGAGAAAATTCATTATGATTACGATGAAATTAGTAGTTTACGCTTTATGCCTGAATTTGGAATCCAATTTAACTCGGCGAGTACCGGTTTTATAGACACAATTAAAGAACAATAGGTCGCGGTCACCGGTGACCGCTTGGTGTTTGACAGTTTAATTGAAATCTATATATATAAAAGAAAGTCGTGTTAGTTACACCACTTATAACTCAAGAACGATAGAATAGATTTGGCTGAAAATTGGTAGGGAGGTAGCTTAGAGCCAGGAGACCGACATAGGATACTTTTTGACCAATTTTTTTTTTTTACTTTTTACCGAAAATCACGAACGGGTCGGGAAAAAATGGGATTACGCGTACGAAGTCGCGGGCAGAAGCTAGTAATCTATATATGTAAAAGAAAGTCGTGTTAGTTACACTATTTATAACTCAAGAACGCCTCAATCGATTTAGATGAAAATTGGCAGGGAGGTACCTTAGAATCAGGAGACGGACATAGGATACTTTTTAAACAACACTTTTTTTTACTTTTTACCGAAAATTACGAACGGGAACGGGGGGAAAATGGGATTGCGCGAACGAAGTCGCGGGCAGAAGCTAGTTTTACAATAGATAGTTACATAGGTACTCGTACGAAATTAAACTAAAATAAATTATTGAGTGAATTTCCTCTTGCATCTTAAATAAAAGTCAGGGAAAAGAACGATTTTGGCACGAGTAGGTATTCATTTCATTATATTTTTTTGCATTTATTTGTAGTTTTCTTCGGTTTTCCTTGAGATATAAAATTGTGTGAAAACCCACACGCATGCGTATCGCAAGAACAAGTAAACAAAACGTAAGTATTGCTTTATTATTTTTGAATGTCACCTTTAAAACAATGATCCAAGAATGGACGTCTCAAACTATTCGTTTAACATTTTAATTAATAAACTTTGAAAAACTAAAAATTCTGGGAATCACCCAGTGCTTGTTTGAAGATACACGATGGAAACTAAAGAAATATGTATTGTACTATTACTCTATCTATTATTATAATAATATATTCGTATTTTCCAGCACGCCTTATGAGAGCAGTAATGCCATATGAGAAAAAGAAAAGTATATCTATGTAGACATAAGTATGAGTGCACGATTGGCGCGGTGGTTGGGCAACCGGCTGCCGAGCAACATGTCGCGGGTTCAACTCCCGCACAGAACAACTCTTTGTGTGAACCAGAAATTGTTTGTTCCAGTGTGTCATGTGTATGTGAAATTGTATGTTTGAAAACGCACCCACGACACAGGAGAAAATCCTAGTGTAAGGAAACGTTTAAAAAAATATAGCTATAACATACAAAAAATATGTTGCTATACAAGAAAACATCAATTATATATTTAAGGTAAAGTTCCCTTTCTGAATATCCTTCAATTTAACAAGCTAAATTGATATTTTAATGCTTTAGAAGATATGATAACCTCTTCCATTGTATCATATAATTTTCCTGTTAAGAACGGAATGAATGGTCATATCATGGCAATAGGCATTGTGACTATGACCTAAGTACTACAGTAGAATGACCCTAGTGTATTTGTAGATGGGTATTAAAGTTATCGGTTTTCTGTAAAACTATAATAGGTACTATATTCTATGTTAAATTTATTATTTTAAATAAGTTACATAACATTACATCACGCCTTCTATCCACGAAGGGGTAGGCAGAGGTGCACATTGTGCCACTGTACAATGTAACACCTACTTTTCACTATTTATGTTATAATAAGTCCCTTGTAATAGGGGGTGAGCCTGTTGCCATTATACCGGACACAATTCCAGGATTCGTGTTACTACTAGGATTTTTTTTTAAATCTAGGAAACCTGCCCAGCCCGGGAATCGATACCGAGACCACTTGCACGGCCGTCGCACTTTCGACCACTCGGCCAACGAGGCAAATAAATTAGTTTTATTATAATTTGTTGTATGTATTTTTTCATAAAGCCGACCAAGTTTCAGTTTGAATTAAAAACTAATTAAAATATTAGTCATTTAGTTCGTGGTTTGCAAAGATAATTGTAAATAAGTATAATAATATATTTCCAAGTATTGTTTTAGAATTAAATTACTTACGAATAAATGATTCGCCCATTTTCCTATTATAATAAAGTTTAAGTTATCACTGCCGCTAAATTATTCGATTCATTATTCGTAACTTTAAATTACTTAGAAATCCAATCAGAATTCCTGATAAAACCAGGAAGTTATTAATTATTCAGCCTATTTTGTGTAAATATTACTATATATGTATTGTATGTACACTTAATGAATTAAATTAATTTGTAATATACCTACGAAATACAAAAACAACGCTACGCCTTTAATATCCAGAAGGATAGGATATACGTAGTTAGGGGCAAGGCTAGACTATGCTTTTTCTTCCCCATAAAACAGGCGTCGTTTGAAGGAGTCCCCCAGTTATAAAAATATGGGGCAAGTCTGTAGCCACACATTGAAAATGAATTCAGACTCCATATTACTAAACATATTATTATTATTTAAAAATCTGAAAAAGCCTTAAATAATTTCTGCTACTTGGGGATAAATGCGAGATGTCTTTGTTCTCTACAAACGAGTCACCACAGGCGACAGACGACGCAACAATTATACAATCAAACTTTAATTGAATTAGATTCTAATCTAATTAATTAACTAACTACTAACATAGAAAAAAACTATCGATAGTATCGACTATTTCGACAAAACAAACACGACATGACAAAAGACAGTGTTCCAAAATTAAAATTACGAAAGTCACCTGTGTCCTGTTCTATTCTATATTTTTAACAAAACCAAAATGGTGCCGTTTTGATAGCAGTTTCGATATTTAAAAATAAAAGACGTTAGCAGCAGGAAGGAACTCACACTGGCCTGTAACAGCACACTGTTGGGCTATCGCTATTGGTTCGTTCCATGAAGATAATTGGACATTATCTCCACGTTTGGCAGAAGGCAGTTCATATCTGTCAATGTCAAATGTGTCTATAGTCCCATACGGCCGTAATTAAAAACTATTTTAATCCAAAAACCTTTGAATCGATCATAGTTTTTTTCATAGCGAGGAGGGGAGGAATGGTAATGACCTTGGCCATGTGGTGACGATAGAGAAAATGCAAAGATCACAATAAAACTGTAGTAGTGAGACATTTTGCTACATCATAATAACAGG